CCCCCCCCCCCCCAACCAAAAATACTCCAAAAATTCCAACGTCAGAGGACATGCAAGAAAGGGGGAAAAATAGGTAAAAACGCACCTTGCTGAAATCCCAAACGCCACTCTGGGCATAGATATCAGCCTTCAACTTCTCGAGCACCTCTTCCTTGGACGCGGCCAGCGCGATCATAGCGCTGCCTTGGAACTTGAGCGGGCTGTTTTCCTTGGGGGGTTCTTCTAGGAGGGCGCCTATTTTACGCGAATCCTCATCAGCTTTTTTTTTTCTTGTTTTGTTGTTTTATTTCCGTATCTATACAGGAGGGTCCAAGGGGGGGGGGGGGATCTTATGAAAAAAAAGACATACCTCCCATCCTCCAGAATCCGCTATCAATCGCAGGTTTCAACCCTTCGAAATGCTGACTGGCGAGACAATAATTAGTTTCATGTTCATTCCAACACAAATCCAGTCTGATGATAAATTTTGCATTTCGATAATAAGGAAAGAAAGGGAGAAGGAGAAGGAGAAGGGGAAAGAAAGGGGAAAACGTACGGTCTCACTTCAATCCGCTTATCGATGGTGCCAGGCACATCAGGCATGATGACCAGCCACTCGAACTTCTCGGAAGCCATGGTGCTGTAATTCTTACGCGTTAGATGGGAGAGAGTGGCGGAGAGGCGCTGGAGGGACATATGTGATCCTCTTTTGCTTTTTTGGGGGATTGGGAATTGGGGGATGGGGAAAAGGGGAAAGAGAGGGTTTTATAGGATAGAGGAGGATGGAGCTGGGAATAAGATGGATATAGATGGGTATGGTGATGGATTGGATGGGAGAGGTGAGGTGAGAGGGGTGGGCCGGCTCCGGGAGGGGCGGAAAGCGGGGTGGGAGATAATAGTGACACACCTCAGATTTAGATTTCAGAATTCTCAGAATGGAGGATGGTATAGGTATTTCTCGAGAGAGAGATGCGAAAATCGCTGAAGGTAAGTAAGGTAAGGTATGTAGAAAAACACACAAAACCCCCCTCCCTCACAATCCTACTTATAGCAAGAAGTATTGTGGGGATCGGCCGCTGGGCCGACCTTTGATCGGATGCGGGGTGCTGTCCCGTTCACGGTATCTCTACATCATGATGGGAAAGTTCATAACCGGTGTTGGGCGTCCTCGTACATAAGGTACCTATATACTGTATATACTTCTTACTTAGATGATATAAGAATGTTTATCGCAAACAAGCAGGGCTTGACATCTACATGATTTTAATATCCAAGCAAGTAAATACCTTAATATTATGAAGAACAGGGACGGATAGATAATATTGTCTTGAAGGGCTTGTATGTATCCGGATGAAGCTGGATGTGAGTAGAGGACGGCTCTTCTCTGACGAGAAGAACTGATTAGAAAGCAGAGACGCGGATCGTTGCGGTAGCCCCTCACTTACTTATCAATCCGGACGATCTACGGAGTAGGGAGCTGAGCCGAGAGTTCGGGTTATTTATGGAGTGGGGTCGCAGCTCTGGGCTCTGCGGGCTGAGCGTGGAGGGTGGGGGATGGATGGATGGATGGGGTTGCTTTGCTTGTAGGTGAGGAAGGAGTTGGTTGGTTGTGGGATTCCGTCAATGGTTCTGCATTAAACCGATACATATTCAGAACTGGACATCACCATAGGAAAAGATCCAAGTAAGATGATAGTGATATATAGATCAGAAACGACAAGCTATTCTAAAGTGCACCCTCACATCTCTACATTCCCGTTCATGCCTGGCACAGGAGTCAGCGGGTCCAGAATCGCCTGGATATACCTATCCGCATCGGCCGAGATGGTCGTGACGTTGATGCGGTTCTCGAGCGCATTGTTGACGCCCTCGATGACCTCGCGCTCCTCCATGGCCTCGCTCATCAACCGGCCATAATTAAGCCAATAGGCTCGGCCCAGGGTCCTCAGTTCCTCGTCGCGATTGATCGTGTTCCTGAGCACGCTCAACGCCATCACCTTACTTCTCGCGGCGTCCAAGATCCGCGTCGATGTCTCTACCCTCTCTGCCGTGGAGGGGGGGTTTAGGAACGCTCGGTTCGTCGATGAGAGGTATAGTAAGTACCCGATGATGCCGTCCAGTGCAGCTAGCAGGGTTCCGCGGTATGCGCGCATCCTCCAGAAGAACATATCAATGTCTTGTAGTCGCGTCGCCATCCCGTTGGCGTGGTATGCGTAGGAGCCGACAGCATACAAGTCGAGGAGGGCGACAGCTGCAGCGGCGATCGTCGCTGTACTTCGCCATACAGCACCCTCCCTCCCGGTGAAGAGGCCAGAGGTTACGAGAGCGAGGACACAGAGGTTGAAAAGGTGCGGTGCGAGGAGGGCGGGAAGGGCATAGTAGAAGTAGCTCCGTGGCTCGTCGGCACTGCAAAACTGGCAATTTGTCAGGACATCAGGCCCATATTGAAAGTAGAGTAGTCGGGAGTCTCGGGATTCGATCTTCGTGCGGAGCAGCAGGTCAGCGGGGGTGAGGCCGTGGGGGCGGAGGGCGGAGAGGCGTGTGAAGAGCACGTCGATGGGGATCTGGAGGCGGGATTGGGTGAGGCTGAAGATGTTCTCGGGCGAGGCTAGGGGGAGCGAGGTCAGGAGAAAGGCAACGCCGGTGACAAAGAGGATCAGGAGGGCACGGGAGACGGCGCGGGGTGCAGGTCGGACGGATCTCCCATATGTTGGGGCAGCGCGGAGGGAGCGATAGTAGGTTATTGCTTTGGGGAGGAGCATAGGCCCGAAGAATATGAGGAGGGATTTGATGCTATAGATTGTTAGTAGGACGGCGTAGTTGGACTTGATGTGAGATACTTACGTCCCCCATGAAATCGCCATGTTGTGTGATTTATGGTCTCAAGCATTGAACTGCTTGTGGTCAGGGAGATAAGGTAGAGATGTGTTCGCGACGAATTGGTATTCTGCCGGTTGGCGGTGTCGAATCCAGGTAGCGCATTTTCTCTCCTATCAAAATGTCAAACACGTGCCCTCCCGCGTGGACCTCGTTCAATCTCTCTCTGAGGTGGTTATAGGCCTCTATCAGGTGTCCGAAACGCGATTTCAAATGTCCAGTCCGTTCGACTTTGACCAGTCTTAGAATATCAGCGTTCAAGAGGATGTGAGAAAGCTGGAGGACAAGACATGCATCACATGATCATCGCGAGTCTCTTGGAGCAGTATCCGGAAGATTATCTACGAGATGGCAGGGGGTCAAGTCTCAAGCCTCAAGGATGCCAAATTGTGTGCACTGTGCCAATGTCGATTGCAGAAGCGAGAAAGCAGGGGGCATCTAAATTTATCACTGAAATCCCCTCTGCGTTGTGGAGTTGGAGGAGCACCAGCGGTAGGATGTCTCACGCTCTGCTTGGAATGGAGATAGATTTATATCGTTCTTTCATTCAGTCAGAACGAGGTTATCGGCACTGTGGGGGGATTGGATGTTTCTATAAGAGAAGGGGATGATGTCGAGAGACGAGGTTATGTGATGGTGGGTAATGCCTGACATGGCAGAGTCGCACGTCCAAGTACGGTACGAGCTGTATATATGCGGTAGGTATGTATAGGTATGCGGACGTGGACATGGCTACGCAGCTCGCACTGACCGAGTTGAAGAAGCAAATGCAAATGGCAAAGGAAGCAGGATGGGAAGATGGATTAGGAGGATTGGATTGGATTGGATGGATTGCATACGTAGTCGATAATGCACCGGCTGGAAGTTGAAAGTTGGCAGATGCAACAGTTGGAGTGAGTTGGATTCGCCTACATTTATATTCCTCCGCACTTTACCCGAGACGGGCTAGCGCAACAGTGCCGAGAGCTGAGGCGCTGCATAAAAGTTATGCTGGACAGGGAAGACTTGTCGCTGGTACCTGATACCAACGACGGGATAAGTTCACAAGTTGGATTACGACAGTACGACAGTACTACAGTCTACAGAGGCACATATATATATGTGCTACAACAGCGCTACCGTTTATCCTCCAACGCCGTCGCCCCTTCGTCTATCGCCCTTCTGACGCCGTTGTGTCGATCGAGCTTTGATCAGGAACTGTGCCTGAATCATGAGACGGGGGGAGTGGAGCGTTTGGGAGACGTTTCACTCATTGCTTCAATTCTCAGCAGCCAGCCAGCCAGCGCAGACAGACCAAGGTACCGACTACGACTACAGCGATATTGAAGACATGCCGCCTCGGCCTCCACAAATCCAGCTGGCGGGCCGTCCATCGCACGACTGATCATTACCCCGTACAGAACTTAAGGTAAGGCATGCCAGTGCCACACAGATAAGTAATAAAATCAAGATAAAAATAAAATCAAGAATAAAGATAGAAATGAGAAAAACAAATCATGCGACAGTAGCAGCAGCAGCATGCATAGATACCGATCACAGTCTGGATTCACATATGATGGGCTATGATGCCGCGCAGAGACACTTGACTGGTATCTATAATTGCGATGTGATGGCCGTGCTTCTCCTTTTCATCTCTGGCGCCCCACCGGCAATGCCTGTCTCAACCCAGCGAATCAGCCATGCCGCCGTAAATCGGGCCTAAAGGCTAAATTCATGGCCTCAAACGGGTAGTCCTGGGTAATCCTGGGTGATCCTGGGTTAAATAATAAATAATTATGGATGATTTATGTGAATACCACCATCATCTGCGACCAGCCACTAGTATTTACGACTCCAATCTCCATCAGCGCCCCACTAAGCCCCTTCGGGCCGTAGCCGACAGGGGCCGCCCACGCCCGTCTCTCTCTTCCCCCGGAGCGCCCCTCTGAAGCCCCCGTCTCCTCCTTTCGCCTTTCACCCTTAACAACTCCTCGTCGTCTTGTCGTCTTCTTCCTCTTCTTCCTCCTTTCCCTCTTCTTCTTTGAAACTCTTCCTCCCTTGAAACTCTTCCTCCCTTTCGAATTGTTTCCTGCTGCTGCTTCTGCCGCATCGCCCTTGCGCTCCCTCGTTCTCTTACTTTTGCCTAATTCACCACTGTCGTTAAGGTTCCCTCTTGAAATTATCCCACTTCACCCACAGGAAGTCTCCATCATCTTTCGTGTCGCCTCCTTCCCACTCGATCAATCAACCAACAATCCATCAACCAGAGAGAAGACCAGAGGAAAGCAAAAGTTGTAAAAGGTACGCCCTCGCGTGAGACGCTCCTACGCTGCTGCAGTCCGACGTGCTGTCCCTTCTTCCCTTTCCCCCAACCACCGCGTCTTGCTTCCTGCTTTCCAACTTGACACTCCCACTCGCACACTCCATCCACAGCATCCATTTCCCACCAATCCATCATCCATAATCCCTCTCCACCGTGTGGCAGCGAATCAAGACTCTGCCACGCGCCTCGCCCAGACCTGTCGTCCGTTGCCACTCTTTTCCATCAATCCTGAGCCATTGAGCAACTGAGAGCACAGAACTGACATCCACCCTGTCACAGCATAACTCATTCCACCGCCACCATGTTCGCCCAAAACCTCCTCCTTCCCGCCCTCGCCGTCTTCGGTGTCGCGGCTGGTGAGTCTTCCACTTCTACCTCCTGTTCTGCTCTGTCCCATCTGCCATCGACCAGTCCCGACCGCGTCCACCAAATCGCGTCTCCATTGTCGGGCGGCCCGAGGAACATGGCGACAGTGCAATAGCTGATCGAATCGAAACCTTGCTAACATTCTATCCCGTCTTTCAGCCCAGTCTTCCACCGTAGCATCCATCTGCTCCCAGCCCACCGGTACCATCAGCAGCCAGGCCGATGCCCAGGCATACACTCAGTGCGAAACCGTCACTGGCAGCATCGTGGTCAGCCCAGAAGCTGGTGGCGCCATTGATATCAGCGGTCCCACCAAGGTCAACGGTGACTTGATCTGCCACAGCGCTGGAAACCTGATCACCCTCAGCAGCAGCAGTATCAAGTCCATCGGGGGCAGCTTCGACCTGTTCAACCTGACCACCCTCTCCACCCTGTCCTTCACCAACTTGACCTCGGCCACCACCATCCTCTGGAACGCTCTCCCCGCCTTGGGTGAACTGACCTTCCCTCAATTCATCTCGCACGCCACCAGCGTAACCATCGAGAACACCTTCTTGACCACCCTCGATGGTATCAACTTGCAGTCCGTTGGCTCCTTGGACATCAACAACAACCGCCGTCTCTCCAAGTTCAGCACCCAGGTTGGCAGCGTCTCGAACATCCTCAACATCGCATCCAACGGTCAGGATCTGCAGGTCGAGTTCCCTAACCTCATGTGGGCCAACAATGCCACTTTCCGCAATGTCTCGTCCGTCAGCATCCCATCGTTGGCTACCGTGAACGGATCTCTGATCTTCGACGAGAACTACTTCGACAGCCTTTCCGCTCCAAACTTGACCACGGTTGGAAACACCGCTACTGGATTTGGAAGCTTGGCCCTCGTCGCCAACTCTGCGCTCAAGAACATCACGATTCCCCACCTCAAGACCGTTGGAGGCGGAAACCAGATTGCCAACAACACCGCGTTGCAGACCATCAGCTTCCCAGCCTTGACTACTGTCGGTGGTGCGATTGACTTCTCTGGAAACTTCTCCACGTAAGTTGTCAGCTCGGCTTGTGTACATCGAAAGCTAATTGGTTTATCTAGTCCCAACCTCCCTGCCCTGACCAACGTTGCCGGAGGTTTCAATGTTCAGAGCACCAACGTCATCGATTGCACCAAGTTCCAGTCTGAGCACGGCAACATCATCCAGGGAACCTTCACCTGCGATGGAGGCAACCCTAACCCCAAGACTCTTGCCAGCGGCACCGGCACCAGCTCCGGCTCCTCGGCCACCTCGACCGCATCCGCCACTGCCAGCAAGGGCGCGGCCGTCTCCTACGGTGTCAACGAGGCAGTTGCAGGTCTGTCCATCGTCGGAGGTCTGTTGCAGATGTTGCTGTAGAGCATTGGGCCGTCGGCGTTTCTCCTTCTACAACCTTAGACCTAATCTGCCACGTTCTCCTTCTGTCTTCTTTGCAACTGCTACCACACCACGACCGTCATCCAGGCTATTGAGCGTTTTCTTCTTCCCCTTCGATAGGATCATTGATTGCAGCTGGGCGGCGGTGCACACGTGCTTCGCCCTAATTTCCCAGCATTGAAATGGACGTTTGCACATAATGGCGCAGCTGCCGCGGCGAGATTCAAGGTTTCGTTGGGCGGTGGAATTGAGTGTGGGGACTCTGGGAGAGTAGAGGCTTTTCACACGAACATGTACATAGTTATTATGGATACACACTTGCTTGCGAAAGGTTTTCCTTAATTGGTGATGTCTGGTTCAGATGACATGCGTGACCCTAGAAAAGAGGGCAGGTAGTAATAATTCTGGCATAAAGAAAATCCCTTGGCGGCGCACTTCGCATTTAGAATCCCCCATCCGTTCGTCCCCACATTGCCACCACCATAGGCCTCCCCGAGTACTTGCCCATCTCAGCACTTGGAGGAGATACTTGAGCGAGGACACACTTCAGCCCTCAAATCTCTCGACACAGTGCGGTCAGTATACAATGAAATTACTTCAACTAAATTACTTCATCTTGAAGTGAGCAAGTTGTGCACCTTGTACCGTATACGTATATATAGATATAGGGGTTTAGTGGGTATGAAACACAAGTAGGTAGATAATAGGTAGGTAAGGTAGTTAAAACATTAATCCTCTTGATTTTTTAAAGATTCTCTCTTCTTTCTCTCTCTCTCTGTCTCTCTCTCCCCTTTTTTTATTCTCTTTGATCTATTCTTGTTCATCTATCGTCTGGGACTGGGCTGGGCTGGGTGTGGGGTTATCTTATATACATGTATGTGTATGTGTATGTATGTGGAAATGGGATGGCATGGGATGGGATGGCATGGGATGGGGGATGGGGGATATAAAATAAATAAATAATGTAATGCATCACAGCTTCGCCTTCGGAGCAGCCTGCTTCAACATAGCATCTGCGACGATGCGGCGCTGGATCTTCCCCGTTGCCGTCTTGGGCATGGTGTCGGTGAAGTAGACCTGTGCGAGATGATTAATATATGATGCTTGATTTGTTTTGTTCTGTCGTAGCGTAGGGATTGATGGGAAGGAGAAGGGGGAAAAGGAGGGAGGGGGGGAACATACCTGTTTCGGCACCTTGAACTTGGCGAGTTTGTCAGCGACCCAGGTCTTCAGATCCTTGGCGTCGAGCTTCTGGCCGGGCTTCAGCACGACGGCGACGGCGACGTCCTGGCCGTACAGCTCGTCGGGGATGGCGAAGCTGACGGCTTCGGCGATGGCGGGGTGGCGCGAGATGGTGTTGTCGAGCTCGATGGGGCTGATTTTCTCCCCGCCCTTGTTGATCAGCTCCTTGATGCGGCCCGTGATGAAGACGTAGCCCTCCTTGTCGACGCGGCCCTGGTCGCCGGTGCGGAAGAAGCCATCCTTGGTGAAGGAGGACGCGTTGGCCGCCGGGTTGTTCAGGTAGCCCTTGGTGACGTTCTCGCCGCGGATGCAGATCTCGGCCTCGCTGCCCACGGGCACCTCCTTGCCGGCGTCGTCCAGGATCTTGATCTCGACGCCCTGGCCGATGCCGACGCTCGTGGGCTGGCGCTTTCCGGGCGGGAGAGGGTTCGAGGTCATCTGGTGCGCGGCTTCGGTCATGGCGTAGGCTTCGAGGACCGGCGCGTTGTACGTCTCTTCCAGCGCGTGGAAGGTGGTCGGGGAGAGTGGGGAGGAGCAGGATCTGATGAAGCGGATCTTGGGCTTGGGGTTGGGCGCGGGGTTCTTGAGGAGGATCTGGTGGATGGTGGGGACCGCCGTGTACCAATTGGCCTTGTGGGTGATGAAGTCGTCCCAGAATTCAGAGGCCGAGAACTTGGGCGGGACAATGACAGACCCGCCGGAGTAGAGGGGCGCCAAGAAGCCTGCGAGGAGGCCGTGGACGTGGAAGAGAGGCATGACGAGCATGGTGCGGTCCGCGGGCGTCAGATCATATGTGGCCTTGATGTTCTTCATGGTCCTGGTGAGGTTTCTGTGCGTCAATGGCACCGCCTTCGGTCTCCCTGTGGTCCCGCTCGTGTGGAGGACGAGCGCGATATCATCGGGTTGTGCCTTCTCGACCTTCTGGTTCCCCCTTCCCCTGAGCTTCCCCTCATCCTTGACATCGAGGACGACCTCGCGACCATTCCAATAGCACTCCGCAATCGCAGCCTTGTATTTCCGCGCAGCGCGCACCGCGGCGCCGTCCTGTTGGAACGAGCCTTTTGGCACCAGCGCAACGGCCGAGCTCAGGTCATCGATGTAGAACTCGAATTCCTCCTGCTTGTATGCCGAGTTGAGAGGGGCCGCGATGGCTCGTTGCCATGCGGCGGCCAGGAAAGCGACTATGAATTCATAGGTGTTGGGGAGCGCAATTGAGACGGCGGCCTGGGGGGTAACGCCTAGCTGTGCGAGCTTCTTCTGGAAGGATAGGACCTCAGCGGTGAGCTCTCGGTATGAGACTGTGAGAGCATTCGGCTTGCTGGGTATGATGATAGCGGTCGAATTGGCGTCTGGAGAGAACGAATTGGAGAGGGTCGTGGCAGCCATGGTGATAGAGTTTATATCTATGATAAGTCAGACGGGAGAACCAGGGGGTTAAAGAGAAAGAGGAGGGTCAGACAAACCATCTACCAATCGATTGTATAAACGCAAAGAAATCGAGAATGGGGACGACCTGGAGTGCGGAGGCGCTTCTGCGATCACGAAATGCTGCCTGAGGAGACGTCTCAGTGATCTTTCCGGCTTATCGCCGAGGGGTGAAGCCTTTATCAAACGAGCTCGTGATCTTAGCCTCACGCGTCAGGCTGTGAGTTTGGAAACGCCCGAAAGCAGCTTCAAAGTTCAGAGACTCTCCCATCCAACACACGCCCAACCATGTCGAATTCCTCAACGCCTGGTCAGCCACCACGGAGTGGCCTCTCGCTCTATGCAAATCTTCTCGACCCTACCGGCGATGCATCCATCTCGCGAGGACCAGTTGTCTTTAAGACTGCGCCAGCCGACACCCCAGAAGAAGCTTCTGCGAAGAAGCCCCAAATAGATGCTGGTAAGCTACCTAAAGCTTCCTGTCTTTTCCGGCTCCAATGGCTTCTTGAGGCATTGTGATTGCTCACGTGTGAATTGAATAGCTACTTTGCGATTTCAGCCCACGAAAAGGCCACAGCTCCCTCAGAAACACAAGGCAAAGATATCCTTCCCGAAACCTCCTCCCCCTCCCGACAATTCGAATCAGAACAGTGCTCCTACAACGTCGGCTTCGAACACGGCCAGACCCCCCATAAAAAGTACTCTGGCGGATTGGACTGCAACAGCAGATGACGATGATGTGAATGGGTTCTATGGAGGTGAGAAAAGACAGAGGGGCGGAAGAAAGCGACGCAAGAAGAATAGGGAGGAACATGTCGTTGCGCAGGACTGGGATGATATTTATGATCCCACGCGACCAAATAACTATGAGGAATACAGGCTCAGCGAGGAGAAGATTCGGGAAGTCAGGGAGTGGAAGGACAGGCTCTATGCGCATCGGAAGGCCCGAAGAGCTAGCAGTGATATGGACAGTGATGAAGAGGACAGGAGTAAGTCCCTTGAAATCCATGCTCTATGGAGTATGCTGACGGACTGCAGACCGATTCGTGCCACCTTCGAATTACTCCTTCGCACCTCCACCTATAGACTCTCCACCCAAAAAACCAGTTCCCGACGAGAACAATGATTCTGATCCATACAGTCCCACACTTACGATTAGCAAGCCACCACCACCACCGCCTCCACCAGAGAATCTCCCTCCTCCAGTCATCCCTCCTGAGCCTTTACCCGCGGGTTCAATATCCCGAGCACCAGTGCGGTATAACTTACCGCCAGCACCAAGTGAGATCCCTAGCTCTGAAGCTGAGTTAGAGAAGGCATTGGCAGCGGAACCAGAAGACGAAGATGGTCAGCAAACTGAAGATGCACCGAGATCACTCCGACCAGGACAGAAAGGATTTGCCGAACGTCTCATGTCGAAATATGGATGGAGTAAAGGTTCGGGACTGGGCGCTGATGGTTCGGGAATTGTAAATCCACTACGGGTACAAATTGAAAAGCGGAAGAAGAAATCCGATGCCGAGGGTGGCGGGTTCAGGGACGCTGGTGGGAGGGGCAAAATCATTGGCGGCAAGAAGAATAATCCTGAGAAAGATTCGGAATTTGGGAAGTTCGGACCGATGTCTGAGGTTATTGTTCTTCGAGGTATGGTCGACGGTATGAACCTAGACGAGGAGGTAGAGGGTTCTGGGGATGGAGGCTTGATGCAGGAAATAGGAGACGAATGCGCGGAAAAGGTATGCGAAACTGTGAATTGTCAGAGTGTCAGCTAACAGGTGGTCCAGTATGGCCGGGTTGAGCGCGTTTACATCGACCGACATGGCACTGCTCCAAAGGTATTCGTCAAATTTACAAGCCAGCTGTCTGCTCTGAGAGTAAGTTGATCCCGCAAGATGGTTATGGAAAACTGCTGACAGACCTGAGGCTGTCAATGCACTCGAAGGACGAATATTCAATGGGAACACTATCGCCGCTCTATTCTATGATGCCGAGAAGTTTGAGCAGGGTGTTTACGAGTAGGGAATCCCCGGGGACACTATTTGAGAAGTAACTTGTACACAAAAGGACCCTAACAACTCGATGTATTTTGGTCTGAGGTCTGCAGAACAAGCTGTGACTCTAACGCTACAACGGTCTATCTTCCTAGATTTCCTTGTTGGTGCTTCGTTCTTCAATTTCCCCTGTTGCCGGCAGATACTGTCAAAAGCCTATGTCATCCCTAAGATACTCCTCCTCGTTCCCTCCCGATGTTATCCCACCTTCTCCATCATCCTACAGTTGATTAGTTGCCCATGTCATAGCCTCCTCACATCTCTCTTCAGTTCCAATCCCTTCAGAAAGATACATTATAAGCTATCTTAATCAGTCTTTTGGGTTTTAGAATTGAGATGAATTGACCGACCCGCTGGATACGCTTTCAGCTACAACCATTGGTCGTTTAAATCTCAAGTGGATGGTGGAAAAATCAAAGTTCAAGTTCTCACTCAAAAGATAACTATTGACCCCCCTCCGTTCAAAAGCGCCCGCCAACGAGCCTATCGAATCCAGAATACTCAAAAACATACCCAACTCTTTGATTATCCCTCGAACGCATCCCTAATTCTCTACCCAGTAAAAGATCTGGCCAAGAACCGGCGGGATCCAGCAAGCGACGAGCATAGCATTACCTCTGGGCTTTCTCAGGCATCAAGCATGCCCGCGTCTATAAAATATCAGGATCGAAGATGCGTAGAGGACGATGGATGGGCTGTGGCGAAGAAAACAGCAAGGGGGGAGTTATCTATGTTGGTATCATTTGACAAGACAGTAGTGGTGGTCCAGTGACATGGAAGAGGCTACCTACCTATCTACCTACCCATCTTATACCAGCATCAATATAAGTTCTGAATTGGGCATACATATTCGGCGAATCAAGAAGTTCCCTTGACGTATGCCTCCCGAAATGATGTATCTTCCTAGTCTCTCGTTATGAATTCAAGCCAGTTCGTGTATTCCAAGCCTCTTACTACTCCAACGAAAAGTCCAAAGTTGAGGAGGGGAACTGAATCAACGATGTATAGATGCACAGTTCTATCTATATACGAAACCATCACTGAACAAAGAGGCCAAAGCGTAGCAAACAAGTACGTTCCGAGCGACAGTGAAAAAATAGTAGCGGCTGGATACCGTTATCCTTTTCCGAAGGGTTTCACAAGGAGAAGAACTTCTGAGGATGAACGACCGTAGAGCTCATGAGATATCTCATCATCACCTTGAGAAACGCTGGGCGAGCGCCGAGATTTGGCTCTCTCTAAGAAGAGGGCCGATGTTTTTGATAGATAGATAACAGTGAGAGAAGAAAATGGATGGATGGGATGGATTAGAGATGGAGTTATGAAATTCCTATAGATAAAAATTAAAAATAAAAGATCGTGTACTCCTTTACAAATAAAAGAAATACCAGAATCGACTCAGCTAACCACAAATACAACACCTCCGTCAAATCCAAGAACGCAACCAACAGAAGGCTCGCTTGAAAGAGTATTTGCGGGAGAGAAAGCGAAAACTCACAAGTTCTTCAAGAACCCATGAAATATCCAACCCCCAAAAATTTCAAAATCCAAAAAAGGGAGAAGAAGAGAATTTACATACACTCTTCTTCTTTCAAATGAATGAATTGATATCAGGTCGTACCCGGGCTCGAACCGGGGACTCGGGAAGTTGTTTTGAACTATCTTGGTTCAAGTCAAAATCCCACGTGCTAACCGCTACACTATACAACCTTGACACGCCACCTCTCAAAAGCAGCCTAAAAACACAGCATCGGGCCCGAAAACAAAAGACCATTTCAAAAAAAAAGAAAAGTCCACAAAATATTTGAACTTTTTTTGGAGATGGACTTGATGACGGAATAGAGGTCGTACCCGGGCTCGAACCGGGGACTCGGGAAGTTGTTTTTGACCTGCGTCAAAGTCAAAATCCCACGTGCTAACCGCTACACTATACAACCGTAACCAAATTGCTTGTGGGCAAATCTCGCTTTGAAAAATATAAGAGATGACTATAGGATGAGCCTTGCAGCATACACCCCCCTATAAATTTTACGAGTTAGTAAGAGGAGTCTTCTTATTTTTGTAGTAGGGAATGTACCTAGTTAAAGTACTACAAGACGAAATGGGGTATCTCGATTTACTGTATACAAAAAATACTTAGAACCATGGCTCTGAGTAAAGGGGAACTCGTGGTCCACCAAGTTCTACTTCCCATTCACACAAATCCAACAGCTCATGAGGAAAGAGCCCAAAATGCAACTTCATACACTCCCCCCACGCCACCCTCTCCTCCGCAAACTGCTCCTCCCCCAATAACTCGCAGAATTCCCAGATATGCGGGATTCTCCGCCAGTTCTCGACCGGGCTGCCGACGCGCGGACGCCAGGTCTCCAAGAACCGCCGCAGCTCATCGAGAGCGTCGAGCGTCGGGCCGAGGAAGCCAGAGCGTAGGGTCCCGCGGAGGAGGAGCAGCGTCTCTTCGTCGGTGCGCACTGTTCGCGAGAGGAGATCGGGACCGCCGCCGTTGAGGTAGGCTGCGAGGTTCAGCTGCAGGAAGTGGTTGCACCAGCGCCAGAGCGAGAAGCCGTAGAGCGTGGCGAGGCGGTGGTAGCGTGCTCGTCGGGCATCGTTGTTGTTATTATGGATAATCTTGATACCGGCATCCTCGTCGGTGGCTTCCCCATCCTCGGTACCCTCGTCGCTTCCAATCATCCGGATTCGCTCCACGGGTCCTCCGTCCAAGAATTCTAGCCGACTTTGAGAGATGGGCATAGTGGACCTAGATGAAGGGCCGGCTGTTCCGTCCCAGTTGGAATAGTTTTGTTGCGGCTGGGCATTTAAAATGGCTTCTACTTCAGAAAACTGGCCCGCAAAAGCGAGGTCGTGATCCCGATCATGGCGAAGCTGTTGCAACGTAGATTCAGTACTTGGATTAAAGGGTGTCGCGGGCCGAGACGAGGTGAGCTCGGATGGCTCTGCTGTAATAGAGGATCCATCCTGGGGACTCTCACGGCCGGGCTCGGTAGATCCATTCCTAATGGTCGTCTCAGGGAGTGTGTCGCTCTCGTCGTCGAAGTCATGGTCGTAATCAGAATCTGGATCGTGTGGGTCATATGGATAATATGGACCATATGGATCAAGATAGTAGGAAGAAAAATGTCCTGGCCCAACTATGGCAGCGTAAAAGGGCGGTGGTCCCCCCGGGGTGCTGCTTTGACTTTCATCGGATTCTGTAGTCGTATTATGTTGTTGCGAGTTGGCCAAGGCCGAACTTGATGACTCCCCCGGAGTCTCAGAAGGGAAATCAAACACAGGTAAACCCATAACTACTGGAGAACTGATGGATTCGCGAGGGACAAAGCAAGTTGTGATTATAGACACGATGGGATGCAAGAAGGGCCCAGAAGAAAAGGGTATAAATGCTGAGAAAAGTCTGCTAAAGAGGACTGGAACTTATCATGAGTAGGGTTCTTAACCAAACGCTTATTTATTTAAATTATATGGTACAAAGATCCTTCGAACAGTGGTTCGCGGACCCTGAAGAGATATTCCGAACCATGAGACACTGGAAAATGGATTCTTGATCTCAGCGTTTCTAGGCCCAAGAGTGAATAAGGTGCGAGCCAAGGAGGCTCTAACATAGGGCCCTTCAGTAACAGGTTCTTATTGAGACGGTTTTCCCCGTACCGAGGGAGAGAAAGTTGGTACAGACCCTCAAGGTGGTCAACGGCACGCATGTCCCTTTCTCTTTCCCAACACTGGTTCCCAATCCAAGTACGGAAAGAGACGCACAGAAGTCTCGCTACTGGGACCCAAAACCAGTGAGGAAAAGAGGAAAGATATCAAAACGGGAGAGCCAGTTGAGCCGCAATTAGTGTGCGACATCTGCTACAAACGCTGGTTTGCCTAATGGCGAGACGGAAAGACGGAGGCTATCAACCCAAGTCTACCCATACTCAGCTCTCTAGCCTGTGGTGAACATGGTGAACACTAGCTCGAACTGAAAGGGAGATAAGAAGGAAGTCTCTCAAGTTGCTCCTCGTCATCGTCGTCGTTGTCGACGGCCCCGCATTAACCATTCTCCGAGTTCTTCTCAAGCGCTGCAACAACAGCACCTTTTTGCTAAACCGTAAGAACCGCATTACTAAACCTTGGCGCAGGGGTATAAGCCGGGTTAATAACCTGCTTCCCTGTCAGGACCCCTTTCTCGTTATCATCCATCATCTCCTTGCAAGAGAAACAGAGAGACAAGAATCTTTTGTTGCACATCGTCTAGCGTCGCTGCGCCGCTCTTCTCATCCAAAGATAGTCAAGTCGTGGCCCGACCTAACCAGCGTAGGGAACTGAGCGCCGCGCGGAGACACTCTAGGCTCTCCCATCCCAAGACATCAAGGGAGAGAAGACCCGCCGTCACGAGAGGCTCGTCCCGACGTACGCGTACGCACGAAGAAAAGCCACCGCCTCTTATCTAAGTGGCTACCTTACCTTACCTTATTTCCTACCTACCTACATACAGGTAGCTTACTTACTTAGCTGGGCACAAATCATAGGTGTCCGATCATGATAGGTAGATCTCTCGCTCTCTCTTCCTTCCTTTGTTCAGAGAACCTGTCACGTCTTGGGATTTCGGGAGCTAGATGCTTGGACATGCCACGTTCTCAAAAGGCTTCAGGAGTACGCCTTTCCTGATCACGCCAAACGCCCGTGGATTAGGCCATGTTGATGACGATGATGTAGAATGTCAGATCATGGCTTTCTGGAAGATCGGTCTAGAAGCCTACCTAGTCTTTCCACGCTTAGAAATAGTGGAGAGTCGCTCGTAGACCTAGAGGTGGTTAACACTGACGGGTTAATGGAGATACAGTAGCTGGCTGCGGCTGGAACTGGGGAGCGTGGATGGATGGGAAAGTTGGATATATGTTTCCCATCTCAGCGGTCTGATCTCCACCGCCTCTTCACAGAAACGCGGGGGGGAATGAGCGAGAGCTTAATTTTGAGGCAATAGATATTATATTTTGATACAATCAATCAAACCGCCCAACGCACCACACACTATGCTCCCTCAATCCAACTTCATGCAATACACCCGCACCAAAAGGTGATAATGTCTAACGCCGTCCAATGTATAAAACTTATCTTCCATTGCGAAGACCTAAGCGCCAGAGAAGATGGAGTAATTCCGATGCCGCCTCCATTTTGCCTCGTACAATTTTTAGGAATAATGCATCCGCGGTCCGTTCCCGTACAAGAGTTCGTAAGACTAATAATAACCTCGCATGCACCAATCCTGCGATCCGCGTATGCTAGAATGAGAGCTTCTTGATATCTTTCCTTGACAAAAAGTACCCCCAACGCCTTGCAATGCTAGTAATCCAAAACGCTCAAGATGAAGTGGTTGGGAATTCCGTCGCGGGGCTGGTGGTGGATCCAGCACAATCCTCCGAACTGCGTCGTAGGCTCAAGACCCTGTACAATAACCCTTTTCTCTTCACATCAGGACGTTTGCACTGGGCTCCATGTAAGCCGCTCTGGAAGCGGGGGCCCATCGTCCTGCCTCCACTCGGCCACCGTCTAGTTAGATCCCGCTCCCGGGCAATGCGATTTTCAAGGCTCGCTCGGCGGTCCAGTTCTTCTTCCCAACCATAGATGTCGGAGCAGTTCGTTGTAGCCGAGTAGGTGCTTGCCAAGCTTGACGTCATGCTTGCGGCTGAGCTCGCAACGCTGGTGTCGATGGTCAAAGCACCGTGGCTGTACCGATCATCGATGAGAGTGGTAGTGGTTGCCAGACTAGATTTCGATTCTTGGGCGAGGGAATTCGCTGGGACCCAAGCTACCCTGTTGCGTTGGACATCGAAATCCATCAAGCCGCTATCCATCGCCGTATCAACAGAACAGTTATCATCCACGGGCATAGAAGTGATTGCAATTTGATTTTCGGGAGCCTTTTCGGATATGTAGAATGCAGGAACTTGCGTTCCCCTTGACGTTCTGACGGGTTCCGTCCCCTTCATCTCATCATTCTCCGCCGTGGAGGTAGATCTTTTCGCGGTCACGTCTTTCCTCTTGATTCCTTCTTCCGTTCTCCCTATTCGCGGTGATTTCTCGCTGCGAGGAAGATTAATATGGCTCCTACATGAACGTGTTGATTTTAACGATGATGCGAGGGAAGTGCGACGATAACTTGGGATATCAACAGGGGAGCCAGGATGAGCTTCCAGTACTGGTGAGGGCCCACTGTCACTAAGTTTCAAAGTGGTCCCACCATGAACCAAAGGTGTCGCCGGTGTTGTTTTGGGACCCCTTCGATGAGTTGTTGCAACTCCAACTGCGGAGTCTTCCATAGGTCCGATAACAGGAATAGGGATAATAGAAAAGGATTCATTCGGTGACGACGTGACCTGTTGCCCTCATAATTCACTGCTACCGCTATCATCGCTGCCCCCTCTCCCCATTGGATGGTGTGAACCACTCGTGCTTGCTCCAGACCGACTCTTCTTCCAGCCTAGCTTGGCACTCATCTTCCTCCAGCTGCTGCCTTCATGTCGGACAGGACGCTGACTAGATGCATGGGATGGGCCCTCGAAACCGATGTTGGAGGTCGGGGGAGTATTAGGAGGTGTCATTGGTTCTAGAGCAGAGCCAGATGGTGAGGGTGAGTCAGTGCTGTCATCCGTCATGCTATCAACCGCATCTGCTGATGTGATAGATGAGGCAGATATCAAGGCAGAGAGCCGGGAGGGTCCAGGACGCCCTGCAGTAGTGGTCAGGTGATGTTGCGTAAAATCATTCCCACCCATGGGCGGACTGCCTTCCCTTTGAGCGCGAGATCGAGAACGTGACAGGGCCCTGTCGTCCAATGGAGCAGCCATGTGCAAGTCGGTCATGGATTCGTCGGAACCCCATAGGCTCAGTGATTCCGCAGGCCGTGTGGGAGTGACGGAATTCAGGAATGGGACAAGAACCGATTCATCCATAAGCTCGTAGATGATCTTGACGGCCGGCTCCAGCTCTACAGGGTCCGGTGCAGCATATGTAGAAGGAAGGGACAATAGCCGGTCTCGAACGTCGGAAGGTAAATTGACCTCTCTCGGTCCGTTGGGTGTGATGTAGGCGTCTAATAATTTCTGCCATAACATACGCACATATTCCAAATCCCGGGTCTCATTGTGAGAAGCCCGATCGACCATGGTGTTATAATGTTGGGCGTATCTCTGGGCGTCTATGGTAAATTCCAGTGTTTCCAGGCAGTGGTTCTGTGAGAGGTATGCCATGAAGGCACTGAGCGTCCATGGCGGTGGTGCTGTATTCGCCAGTACTTCGTGCAGGGTCGGGCGTCGAGGACAGTATGGACCTGCGGTTATAGATAGACTGGGTGGCCTTGAAGGCACAAGATCTCCTGAAGACATGAATCCTTCGTCGTCTGCGTCCCAATCCGACAAGACGGACGAGCAACGCGGTGATGTTTCTCTAGATGGTTTTTTAGGATGTAGTGCGGGCGATTTTCGCTGTTTCGACCTTCGCATCGCGCTCCCAAGGATATCTTTCATAAGGGCTGTTCGTTTGACCCCGTCACAACCGGTGATATCAACTCTCCCAGCTTACTCGTAATCCCCCCTCGCAATTCCACCCGCAACTGAGAGCTCCTGGCAGGAGCAACCCTTTTGTATGATTATCTGTAGAACCACAACGACCAAAATGCTATCCTGTCGAATGCATTGATCGAGGGGCCGACGAATTGTTCAGGAGCGTTGTCGAAAGTAAGACACCTGTCCCTGTTTGCTTCAGACGTACAAGACCCCACCGTTGGACGCGTGTAGAAATAAAGAATATCGTAACGTCGTGGTCTGCGGATATCCGTGATATGCCGAGGAGACACAAAGAAAACACCCAATCTGTCTGCTCTAAGCGTGGACACGAAGCGGGTAGCGACAGAAGGTGATGTGTGTTGAAATGCTTCTGGACCTGCGTCTCCGAGTCTCGGGTACGTGAGGGTCAGATCCAATGGGTAGTCTTTGCGGAAGGCTGAACGATTCGCAGACAGGTCAGGGTCTTAGGATTGGATGTCGGCGAAATAAGAGTGCGACCTTCCAGATAGAGACCAGGCTGAGGAACGGCGGACAGAGGGCTAGATCTCACACAAAGAACGACAGCGATCTGGATGAACTCAGGGGGGGGGTATCGTGAGAAAAGAAAGGAAAGAAGCGTCCGTCGAAAAAGAAGCTCTAGGGGTGTATAGAGCGACGGCAGGCTGTGGGCTCCAAGCAATCGGGGGGGCAGCACACGGTCCACGACTGTGGCGGAGGTCGGCGGCGAGTGCAGCAGGCAGTGCCACGCTCCTCTCCCAAAAAAGCCACTCCCGAGACGACCACACACACCCCGGACTGCATCGCATCGCATCGCCTTCCCCCCCCCCCCTCACCTCGCTTTCCAACGTCGACAAAGAACGACGAGACGAGCCTCTTCTTCCTCCTCCGTCAACATCTCACCAACTCCCCATCTCCACCCCGCCCTTTCCCCTTCCCTGCGGACGACGAAGGAGGAGGAGTCGAGTCCGTATTACTAGGGCAGAAGATGGAAAGGTCGCGAGTCAGAAAAGCTCCGCAGCGACGGCCAAGGACCGCACAAGGTCGATGATCGGTGATCGGTACTAGTAGTAGTGGCCAGGGAGGTGGCCCTACTAGAAAGGGAGCAGCTTATAGAGTTACCTTATATCATTGCAGCTCGACGATGCGGGCGACGACGAGGAGAACGAAAGACGGGCAGCCCTGGAAGACGTGGAAGAGCTGGGCGACATGGGCGACATGGGCGACATGGGAGAACCTGGTCCTCTGGGCGCTCGGCGCTGTGAGAGGCCACGGGCAACACGCTAGAATGGCTCTAGAAGAAGAGGTACGGAAAGTCTTCCATGATTCCATCATCCAGCTTCTCTTCTAAGTTCTCCCCGTCCACTCAGGCCCACCGTCCCATCCACCGTCCAATCCACCGTCCACCGTCCACCGTCCATCCAGGCCCATCCTCCAAATGCCCGCCCCTTTGCGACTTTACTCATCGCTGACCCCGTCCTGCCGCCAATGAGCATCGACGCCCACGAGGCCAGCTCCCAGCGGCTTGACGCTGGCTCCAGCCTCTAGTCTTCCACTCTCCAATCTCCAATCGCCAATCTCCAGTCTCCCGAGTCCCAATCTTCCTCCCCGTACGGACTCTGCGGACTCTACTACTGTCCCTCTGTGGGTGGTGCCCAGCGATCTGCGGCTGTAGGGATGATGCAGCACTGCAGGCCTTTCTGCTCTCCCCCATCCCCTCCCCTCCCCTCCCCTCCCCCCTCCCTGTTGTGACAACGGCGGCGTTAGGGAACTTACGCAGGCCTCTAAGAGTCTAAGAATCCCAGTCCTCCGTAGGCAATCGCATGCCCTTCGAAACCCACTACGATTGACGACGACTAGGATGCGCCCGGCCTTACAACATCAGAACGGAATGGCGTTTCTCGGCAAGACGAACGTCCTCCCATATCCCAGTCACGTTGCAAGAGAGATTGGCTGAGTCCTTCTGCACCGAGTACAGAGGACAGTACCTCCCGGTACATACGAGCTGGTACCATTCCTGAAGGATCCAAAGTACCATCTCGCCTCTCCAACGTTACTTGTGGACGGGTGGAGTGTCTAGAGAAAAAAATCCCAAATAATAACCAACCCTGGAACCAGAAAGAAAATTCATCGGTCGGGACTCCAGATGCGAAGAAAGAGTGCACACAGTCACAGTGTTGCAATATCTCGAGATCGGAGCTCCATATTGCTACTGTTAGTCCTGTGCCGTACAGACAGAGTACGCGCTCAACACCACAGACAGGGTTGATGTGCTGAGTAGCCATGGGCCCATGGCCTCATTATTCCAAACCTTGATTGTCCCAGGAGGAAAAAGGTTATCGATAGCTCTGGTGATCTTCAGACAGACATCCCCTCTCGACCTAGTACATACCCTCCTCTATCATCTGCCGTCACCGCCTGCTCCTGGGATCTTGTCTACTTCAAGTGCCGACCGTATCGAAAGCTTCACCATGATTGGTACTCTGTTAAAAGAATCCAATTTAAATCTCCACCTCAATTATCTACGGAGGGGACGCTGTATACCGAGCACATAGCATACCACACGGCACTGGAAAGAAAGTTATTAATTTAATTTGCCGGTCTCACCGCGGAGCGCCAGAAGCCAATAAGTATTATCGCTGATCCCGATGCGCGACATTTATCCCCAAATACTCGCAATCTGGCTCACAGTCTGGCCTCCTATCACACGGCCTCCTCCTCCTACTGCTACTCTATGTATGTATGTATGTATGTATGTACACAGCACTGGACCAGTCACGAGCTACGCCAATGTTAGAAAGTGCCGCTTACGGAGCGAGTTCTTATGAAATCATCATGTCATACCTATGTACTTGTCAACCCATACCAGCAAAGAGTAACCTGCAAGAGCGAGTGTACCATCATGGACCCCGAGTTAGCCCGCGTGCCGACTACTTGGTACCTGGCGGCTGGTCGTCATCAACGCACCGTCAGAGCATCATCATGGACATGGATCCATCTACTTGCTCCAGAGTATACTTGGCTGGCTGTTATCCTCACAGGGCACTCGCCGATCGCTCGCGTCGCTCAAGTTTTCAACACCCCCCTCCCCCCTTTACGCTCGTGGGTCGGGGCACATGCTCTCCTCTCTACCCGAAACACGTTCAGAGCTTCTCGTCATTCCATTCGTCTTCGAGTTGCATCTTTATCTGCAAAGTGCATGCCGTTGAGATCCGCGCTCCAATGGGAGCCCTACCCAGGCTTACCCTACGGAGGAAATCCCTTGCCGGCCTTCCCGCCGCCTACTCCGTAGTTAGGTAGGACTTGGCCGATAAGTAGAAGTCACGATGAATGCAAGATCAATCGAACGACAAGCATCTCGGGCCACTGTCTCTCCCATAGGCCACGGGCCCCTCTCAACCCCGGTTTCCCCAAAGCCTGCCAATAGAAAGACCAAGATATCTCCGACCGAGGTTGTATTACTAGACGGAAGATTCGCCTCAATCTAGTATGTGATATCCAAGATAAGGCTTTCGAAGAAGCCCTAGAATCAGCGTGCTAAAGGGCATGGACCGCGATAATTCGGTGAGTAATCAAACGATACAGCGAGTAGGACGACGAGGGTGACTACTCCGTCCTTCGGGGCTGAGCGGCAAAACCAAGAGGCCGCCCCCCCTGGGTTGCGTCCCACAGGGCCAGGATCACGGGCATGCTACTGTACCTCTGTACTGCCATCCAGGATTCCAGGGGGGTCCGGGTATGGAGCGCGCTAGAAGCTCTTTCTCGAATTCTTCGCCGTCTGGCGCCCTTCTAGAGTGTTTCCTGTTCGGTTTTGTGGAGACGCTATCATCGCTATCATCGCTCACGCCGCAACACCGCATACCATTATGTCAGATATCGGGCGAGTAGTCCCTTGAGAATCGTCCATCAAGCGCTTCGGCGCATCGCCGGCCGCAAAAGTCAATCTGAATCTGAAAGGCTGTTCCTGGTCCTTCCCCATGGAAGAGGCGGCGGAAGACAAAAGAAGGTTTAGCAAGGTAATTAATCCACAACCCACAACCCACAGCCCACAGCCTACAGGGGAACCAGAACACAGAACAAGGAACACGTGCCCAGACTCGCCTTGCATGCAAAAAGGAAGGAGGCGACTTGTTATTATGACACATAAGAGCTGAACATGTAGCCATCTGCGAAGCAAGTTCGTAACTATGTACGTAAGGGCTGGCGTCGTACTAGAGAACATGACAGGCAGGTACTATTTTCTTGAATTTTCATCGTGCGACAAAATGCGATGAAGAGTTTTTTCGCCCTTGAACGCCGATGGAAACCGGCCTCCACCGCTCTATTCTCTGCTCTTTGTTTTGTTGTACCTTGTGAGGCGCTTTTTCACAGACCTATTTTTACATTTCCCTGAGGCGGCTTTGTGGCGGTCTCTTCAGAGGCTCCGCTCACGTACGTCGTGCGGAGTCGTTCACTACTGCATCACTTGATCTTTGACAACCTCGTATACACTGTGGACCGCTCCTTTCGAGGGAAGCCGAGAATTGAATCTAAGGTGGCAATATGTACTGTGGAAAATTTTTCAGTTGTTGAAGGGGTTGAGCTGGGGAGAGAGGGAGCACAGCAATGCTCAGAATGACAATGATTGATGCATCCTTGGGGTTGGGTGTTCCTGATGTCAGTAAACAGCGTGGGTATTGTATATAACTCAAGTCAGCGGCAAAGTCTCAATCTCTCGGGGCGGTGTTCTAGTGTAAAGACATAGAATAACGCAGCAAGAGAATTACTTCTATAGTATGTCTCCTTTGTCGCCCTCCTATGACCCCCCCTCCTCGTCATCTTCGTCGGGCGTGCTCTAGAGATCGAAGATGCATGATGCTTTGCAGCTACTTTCTTGACCTGGGGTATCAAGAGAACTGAAACCAAACTCCTGTGAGGGATGTGACCTAAGAAATGCATAATGCAATTGAATCGAGAAAAAAGCTTGGAACTTGTCAATAGACTTTGAGAGTTTGATTTAGGACCGAGCGTGCTGGCTCGAGATAACCACGGAGATAGGTAATCAACGACACACAACAACTAGAGTTTGATGTACCTAATCAATTTTCCTAATCATAATCCCCCTAATCATCTCTCGTTGCTCTTATTTCTGGGGAGAGTGTGAGTTCAAGAGTTCAGGAGGTTGGGAAGATGTTGGCGAGGATCACGTGTAGCTCGATTCCAACCTCACCTCCTTTGACGCATCCTCATCCTCGAAATACCTACGGGACCTAGCACCCGGACTTGTATGAAAGGGGCTTCGAAATAATTCCTTCGAACAACCTTTTCATATGTTCGATGGTAAGTAGCCATCTCACAAATATGTACCCGTCGATCACAGTGCTGTCTTCCCAGTCAAACACGTCAATGGACAATTGGCAATGCTTTCGACCTGTCAGGTCATGCAGTGCTGTGTGGGCATGTGGTTCAAATCAAAGGGCCCTTTTATATAATCTACATCTCCTTTTTGGTTTGGTATTTGGGTTGTCTCCGCGAGGTGATGATCAGAAGAGCCATTGACGAAAGGGAGCATTGATGTCGACAATGATCGGCCACATCGGGGAGGGGAAGAGAAACACGACGCTCTCTAGCTATGATTCCACGGAATCTACCATCACTCGCAAGAATATGGCTTCTTCCTTCTCCATGATGAAATATGAAAGTCTGTATGCTGGAGTCACAGCAAAGTTTAAGTGTAGTTGCACTTTCCCTGTCACTGTTTGCAACAGCTTACCTCCTACTCAAGTTGAGCAGCTCGTGTCCTCCAAAACGCATCCTTTGTAAGAAATTAAGGCCGTGGATTGTTTCTTTGCCCGTATTTGGGTTCCCATTACCGTTATCGTTTCCATTTTCATATGTCCTATACCGCCTTGTCACAATGAGTTCAAAAGGTTGTTGTATGAGCCGCAAACCCCCTTCTCCAGATGGCCTCGCTCCGCGACATGTACCGGCACGATTCCCACAAGGATCAGCACCAACGCCTCCCAGAGGCCGTCAAATTCCTCTTCAGTACTTCTTATCACTGAGTTCGGATTCGCCCCTCTCGAAGCAAGAAGATATAGCTGAACTCCAGGCAATTTTTGAGGACGACAAGTCGTCGACCGAAGGCGGACAAAATTGTGTCAGGGCTAAGAAAAGTTCGAGTACTATTACATCTGTTAAGAATAGGCTCAAGAAACATCTTTCAAGGGAATTGAGATCTAAACGCCACTCAAAGTCCAGTATCGGGACCTCCGATGACAGTGAGCGGAGAGCCGAGCTTCGTCGATTCCGACAAAAGAGGATACAGGAGGAGTTGAGTAACGAGGGTGTTTATGATTCCGATGCCAAATCACTGTCGTCGATGGCAGGCGTGTTTACCTATGCCGACAAAGACAACCAAACTATATGGATTTCTGGAGGCCATTCTCCTCTTCCCGCATTGGTCTCCGCCAAGCTACCAATTTCAGACTTACCTCTTCCATTACCATCTCGGGCTTCGCCATCGGGAAAAGTGTAAGTTAACAATCGATTGAGCCACCTTAGTAACAGAGACAAGTGAAGCTAAAGGCACACAGAAACAAAGCACAATTTGAAGCACCATTCAACGGGGCAGTAACCCAGACACCAAGATCCCGATCGGGACGTGATCTCTCCGAGCCCATCAATACTGCGGTCGGTCCAAATACAACACGTTCGCGACGATATAGTTCACCAGATCCCGCATCGCGTGGAATAGAAATCAATGAGCCAAAGGTATCCCGGCACACAAGAGGACGAAGCTCGATTCCTCCAACTCCAGCTGCCCCGACCCTGCGACCTCGACATCTGCCAAGTATCCTCGTCAAATCTTCCTGGCGGCTATCTTTTGCCTCAGAGAATCGAGGCGTTCACCTTCGAAACTTGAGCCTGGGAGAAAGCTCTACTGTCCCTTTGAGCGGAGACAAGTCAGATGCGGGTTCTCAAACCATAGATAGGTGGCTACATAGCCAGGGTCTTCGATCACCATCTGAAGCTATTACGTGTTCAGAGGACAACGCGAATATAGAATCCTTAGCTTCTCTTTCTCAGACCTGTACTACAAGAGATGATTTCGGAGGCGTTGACGGCCCCGAGGAATCAAGAAGCGCCGTTCATCTACATGAGATGAGAGTATCTCAGCGTCTAGCACCAGAAGACATCCGGAGTTCTTCTTCCTCGCCAGAATCGTCAAGTCTGGAAGGCCAATCTCATTATTATGACTTTTCTAGTACTAGTCTGGAAGGTCAGTCTCATTATCATGACTTCTCCAGTACTAGTGAAACCTCGAAAGCCATTCAGAATACCTACGGTCCTTCCCGACCGACACAAAAGACTTCAGATTCTACACGTCTGAGTGAATGCATTCCTGAATCTTGGGGCAAGATCGTGCAAGATGGAACCTCATCTTTCTATCCATCTGCTGGCAATAGCATCCAGCCTTCGCCAGAAAGCTCCCATTTCAACTTGCTCCCTCTTGTGACAAGCAGCAAGACTGAACTTGATTCAATAGAGCAAGCGAGTGAGTGGCATTCTCTCCATCATGCGGGAAGCTGAGCTAACGGGCGCCCCAACCTACAGATATAGAAATATCACAGACCTCAGCCAGCCCAAGGCCTATACCCTTCAGTATCCCAGCCGTTAATCAAAGTATCCCTTTGATAAAGTGTCATAGCCCTTCCCCCATTGGCACTGTCTCATCGATCGCTGTCTCTGAGACTGCATCATTTCGCGAGAGGGAGGCAGAGCTTAAGACCTTGCAATCACGTTTCCCAGAAGCAGAAGCATATTGTATCCCAAGCACGCCGATTTCTAGTAAGCCTCGGGAGGAATTCAACTTTAAGCCCTCCCCAGCCAAATCATCTTCCCCGAGCAGATTTTCGGCTCTTGCAAGACTCGCTAGACTTGGAGCCAGAAGCTACGATGGTCCTATGGAGAAAATGCTTGGTGTTCCATTACCGCCTTCGCCAGTGGCAGTATCCCCTTATTCGAAGAATGGACATAGTCCTGGCGCTATGAACCCTCTGGTTGATGATGAGGCTGCTAGAGCATGGGGAAAAGCGATTTATATGAACAATCAGTCCAATGACAAGGACATCTCACGTAGTTTGACGCTTCCAGCCTTGCTGAAAAGAGTTGGGAGTTACAACAGCAGGAGTAAAAGCCATCCCAGCGGTGACTTGAAAGCGAAGGGTAGGGAACCGAGTTTGTTTAAAAATGGCGACGAATTCGGTGATGATAGCCCTACGTCTTATAAGAACATGATGGCAAAGAAGGAGGAAGTCTTGGAAGACTGGGAACGAGAATTGCAGAAGTGTGCGCAAAATGCGAAGGCTAAAAGTAGGATTATCGTCAAAAACGCCAAATGCGGCCCTGACAGGAGATTTCCAGCATCTTGGTCCAAATTTCCAAGTCATAATCGCGAAGAAAGAGTGGCAGCTGCGGGGTCTAGTGATCGGGTTGAGCAAAGGGATTTCGCAATTGCAGGTATAAAGGACGGCAAGAAAGTGTGGTATCATAGTGAGAGGACAAATCATCTCTACCATCACGAAGGCGAGGATTTCGAGTTACACAGAAACACGCCGAAGAAAGGATTCTTGGAACGGTGGGAGAAGAAAATCAGAGACAAACTGTCTCAAGTTGAGAGTGTGCAGACCGATATTTTCCTGGACCGAACACATGGGAGGAGAGGAAGCTTGATTACGGAAATGCCAGCAAAATACCCGGACTTGGAGCTGCTACCTATAGAAATGATGACCACCGCCCAGATTGAGGCCCAGGTTGAAGAGCAAATGGCAGAGGAAATGGCGCAAAGGAAAGAAGAGGAGCTGGACACCGCTTTTGGGAAGTCTGCCGCAATGGCGGGGCAGTCAATCGATCGTCCAAAAAAGTGAAGATAGCCCCCGAAAAGTTGGAAATGATTGATCTGACGCCAACGAAGAGCACCAAGGAGAGGAGGGCGGCGAGACTTTCACGGAAGGGCTGGACATTACCCAAGCTGTCACGGCAGCCAACGAAAAGATTGGACATCGGAGATAGGAGCAACCGTCTACAACAGTCATACGGACCGTCTGTGATGAAGAAATCCGAAGTAAGCGATGAGATGACTATCGAAGAAAGAGTGGCAGAGTGGCGCGCTAGGTCGGAGAAGCCTGGGGGTACTCCGGATGGCCACTTGGATTCCGCTGAAGATGGCGTCTGCGATCAAAATAATGATTCGCCGTTGGAAGAGACCCCACGTGGTATTGCAGATCCAGAATTTTATGATGATTTTATCGTTACCCCACCGGCTGATGAGGGGGCAGACGGTGATGAGTTTGAAGAAGTGAGCCCGAAATCTTCAACGAAGGATAAGTTCATGACCTGGAGCGGCAAGGACTGGGATGGATATAAGTATAATGCAGGAGCTATGCTATCTCACCGGAGAGCCTTGAGCACTGGCACTTTGAGGAAGAGCACTGATGACTTCCATGGAGAGCTGCAGAAGATGGAGCGCTTCGAGATGGAGAAGGCCCTCAGGATTGCGGAGGAGGCTTGGGGTAGCGTCAATAGGTAAGGTAGGTGTATCTTCACATAAGTTTGGGATTGGCTTCTGATAGTCTCCTAGCTTTGGGAAGGCAATTGGGGGCATTCAAGGTATTGGTATAGACCTTTTGGATGGGATATTGATATGGTGGGTATAGCGTCTGTCAATGATGCATAGGGTCTTGCATTCTTTAGAAGGAGGTGTGCATTGTTTGATAGACAGACAGGCTATTAAATTCTAAACAATCTTTCCTTGCATGGATTGACTGAAGTGACCGTGACTGCATTGCTTTGAAGATTAAGCGAGGCGAAAAGGGGCAAAGTCGGACTCTGAGGAACAAGATCATAACCGATAGCTGGTTGATACTCAGTAGCTAAGACGAATTACTATCGATATTCAATAGAATCCAGACCTAAGGTTATATCTGCAGGATTTTAACTAGCTAACTAGCTAACTGACTGATCATCCTAATTGAGACCCCGCTCTTTGTTAACGAAAGGAACAAAGGGAAGGAATAAGTGGAAAGGAAATCCGATATTTTTCGTTTTTATCTGCCTTTACAACCTTGTTTCTTTTTTCATAGTATAGTTGGATAATTCATGCTCACTAGGGAGGCAAAATGTAAGTTCAGCTAGGCGGGGTAGACACTCTGGATGGGATTAAGGGAGGAGGAGACGTCGTCGCTCTTTCGAATATCATCATCACCTTGGAAAGAGGTATGTATATGTATACGAATAATACAAAGGCTATTACATACGACCACAGACTGAGGAGAACTGGGCATCCCGTCCGCTCTGCCATACATAAGCCTCAGATCGGTAGATTAGTAGTTGGGTGGGTGACCACCAGCGAATACCTACTGTTGTATGTCCTCTCTTTTCTTCACTTTTTTTTTGGTGGCCGTCTCTTCTTTCTTTCTGTTTTGTCTGTCTTCCGGTCTTAGGTATGCAGCTTGGGACTTTTGTTTTTCGTGCGAGTTACTGGCACGGATAGTATAGTCTGGGATGACTAGAGACATGTCACGAGTGGTGTCCACCGAGACATATCAAGAACTCCTCACCAGCGATGTAACTTTGAGCATCAAGAAAGGTTGCGGTGTATAAAGTGCCCTGTAGGATGTATTCGAGCATGGCTTTCGAGATTTCTCTGGTTTAAGAAACAAAGCACTGAGAACCAAGATTGAATTGCAATTGGTCACATTTAGTAAGCATTTAAAAGTGAATCCTAGCGAGGCTTACAAGGCTGACGTTGTAATAGCGCTACATAACGATCTCTTAAGTCGAGCGATTGACTCCCACCTTCTCGTGGTACTTGATGTTAGTAGCCTGCTACGCGCAATTGAAGCCAAGAGGAATTAGACAGTCAACAGCTAGGGACAGGGCAGGTCCCAAATATACACTCTGTCTACTGTCCGGAGCCTCGATCACGCGAGTAGAACGGAACCTACCTACGACGTCTTTACACGACTTCTTTTGATACGACTAGACGAGACGGCAACACCGCGGTTATACAAGAGAATAGACATACGATCACGAAACTTTCGCGAGCCACGCTTTCTGATTTAGAGGCCTGCGGTCGAGGACGGGGGGTACCTGTTACGACGGTACCGCAATAACTTATAAGGGGCACTTAGGACAAGCATGCGGCATTACGGAGGCTACACAAAGATCTAGCCCTACCGGCTATAGAGTTCTTGTTTTCGAATTCTTACTCTATAGAAGGGTTTTTTCCCTGTCTTTTCCCTCTAGAGAACACATCGGTTGTCCTGTAGCCGATAGGGTTGATACGTTATGGGAGTGTAGGGCTTATGCTAAATGGCCCTTTGTACGGGATTTAGTCAAGGACCACAAGGTATTGCCTTTCTGTCTGAGAACGCAGACTTTAAACTGAATGAACAAATCAATCAATCAACCAACGATCTCTTGAGCAACAACCAACCTTCCTTGCGAATTGAGCAGCGAGTAGGCCACAAATATACATCATCCTTGTCAGCACACCAGTTCATCCAAAGCGTGACTATCAGCTCGAAGAATCACTATCAACTCGCACACCCGACGTCTGACTCAGGTGATCTCTGTTACATTTTCAACTTCACCTAGGTAGCTTTCAGCCATGGCAGCAGTGGCATTGCCCGACTTGCCCTCCGAAATAATTGACGAAATATCAAAACACATGAGCTATGGCTCGCGACTCGCTCTGCAGCTTTCTTGCCGTAGGCTCTTTGCTAAAACCGACCTTAATCGGCCCACCTACACAGGTTCAACTTCTTCGCCGACCAAAGCCTACGATATGGCAGATCTCCTCGAGATAGAACAATGGCCAGAGTACAACGCAGCAAAGTTCAAGCCGCTTCAATCAAGGCAACCAGTCAGCCAGCTCGACTTCTTCGCATGTCATCTCTGTCTGAAAATCCGCTCCGCTGACAGATTTTGCAACGCCATGATGAAAGGTAAACGCGGAAAACTTGGCAAGGGTACTGTAGAGGAGAGGTCTAAGCGCTTCTGTATACCATGCGGGATTACTCATGGAATATATCAGCGAGGAATATACCTACGGTCTGGTGGGGCATCTGGTTGGGTTGGTATGTTGCAAGTGTGGCAGATTTGAAAGTGGGCACTGTAGCGAAGTTTATCTAGCTGGGCCTGAGAGGAAATGTGCAGTTTGCTGGGACCGCAGCCACAAGGAACAGGGGCCGTTCGATTCTTTCGATATCTCAGTCGATTGTTCAGATTGGCGGGACGTACTCTTATAGGCATGATCTATAACGTCGCGAAAGGGTGAGATATATGGATGGATTAGGGGTTTAATATAGCCTGAAGCTAAATTGTGGTTTCCTCCCCAGATATCTATAAGTTTTTGACCTGTTTAAGCGCTGCCTGGAATGAGCTGTCAAAGAAGTCGAAAACGGTGATTTCTAAATGTCTATCTAGGTAGGACTTTCAAGCCTGGAAAGCATTGGATGTAGAATAAGGCAACGACCTTAAAGCCCCTAATTACATTACACCCGGCTATCAAGGCTTTGCTGCCTGTATGGAAAATCCCTTAACCTTCGTTCACTACCTACTCTCCGACTGAACCAAACTTTTCAAACGACATACCCGCGCAAATGTACCCCTATCTTTGCCAACATAGCCACCCATCTATACGATAGGATTGTTATCTTCCATAATGTCTGCTACAGGGAACAAACGAAACAAAGATAGAGCGAGCAAGAGACAGAAGGCTTTGATGAAGAAGGCCCACGAATTAGGGGCATTCCCTAGGATCGACGTAGTCGTGATCATTTGCAAACGGGGTCGATTTTATACGTACATGTCGACAGACCAATAGTCCTGGCCGCCTACCAAGGGCTTTGAGTTAGGTTTGATTTACGAGTATTGCATGACGAAGACTGCTGAAGATGCACAGACAAGCCATGGAAAACATAGCAATCTGTGGAAAGCCCTTAATACTAGGCTGATAGAGGAGGCTGCATTGGTTGATTATCCACGTGCCGTTATCACTTGGATGATGACAGTTCAATTCCAGGATGTGGCAAACTGCTATACATTCCGTCTGATTCTTGCCTATCGTAATATATGTCCGAACCCATATCGCTATTTACATGAGTGGTTTGTAGGGAGGAGATCGTTCTCGATAAGGTGACAGAAAAAACATCGTCATTCGGCGTTGAAAGTCGTCTTCGAAGAGTGGAGTGTTAAAATCATAAGGAATCAATGCAGGAGAATAGATAGCACTTACCTCATCACTTCATCAATCCTTGTTCCAAGTCTCCAAGTACAGCTTCTCCTTCAAAACATACTGAGCAACCCCATCAGACAAGAGCCGCTTCAACCGCTGTCTATCGTCCTTCTTAACCGCTTCCCTAACCTTCGTACTGCTAATTGTCTCCTCCCCCTCTTGCTTCCCCGCACACATCACAATCCTGCCCTCGGTAACCCACTCCTTCTTCCCACCATCCTGCTCCCTCTTCCCCTTGGCCAGGTTATCCAAGTACTCATCCTGAACCTGCTTCGCGCCCCACTCGTCATCCGTCCGGTACGTAACCATCAATCTATGCTTCTCCAAAAAGGGATCCAGGATCGAGAGCTTCTTCTCCGGCGGGTAGTATTTAGGATCCAAGATCCTGATCAGGGTGTCAAAACCTGTCAGGTGCACTTGTTGTATGGACGAGGGGTAGGCATCGCTTTCGGAGATGGCAACGGCTTTGTCAACGAAGTAGGGGAGCTTGGTGACGCCGATGTCGATGCCGATCTCCTCCGCTTTTGCGGATGACGATTGGGAGGCGATGTTGCTGTGGATGTCGGACGCAAAGATTTGCATCATTGCCAGGCGCTGGTCAAAGGAGGCGGGCCTGGGCGCCTTATCTGCATTTTGGGTTGAGAGGAGCAGGAGGAGTCGTTTAGGGGAGGGGGAAGGCTGAGTGTCGCGGAGAAGGGCCTCGGTTGCGATGCTGAGGTGTGCGAGGGTGGGCGGATTGAAGGAGGAGTCGAGGACGTAGAGCGTCTTTGGGGTTGGGAGTGCGGTTGAAGGGAGGGAATGGAGAATTCGGAAGTTCGAGGGGGAAGATGCGAATTCTTTCAGAGCACTGGCGTATTTGCCCAGTGATCGGTGCATTGCTGTATTGTCGGGAGCTGGACCAGCGGACATGTCGAAAACAGGTTGCAGATTCAAGCTTGAAGGGAAGTAAAAGACTCAATGGATGTTCATTGAATTGAGACGCCGAGGAGACATCAGGGTCGTCTTAAGTCCTCAATTGAGTGTCGATAATTCTGATATCATTAATGAGATCAAGAGGTGATGTTTCGTCACTCATTCTTTATACGCCAATCATAACCATCCTCATATGACGAGGCTGAAATGTATCGCGTAAGGCTGAAAGTCTCCACGTCGGCACGACGTTCCACATTCAGTGACAAGTTGACAACATTGTAACCCGACTTCAACTTGTTCCACGACGCGCCTCCTAAACAATACCCAACATTCAGACGCCATTAATTTGGTCATGGCCGAGAACTGGATACCGCCAACGCGCGAAAACTGGGAGCTGGTGGTCTATTGCTTCCAGTTCTTCCCCTTGGTAAAGTGCTCCTATTCTCCCAGAACCAGCAGCCCCCTGACAAAGACAACAGGTCACGATATTCCAATGGGTTCAGCCATGGTATGGAGCGGGCAAGACGTCTGGCAATAGCCGGCTAAACCTGCCCGGCCGGTGGGCGTGGATCACCATGGAGATCCCAGGTTTCCTGACCCTGCTTTACGTCATGAACACGCTCCCCGCCCAGCTGGGTATCGCACAGCTTCCGTGGGAGAACAAAGTCCTGGGCGCGCTCTTCGTACACTCCCTCTCTCCCCTTTGAATCCCCGATACTTGGCTCATGGTGATGTCAGGTTATCCACTATCTCTACCGCGCCATTCTCGCGCCCCTGATCGCCCCCTCCATGTCTCCCATTCACCTTATAGTCTGGGCAAGCGCCGTCTTCTTCCAAATCATCAACGGGCTCTCCATTGGTTCCTGGCTAGCAGGCTACGGCATCCCTGGTCATTTTGATGGGCAAGATCGCATGGACGGCAAAACCAGGGCGCGCATGCTGCTAGGCATGGCAATTTGGGTGCTGGGCTTCGCTGGCAATATATGGCACGACGACGAGCTGCGAGAGATCCGTAGAGCGGTGATGCGGAAACATAAGAAGGAAACAGAGACCACTGGGAAGAGTAGAGGTGTCGGTAAGGTCTATATGATCCCGCAGAATGGCCTGTTTAGGTGGATTTTCTACCCGCATTACTTGCTCGAGTGGGTTGAGTGGGCTGGTTTCTGGCTTATGGCGGGTGTGGACTGCGTGCCCGCGAGGAACTTCTTGTTGAATGAGATTACGACGATGTTGCCGAGAGCGGTGCAGGGAAAGAGGTGGTACGTGGAGAGGTTTGGGGAGGAGAAGGTTGGTGGTAGGAAAGCGATCATTCCGGGGTTCTTATAAAAGTGCATTGGATTATTGATGGAAGAGCATTTTGATAACTTCTAGAAGAAGGACGCGGTGAAGGAGCCGAAAATACCCAAATTTTGTTCGTTAATATTAAGGGTGGATTCGAGAAATAGATTTTAATGTGTATTTGAAGGCCTCGGGGCTCTCCAGTCATGACCCGCTTCAAGCCAAGATGATAGATTGCACCATTCCCTATATATTCCAATCCCTTCCCAGTCCTATTACTTGGTATCCAGTGGGAAATTATCGTGAATTAGTATCATCATCTTGGCCGACCGCAGATGTTGAACATTTCGTCGACAAAGAACAGAGACTCCGCGGTTTGAGTTGCCTTGATGATGATGGCAGTATTTGGGGAGTCTTTTTTTTTAAGGAAGTTCTTTCGACGCTGCGGCAATCTAGAATCGGGGGCCAGGAGCGAAAATCAAGTACATGGCAACTCCCTGATTCCCTCATGTCCAAAGCTTTCTAAGGCAATTCTTTCATGGCCTACGTATGAATCTTAACGAAAAAGAATATGTGCAACATATTGTCATTGATCCTGTCCCGGTATCTCAGAACAGACTATCCTTGCTTCCCAGAAACTTCAAGTACTTCTTCCCTCCAACCTAGAAGGGTTTATCAAAACATAGATGATATATTCCTTGTCCACCGCCTTAACAAGTCTCGCCTTTTGTTAAAATCCGGCTGATCTGCTGACTATAAGTGCATCCATTCACAACATTCGAATCACTCGAGCCTGCATCCCATAGCATGACGCCCGCGAAGCCCTCGTGGCTTTTATACTCATTAACCAACTCCAATGCTTCATTCGGCTCCACTATCAATCCCATGTCAGTATTTTCCTATTCTCAAAAGATTCGGGGGCAGTTTTCAAGCCGAGAAGAAAGATTCCCGACGCAAAAATCAGGACGCGGAAAGGAGGAATATTCTCATACAGTAATACGACTCAGAAGCAGCACCTGGAGCAGCCGGTAAGCCGATAAACATCTTCGCTGCCGTGCTTTGCGACGAATTCACACCCGTGACCTCCTTCCACGCATCGAAAGTAAAGTACTGATTCTGGCCATTAGCTGACGAGTACCCACTGATCTTCCCGCGCGCAGAACACGTCGGCGTATTGTAGTACTGCACGAACAAGTAATCGAACGGCGAGTTGAAAATCATGTCGCCCATGCTGGCGTCAGGAACCACACACTGCGGCGCGCCAGAGATGTAGTACGTCCGGCTGGTATCCGTGGCGAAGAGCTCCCGCAGCTTCCAGATGAGAAATACATAGTTGTACGACCCGACGTTGTTTTCAATGTCGAGATCGAAGCCGTCGAGGACCGTGGTGCCTAGGGGTCGCGACCCATTATAGGACTCCTGCACAGGTCCGTACGTGGCCCAGAGATTCTGGGCGAGCGCCTCGGCATCGGATTGACTGCTTAGTCCATAGCTACCGGCTGCGCCGCCGAGGGACAGTAGGACGGTTTTGTTTTGAGATTGGCAGTACTCGACATCTTGAGCGACTTGTTGGCAAGCGGCCGAGGAAGGTTCTGTGATACTGCAACCACCAAACCCGCCATCGGGCGTGTTTGAGCCGCCAAATTGAGAGAGGAAGGCCAGTGGAATTATATCAATGCCTTGGGAATCGGAACAGAAGTGGGAGAGGTTGGTTTGCCCCGATTGTCCCTGGTTGAAGTTAGTTGAGGAGTATACTTCAACTCAAGGCATTCATACCCAGTAGACAGCTTGCTGAAACGCTGATATAGGAACAGCTGAAAGAAATATAGAGAGCACACCAGCTAGAAAAGAAACTGAGGTATACATGATAACTTATAGATGGCCAAACTATTGTGCCAAGTGAAAGAAAGAAATACCTCCCCGTCTTGGCTTATATACACCAGCCAGATACATGTAACGATACATAGCTAGTAACTCAATGATGAACATATATAAACAATCCTTTGAGTACAATCTTTCCCCTTGACAGCTCTCCTACGATACGATCAATCCCCAAAGTGGATAGATGTAACGTTGGGCTAAGGTTACCAGGGCACCGAGAGCGATCTGCAGACTTGGATTCCGTATAGCCTGAAGCTACAACAGAGCAGATGGAGCTACGATTCATGCTGGAAAGCTAGAAAACAAAGTCCTCACGTGACGAAGAAATATGGATGATGTGTGATGAAAGTGAGCGCGACCCTTACAGTAAGGTACTAATAAATACACGCCAGAAAAGGGTTTGGACTGACTTGACTATAAACACGCGGCGTACAGCCGAGAAGGGAGTGAGACCCCTGAGGCTCCTTTAGCGAGATCCGATATGCCCTCTTACGGAGTACAACTATACCCCACGAACCCCGCGCAACCACACCACACTCCCTGAACGGAATCGCGACGCAGTCAAAATCGATAGCATTCAATGAGCCACTACTTCTGCTCTGTAAAGGTTGGTTCAAAAGCACTTGCGAATTGTCAGACAAAAGAAATTGCATTCTAGGTAGAACTTTGACTACTACGAGCATTAACGCCTGGTAAGGGGGGCAGAGAAATCCATCCATCTATCCATGCATTCTCTATATAGTTTTACATTTTCCTCTCATTTACACAGATTCTCAACCCCAAGTCTTAAGCTTCTTCATGCTGCCCTCCTTGTCAAGAGCCTTGTGCATATCGAAGCTGTTCCACAGGAGGTGAGGCTCGTGGCCCCAGCCCCTTCTCATGCATTCAAACTCGGCCTTCTTGAAGTAGTCCTCAAGGATGGGCTTGTAGTCTGGGTGCGCGCACTTGTCGATGATGACCTTCGCTCTCTCCTTGGGGCTCAGGCCACGGACATCCGCCAATCCTTGCTCGGTCACGACGACGTCGAGATCGTGCTCGGTTTGGTCGACGTGGGTGCACATGGGCACGATGCAGCTTACACCGGTAGGGTCGGTTTTCGAGGGGCGAGTGGAAGGAGTGTGCATAATACTGTACTTGGAGGAGCGGAGGAAATCGGCGGATCCTCCCAGGCCGTTCAGCATGCGGGAACCCATGACGTTGGTGCTGTTTGCGTGGGCGTAGATGTCAACCTCGACTGGGGTGTTCATACCAATGACACCCAGTCTTCGGATGATTTCTGGGGAGTTGGAAACTTGTTGAGGTCGGAGAAGGAGCTTGTCATAGTAGTTCTCCCATCCATCGTAGAAACGCTTGAATCCATCTGGAGAGAAGCGGATCGACGTTGAGGTTGCGAAGTCCAGACGACCGGAATCGAAGAGGTCGAGGAAGGTATCTTGCAGAACCTCAGTCCAAACCTTCATGTGCTCGAACTTTGATTCCGCCAATCCTCCGATAACAGCGTTGGCAATGTTTCCAATGCCGGACTGGATTGGGAGGAGGTTCTTAGGAAGACGGCCATGGGCCACTTCGTGCTCTAAGAATTCAATGAGGTGCTTTGCAATTGATTTTGAGGTGTCATCTTCAGGGGAGTTTGGTTGGGTCTGGTCCTGGTAATCGGACTCGACGATAGCAACGATCTTCTCTGGGTCAACAGGGATGGAAGTGGTTCCAATACGGTCCTCAGGGGCCATGATCAGGTAGGGCTTTCGGTGTGGGGGAAGTTGGGTCATAGTAATATCGTGGAGACCTTCAAAGGATGGCATGGATGTGTTGACTTCGACAATGATCTACCAGACTGGTCAATACTCCGCAACCTAGATACGGGTTATCCGCTCATACCTTATCAGCCATTTGGATCAATTCAGGTGATGCTCCGACAGAGGCACCAGGAACGATTCCACCATCCTCGGTAATGGCGGTAGCTTCCACGATAACCACATCCAGCTTGTTGTTTGGCCGGTCCTTGGTGTAGAATCCCTACTCCAAACATCAGCGCCACTCATACCTTCCGGGTATCGAGAGCAGGACTCACATAAACCAAGTCCACAGGGAACATGGACAAATGTTTGTCAAAGAATTGAATGTTTCCATTGTTGATTCCTTTCGCAATTGCCTTGCCTACTTGATGCGGACTCCGTCTCTCGATCATATTCAATTCGGCCCATCGGTTCTCCGTCTCTGCACCGGACGACGCACCCACGAACAGCGAGTACTTCATCTTGCCCTGCAGGTTATTCTTCTCGACATGGTCTGCCAGCATCGTTGGGATCTTCCTGCAATCAAAATCTTATCAGCAAAAGCCCGACCTTTGAGGAAAAGAGGTCCAGCGCGCATCACAGCTCCAACCCCTCTCACACAGCAGCATTGGTCCTCGCGGGAGACTGGACTGGGACCAGGAAAGGGGACATGGGAACGCACTTGGGATATCCAACACCGGTAAACCCAGACCATCCAATATACGAGCCATGCGGGAACAGCGGGAGCAGGTCCTCCGCATTTGCCAGTTTCTTCAGCAGCGAGGGCCGACGCACACGAGCCGTCAGCTCGGCGGACGCTTTGAGAAGGGCTGAGGAAGCCATGGTTTGTTTCGCAGTCAAGACACGCGGGGGGACTCAAATGCAGATAGAACAATGGGGTATGGGGAAACGCAGCTTAAGAGCAAGCAAGCAGCTTACGAACCACCAAGGTTAGGGGGAGTAAAAAAGAGCTTTTTACTCATCATCGCATAGCCGGCGGGTGTCAGGCTACTGAGAGCGACTACCGAGAAGGCTCCAGACGTTCAGAGAGCCTGGTCCTAAGCGAGGGCGGTGTCGTCATGTCCTGACGTCGTGCGCGAACTCGGGCTGTTCGAGTGGCCAGCCGCCATTGCTGCCGATTATCTGATACTGCGGGTTAGTGAATGCTGGGGAACGGGATCGAAGACCTCTCTTCTTTTCCTTTTGCCCACGCTGAAGGCTCTATGAAGAGGGCTTTCGAAGACTGACGAGGCTGAGAGGGCAACAGGCCTTAGTGCGCGGCGAAAGCGAGTCGACGAATCCCGACCTCCTTTCATCCGACCGGTGGCGCTCCTGCTTTCAGCCTCAGGTGTCGCTTACGGCCCCTGGCTCGGCAAAGATGCCTTGCGGATCAGACGGGCTTTTACCCTCCTGAGTCCTGATCAACCACCTCTGGATGGAGTAACTCCATATGGGGTACGCTTTGCTCAGGAATCAGGTGGTTCCGGGCCATCCTCCCAATCCGATACGTTGTATTACTGGTGCTTCAATTGGTTTCCCGAGGCCCACGGATCAAGTTATCAGGTATCTTCCTTTGCTTCATAATCATCCTATCACGACAAACCATGTATGATATGACCGTAACCCCCATGAACCATGAACCGAGCCTATCTGCCTGTTTGTTCCATTTCCTTTGCCGCCGGAGCTGGAGCTGGAGTGGCCGCCTCCCTGGCCATTCTCATCTCGCTCTTGCTTAACTTCAGATCCTCGCTATAATCCCCAAACGCATTGATCAGCTCGCTCAGTCCACCCTTGAGAGCAGCCAGTATGCGATCGACCTCCGGACTCTCCTCCTTCTTCTCCACATCCGTCCAATGGAAGCCCAGGCTCTTCTTAAACGCCTCCAACCTCATGATACTTGTCGTGAGGGTCTGAATAATAAGCCTCACGTCCCTTTGGACGTTGCCATATTTGTCCTCCGCAAGACTGCATACGGCCAACTTTGTCAATGACTCTATAGCATCGACGATAATCCCTGCATCACCATAGGGTGACCCCAGTACTACGGCGGCAATCCTCCGTCTATACTCTTGTCTAAATGGCCAACCCACGTTCGTCTTCAAGAGCCAAGTTGCCCAATCGCGGAACAGTGCACTGAAACCCTGAGCCTCCACTTCTTGCCGTTGCTTAGGAGTAAGAACAGCACTCTCCGCTTTTTCCAGGAGTCTCTTGGCTTGGGGTGAAGGGCCAGGTGGGGATTGGCCATGGGCCTTTGCGAACGAGCCGACTGCTTGGGCAACACCCGAACTTTTTGACTTAGGCGGAGGCGTTGAAGTAAATATATCTCCTGGCTCCTTCAGTCCATCTTTTAAGGGGCCGCTTAATCGGGGCAATGAAGGTACTTCTTGTTCTTTATCCGCCGGCTTCGCAGTCACTGGGGGCGCTTGATACTCGGTGATGCGTGAGTCAATTCCCGTAATAACTTCAAGGCATATGTCACGTATCTGCGACCAAGTTGAACCACCCTTTCGGTCGATATCTTCAAAAATGGCTTTTCGTCGACCCTGAAATTGCTGTGCAATGTACACAAGCTCCCAGAAAGCAAAGGCCTGCAAGATATCAGTTGGAGCCCAACAGATCATTCTCGTTTAAAACTCACCCTCGTCTGCAACTTCTTCCCTTTCAAGCCTGTCAACAAACTCCCGTTTGGATCTTTGGACTCATATGTGATAGGTCTTTCATTCTTCAGTGGCTCCTGCGCCACATAGGCTGAAAATGCCGCATTTCCGACTTCCCAGAGCATGATCAGTAGAAATCCTGCTGTGCCCGTTTTCAACAGGACGCTCCAGTGGAAGGGTCGAGTGCTAGGAAGTGCGCCGGATTTTGGCAGATTCCAGAATATCCTAGCCCAAGCACGAGTGAAGCTCCACGCATAACCTCTGATCGTGAGAGAGTAAATGAATGGAGATACAACAGCCATGATAACAGCACGATAGAGGGCGGCCGACGCCAATGTAGGCAGTTTCGCCTTTAATTGAACAGCAGGAGGAGGAACAGTGTTTGCTTGTTGATCTGATGAGGCTTGAGGTTTCGTCTTCGTAATTGGCATATCTATTCGGTCGTAATCGTAGTACAGGTGGATGCCTGTCTGTACAAGGCCAAGGAAAAGTAGATAGCTCGTCAAATAGATGGGCTTCTCGTTCAGAGTTGGCCGATCCGTCCTGGGTATTATCTTGATCCTATTGAGATCTGCATCTTTAGATGCTGACCAGATGTAGACCTCGCTGAATAGGTAGGCTGAAAAAATGTACCAGCCGGCTGTCTGTATCGTCTGACCCCGCACGGCATATCGTTTGAAGGTTTCATAGGCCGAGTTAGATGTTCGCAGACCCACGTGTAACTGAGCGACTCGAAGAATAAATATCATGAAGGCGGGGATGAACAGAAGACCAGCTCTTATGCCAGCTCTTCCAAATGGAAACCAAGACCAGATCACTGCAAATTGGATTAGACAACGTCGGATTTTGTATGGTTGGAAGCTGGGCGCATACAAGAGTTCCATTCCCCTATGTAAACAGCCTCTGCATAGCAGAGTGTAAAAAGCGTAGCTGTTGCCCTTGCGAATCTTCTGTGCAAGGCTGGTGTCAAGAAGTCCTTGTAAGGACGAACCCTAGGTGCGGGCGGCATGACGAGAAGCTCAAGGGTTCAAAACCCTTTTCGTTGAAGAAGTAAGGACCGTATTTGAAAGTATTAAGAACTCAGGTAGAGCTAACCATTGCGCACAAATCGTGGTTGTGCACCTGAAGAATCAGAAAATTGTTGTATGTTGACATTCGATTCCCCAAACAAAATAAATAGAATGCGCTCAGACGCGAGGTTCTCGGCAAGGTTGACGTACCTCGACGGATCAGCAAGAACCTCCGTCAACAGGCACCGATGGTGTACATAGACAACCATCACGCCGATATTCCACTCCACATCTCCTCATCGCTGCCGTCATGTCTTTCGATCAGTTATCGTCGCTGGAGTCCCAGCCGACTAATATGCGACGGCGAGATGACCCGCATTACACCGATGACCCGGAGTTCCAGCGATTGTCGCAAGACCTCATGTCCAAGCTGTTGTCATTAGCAAGCAACGTTTCAAAGCTGTCGAATCAAATCGCTTTACTCGGCACGAAGAGAGAGACAGAGAGGGTGCGGGAGAGGGTGCAAAATCTGCTAGAAGAGCTTAAAGACAGCTTCAAGGAGGTTGGGGAGGGCGTTAAGAAGATACAATCATGGGAGGATGTCAGCGTAAGCTCTGAATTTATGATGAATGTTTGACGATTTTATATTAACTCGATAAATAGCCATCGCAAAAGTATACGCAGCAAAAGCTCGCCCGGGAGTTCCAGAACACCCTTACAACATTTCAAGGTGTGCAGCGACAAGCTCTCGAGAAGCAGAGAACCTCGGCGTCAGCAGCCCGAACAGCATTAGATGAGGAGCCAGGGCATGTGGCGGAAGACGGCGCTCAATTTGGGCAACAGCTATCGCAAGAACAACTGCGACTCGCTTCGCAGGATGAGGTGGATTTCCAAGAGTCCCTAATCGTGGAGCGTGAAGCGGAGATTCGAAATATCGAGCAGGGTGTTACAGAGTTGAATGAGCTGTTCCGAGACGTCGCCCACATCGTCAGCGAGCAAGGCGAGCAACTGGATATGATAGACCAAAACGTCGATAATACAAGGACGGATGCGAGGGGTGCTGATCAGGAGTTGAGGAGCGCTTCGCGGCATCAGAAGAACGCTCGGTCAAAGGCTTGCCTATTGCTGCTGATCTTGGCGATAATTCTGACTATCGTGATATTGGCAGCTGTTCTGTGATGAGTTATTGAGCAGGTCGAGGTAAATGTCTCATGCGTGGGAGTTTAGGCGTCTCAACGGGAGAGGATAGATAGTCTTCAGTTATTAAGGGTCCGTTCGAGCAGTTGAGCGCATTGTTAATAGCCGTGCTACTGAGAGACCAGGCTATTCTAATGTCCATTATGATTTTCCATTGTCTACATCGCCAATATTATATTATATTATAGAGTTATGCGTACACTGCAGTTCATGTACCTTACCTACTGCTCCGGAGTGAACTTAGGTAAGGTACCTGAGATAGGTAAATGGTGAAGCTTGCATAAGGCTCAGCCTAGCAACAAGGCTCAGATCTGGACCCCTATTGTAATGCAACACCCTGAAACTATCGCAGCAAAAGTTCCCCTTCCAACTATCACACAGTCCAGCCAAATACCTACTCGCATACTCCATAGAGCATTTCGTGTTCTCACTCATCTTCTGTCCAGTCCCGAACCTCCCCAAGCGATCTACGCCTGACATCACCATCAGACAAGGCTCTCGTTTCCGCAGCCGAGCGCGCGCGCAAAGTCGCGTCCATCCAGCCGTCTGGCAGATACCCTAACACCTCTCCCTCACATCTCCCACGAAATTTCCACTTCGCCATGGCCTTAGAACTCGATCAGAAGAGTCTCGAGCAGGCGTTTCAGGGAAGGCCTGATATACAGAATGCTATTAGAACCGCTGCCGGTACGTGCGATTTCTCGAGCCGTGTTCCAAGCCACTTGTTCGATGCTTGGCTTTCCTTGTGCTATTTACATATTCCTGGAATGAAGAAGAACAATTTGTTCTTGGGCGCTGGGGTACGGCTGACTGACTGACTGATTTGACTGACTGGTATTTCTGTAGTGGCGCCAGCGTACATCGAGCTCTTCAACCAGATCTCGCTGCACGTCTGCAGTCTCACGGGCTCGAGCGCTGCGTCCCCCGAACCCGCCACGAAGAAGAGACGGCTGGATGAAGGAGAGATCCCCAGTCGCCCTGCTCCAAAGGGCCAGACTGCCTCGAACGGAACAGCGAGCGGCGACGAGCCCGTTTTGCTTGAGATCAATGATATCTCGGTCGTGGTCCCCCAGCGGAAGAAATACACCCTCTGCTTCACGGACACGTATCTTTATGCGCGGCTACCTGGCTCGAAGGAGCCCGTGGCGGGGATGAGCTACGCTTGGAAGGATATCGGTATGTGCAGGCGCTTTCATTCATACTTCACTTCAACCGATGCGGCACCTAGCTAATATCCCCCTTTTCTGCTTTGCGTGCAGACCAAGCATTCTGCCTTCCCGTGCCCGAGAAATCCCAAAAACAGCATAACTACATCCTCTCCCTCCCATCCTCTCTCCTCCCGCCCTCCAAACCCAGCCCAGGCACGCCTCCCCCTCCCGAACCTCTCGTCTTCACCATCCCCTCGACCGCCCCCAAACCCGGCTCCATCTCCGGCCCCCTCGCCGCCTCGGCGTCCGCCGTATCAGATGACTACAAGACGCTCCTCGACTGGGCGCTCTCCACGCGCTTGAAGGCCGCCAGCAACCCACTGAAAATCACCTACGCCGACGAGAAACTCTTTCACTCCACCCAGCGCCAGGCGCACCGCCCCGACGAGAAAGCCGTCCACGTGACAGCGTTCCGCGGCTCCAAAGACGGCTATCTCTTCTTCCTCCCGCGCGGGATCCTCTGGGGTTTCAAAAAGCCGCTCCTCTTCATCCCGCACGAGCGTATCGTCGCAGTCTCGTACACGAGCGTGCTGCAGCGGACCTTTAACCTGAGCGTCGAAGTCGACATCTCCTCTTCCTCGTCAGGGCCCAAGAACGAAGCGGGAGAGGAAGGCGAAGGCGAAGAGGAAACGCAAGAATTCGAATTCTCGATGCTGGACCAAGAGGACTTCGCGAACATCGACGCTTTCGTCAAGCGGCACGGGCTTCAAGACCGGAGCATGGCGGAGCAGCGCCGGGCCAAGAGATTGAACGTCAATGTGGTGCGGGACGAGCAGGGGAACGTGGTGGGCAGTGTTGAAGCGGGCGAGTTGGAGCGCGCGGGTGTGGAAGCTGGGGAGGAGGGGCCAGGAGAGGTGGAGGGTGGTGAGCTGGATGATGAGGATGATGAGGAGGAGGAGGATTATGATCCCGGGAGTGAGGGGGAGAGTGAAGGGGAGGGAACGAGTAGTAGTGAAGAGGAAGAGGAGGGGGAGGGCGCAGCTGGGGGCGAAGAAGGAGAGGAGGATGACGATGAGGATGAGCTGTGATTGTTGGACACCTTGCTTCTAGCGAGAGCTGAAACTTAGATACCTGTACTGGAATTTGCTGAACTGTACTGGAAATAGGGCAGGATGAGATGTACCTTGGATGGACAAATAGAAATGAATGAATGAAGGTTGGAAAACAAGGCATCACGTTACCAGAGCTCTCACTTTTGATCTTGAGATATTTTTCTTATTTAATTCTTCTGTCTTCCCTTCTTCCTTTCATCTCGCCAATCCCCATCTATCTCCCACTCCTATGATCCCGAAGCCAATAAACCTCTTCTGGGTATCAAAGACTGCGCTCTCCCAAAGAACCCATAGATTCAAGGTACCAGCCGCCAAGTAAGCGCGCACCTTCATGCCGCTATAATACACACCCTCTCCTGTAACTTTTATTTCCCATCCTTCACTCCGTGGCGAGCTTGAGCTACACCCAAAAATAAAATAAATCAAATCAAGGTCCGTCTATGCTTTTAATCTCTGTCTCCTGTCTTTTGACTCCTCATCCGAGACCCATAGTTACAAAGAAAAGAAAATAATGATATGTATGCACGGAAAGCAAGGCAAGTCTAGCTTGCAGTTTAGAGACTAGTTACTAGTAATTAACAGCAAGAGCAGGAAAAGGAATGAAGAGAATCGCCATTCAAGGAATGTAGGCTCTTGCTTGCTAAGGAGCGTGGGGTATCAATAAAGTAATATCAACAACAAAAGACTGCGCGTGAGGCTGTCGTAAAATCATAAGCGATGTTGTTACAGACAACAGAAATGCGGGAGGTCCTGTAGGGTCGTCGAGATGCTCTTTCACGATTTCCCTAGTCCCACAGGGAATTTCTCGGTGATGAATTTGAAGAGTTTAGTTTTCTTGCTTGGGGTGCGGTGCAGTTGCGCTGTCACCTGCACCATGGGACCGACGATATCCTCGTCGCCGAGTTGCGGGAATTTACCGCCGCCGCGAGGATCATTCAGGGAGGGGATCTTCGTCATGATGTTATAGCTCCCGTCACCGAGCGTTGTGTGCTTCAACGTGGCAAAGGCATCGGATGAATTCTCCACGGTGTTGGCGATAGTGAGTTCATTGTTTTTCCTCCAAGTTGACTCGATCGCGGCCCACTTCTCTTCCGTCAATTTATATGTCTTGGACGTAGCTCCGTAATGCTCCCCGATCCGCACGAGATGCTTCGTATAATTACATCGAGCTCGATCCCAGTTTGCGCGGAGTTGACGACATGCCTCGAGGTCGAAACGTTCTGGTACGTACGGCTCCGGATAGATGGTGAAGTTTGCATGACCGAGTTTGTCAGCCCACTCGTCATTCATGTCGACGATGATCATTTCGGTTGTTGTGTGTTGGCCACTCCAATTGAGATTGTTGCGATGGAAGGAGGAGGTAGACGGCTTGGTACTGAGAGGAGGAGAGGGCATTACTGCGTACTGTGATGTGGTCGCATCCATAGGCATCCCACCCTCCAAAAAGGGGTCGTCGTTCGGTTCGGCAACCGATGGAGACTGAAGTGGCGATGGCATTGGCACGTGATTGGTGTTCGCTGAAGCGTCCGACATCAGTGGAGGTAAAAGGGGCGTAGTGGCAAAACGTTCATCTGGTTCGTCGCCATTCGTGTTCGTCCTTTCGATATCTATTGGATTGGTTTGAGAAAGGTTCTCGTGGCTACTACCACCAAACACGCTTTTGGTGGGGGTGGGAGGGCACTGAGGTCCAAACGACGACTGTTCCCATGCCTGTTGCGCCGAATGCGAGACCGATGATGAGCGGCTCGATGCACCACGGGAAGTCGCGGAGTTTCGCAGCGCCTCGGGGCTGATGCATGGGGAGTTCGTACCCCTTCTCAGGCGCCACTTCCGGGAGAAGGAAGGAAATCTTGTTCCGATGCGTGTCGCGAGACCAGTAAACGGTGGCTCGATGGCTCTCTTCTTGAGGCGTGGGCTCATTGAATATTCTTCCTCGCTGAGAAAGCCATCGGCGAAATCGTAATCGAATGCCAGTTTCGTCGGCAGCTGCTCTGACCTTTCCACAACCGGACGCTCGCGGTGCAAGCATTGGGGGTGGTCACCTAGATGACGAGCATTAGCTATACCGCACGCAACATCAATCCCAAAGCCCACGACTTACATAGACAATCGTAGAGTTCATTTTCATCATCGAGTACATTGATTTCTTCCTCTCTCTCATGGCCTTCCTCGATGACGTCGGGTAGGCTTCGTTTACCGGACTTTGGCACACAGGGCGGGGAGGACGGGCTCTCGACGACAGAGCCGTGAAGCGATGAGCCAATGGATGAGATTGAACTTGGGTATCTCATGTGGCGAGCAGAGAAGGTCGGGGTGACTGGCGAGGGGAATTCGGAAGCCGAGGCTGAGGAATTCTGCGTGTAGAAGGACGACGACGAGAGATCCATCTCGGAATCCGATGAGCTCTCCCTCTTCCTCCGCTCCTCCACCAACAACGGGAGTAATAGTGGTTTAAGTTTTGGGGACATGTTTGGCTGGTTTCGGAGTGCTTGGAGCGCGTATGGTGTAGTTGCTGTATTCCTCTCTCGTGTAGTGCTCAGCAGGTTGCGGAAAGCATACTGTGTGGTACTTCTGGTGTTTCTTTCGCGACTAGGGTTGGAAGAGCAGACGAGCTGATATGGACCTTCGCTGGTTTACAAGGCGGGTCGGGTCATACGTGGTCTAGGTGTGCTGGAGGAAATAGGACGGTGGTGAAGTGGTCCACGTAGGATATGGTCTCTCGAGGGAAGGCGTGATGCGGCGAATAGAACACTGGATGGCAGGACCAATCAGCACCGTGCACATGCGCGTAGAAAGGACGTATCGTGGGTTCTGGGGAACTCACCGGATCGGGGATTGGGGATTGGATATATGGAACTCGCGGTGCGTTGTAGAGATCTCTCCGGGGTGAGCTGTACGGGGATGGGTGTACGTGTGACGGTGACGGAGGAAGATTGGACGGAGGATGCGAGAGAAAAGACGAGGTTCGATGGCGAATAGAACGGGATGGCAGAAGATCGGATCGGACGAGGGAACGAAGGGGCGTGAGGAGAGAGGGGGGAGGGGGGCAAAGAGCTGTGTTATGATTTTTCGCTGGGCCAGCCGTGTGGTATGGAGTCACGGCGGCGGAGGAAGTACCTTTCCTATGGGGCAACCGGCGGGGAGGTACTTTGCAGCTCCAGACAGCCGTTTGCGGCTTAGGGTTGGGCCGCGGGTCACGGGTGTCGCACTGTGGTTGTCGGTGCTAGGCACAGGCGAGGCACGCAGAACAGTTGCTCGGATCAGTAAAACCTCCCAAAAACAAAAGAAAACAAAGCCTCCAAACTTCAAACTTCTCAAACCCGCCCGGGGTCTCTGCTGGCCCCGCCGCTGCCAATTGCTGGGTCCCAGGCCGTAGCGTTCCAACTCCTCAGCGGCCAGAGCTGCTTAGCGTCTCCCAGGAGTCCTCTCGCTGCCCACTTCGCGCTGCTCCGGCCGCTTCTCTGGTACCTACGACCGCCTCTCTGCCCTGTGAGCCCCGGCTTAGCAGTGTAGCATCCTGACGCCCCGATTCTGGGTCCTGTGCTGCCGGGCCCCCTTGGTGTCGGCGATCTAACTGCAAACGGTGGCTCTGGCGGCCTGGCGACTCAGGCGGCCACCAAGGGAGAGCTCAATCCATGGTTCTGGTACCACTGCTGACGACGGTGAGTGCTGTTATCTGCTGGTATCATGGTGTTATTGGTGATGATCACTCATGATCTCTGGTTGTCCAGTATCATCTGCCTCCTTATCTCAGGAATCCCCTCAAAAAGCAGACCACCAAGGACCGCGAATAGCCCGCAAATGCCGCAGAGACAGAAGTGTCAGGACAGACTCGGAGACTCCCCTCACTCTCTGCCGTTGCCACGTTCCCTGCTGCCCTGCCGGGTGGATCGAGCTTCTCCGTGCAGTACCTACTACCTTGGCCGCAGCGGCTTTGCTTTCCAGCTTTCCATCTTTCTTTCCATCACCGTCCATCGCTTCCATCCCCCGTTATTCTTAGTAATGCCTGGCCCGGGAGACTGACGAGAGCCAGGATGACCCAGGATGACCCGGGCAGCGGAAGAGAAGGGCCAGACCGCATTGCCAAAGGGATAGTCCCGGAATCCGAAAGGCGACGTACTACTCCGTACAAATACAGTCTTGTGTATGGCGGGATGGCCTGTCATGTGTGGAGCCACTGGGCCAGCAAGGGATAGAGAGGGTCGACCAGCAGCATCCATGATCCTTCACTTTGCATGCCCTATTCAGGACTCAGGAGTGTGCGCTGTTGTGTGCTGTTTGTGTCGGAGGACAACAAAGCTCGGGTACCTGCGCCTGTCTGCCGCCGTCTGCTGAATTTGCTGGCCTGTCGCCCTCCCTCGCCCTCTCTGTCACTTCTCACCTTCCCGGATCTCTCTTCCAATCTTACAAAGGGCGACCCAGCTGTGCCTCCCCTACACCGCACGTACCTTATCTTGTGATATATCCCATATCATCTATATCATACAGACTACAGTATACGGTATACGGTATAAGATATCACCGCGAATTCCATATAATCTCAGGTCCCCTTTCTCCGGAGCCTCGAGAGCCGTTTCATGATTTCATCCAAGCGCGGAACCTGCACCTTCTCTTCCCGCCGCGCCCTGGTTGGTCCATGAGTCCCGCTTCCTCATGCCAGGAACGTGGAACTTTTCTGCCTGCGGTATGTACACACGGGAGCATCTGTGCAGTGTACTTTTCATATTTCTGGACCCATGTATCTTTATACTCTGTACAATTTACAGTATTACTCGGTATAAGGTACACATCTTCCATATTCACAACCCCCGCCCCCTAAAACCGCTCGTCCGATGTCCGATGTCCCGGAAAACCGCGAAAAAAGAAAACAAAACAAAAGAAAACCACAACGAATTCATCACATCGCATCAGCGATTCAGTCCCAGCTTCCATCCCATCTCATCCCATCATCTGTAAGCAAACCCTCATCTTCCGGCGGCCCCGGGCGCCACCACCACAGGGCAATTCCGTCCGGCGGATCGGGTACCAATATCATGGCTCCAGCACATCGTCATCAAGGGTCCCATATCATCGTCATCTGCGCACAATCAATAGCAAGAATAGCTACTGCATCAGTGTATCTACCGTATCTACAACTATCTATCTCACTATCTCTCACTATCATCATCATCGATCTCCTAGATATGAAACAAAACAAAACAGAAACAAAAGGGTGCAGAAAAATAATCTCCTAATTGATAAACATCCCAATAGCCTTATCCATTAAACGAGTCAAATATCTGCGGCCCCTCCCGCTGCACAAGCAATTCATCCAAAAATCGCCGAGTCATGTAGGTACAATCGCTATAGCCTATAGCCTACAGAATTACCTTCCTGCTTCGCCACCCTGAATGAGGTGTCTATTGGTGCGCTATTGGGCTTGAGGATAGGTACTTGCACAGCGTAGCTGAGTGCTGCTGTTGGGTGCCGGCTGTGCTGTGCTGTGCTGTGCGTAGAAGGGTGGTATACTCCGTGCCTAGCAGGTAGTTAGCTGTGAAGCTGCTGCTACTACCACGGTATAGCATAGCACAGCCCTAATGGGCTTCCAGTTGTCTTCCTTACCAGGTAGTTACTCTATAAGCTACTGAGCCATGAAGAATTGAAAGGGAAAGGGAAGAGAAAAGGAGAAGTAAACAAGAAGGTTTTCTGTATATATTATTATCCTATATTTTAAAATCAAGTTGTTTTCTACTGTATTCTTCCCTTCTCAAACAACCCCCTCCCCCCCGAAAATCTCCCTCTCGAGTCTCCCCTCTCACTCTGCCTCCCATCCAACCATCATCAATCAATCATCCATCACGCCCCGCCCTACCAGATCTACGCACGGCACCCTCCGCTCGCCTAATCATCGCTCCCGCTTCGCTATCCGAATTTTCCAATTTTTCTCCTCTTCTTTTTTTTTTCCTTCCTGCGGGGCCCAATTACGTAGGTAGTGAAGTGAGACTTGAGCTACCTTACTAAAAGGTCTAAGAGTAAATCCTCCGTAAATAGGTGAGACAGTTCGGTACCTTACCTTAGGTTATGATGGGATAGGTAAATAAAAGAATGTAAATAAGTAAACATGTAAATAAACAAGAGAGTAGGTCAATACATAAATAAATAAATAAATAACTTTCATAAGGTACTCGATAATGAGGGGCGTGATTCGATGTGTGTTGTTATTTTTAGGGCTATTTGGAGTGTGTGTAAATCGGTAACTGAGGGGTAAGGTATTGTATACACCGAGTAGCGCAGCGTATGCTGAGAAAGCAAAGGTAGGTAAGGCAACGACAAAGAGCCAGATCTGGATTATGCCTCGAGCAACATGTTGTACGCGGTGATGATGCAGGCACAGGACAGGGCAATCTAATCTCGGTATTCTCGGTATGTATGTATACGTGTGGCATGTGCTGTGCGACGTGTGTACAGCAGGAAAGACGGTGTGGAGGGGAGAGAGATTCGCTGATTGATGGATTGAATTGGATTGTGCTCGTTGTGCGGATGTTGTACAGAGAGAGGAGGGGGTATCATCCCATCCCGTGCCATATTCCTCCATCTAATTAGTCCATCTTACAGCGGATATTATTGTATCGTGTACGGGGATGTATGTAAGGTATGTTTTGTACAGCTATACCAACCAGCCTGTGATCTCTCCCGGGTTGGTTCTCATTATCGATACACGTCCTTCAATCAATCAGCCGCGGCATCGTGTCGCCAGCGCATGCACAACCCTTGGATGACCCGTGTTGTTTGTTCCGGTCACGTCCAATATCGAGTCCAGATCTGTTGTTCCGCGGCGCTTCCCTCAAACTGCAAGCTCGTCAGTCCACCAGACGGGGAGGAGAGCGCCTGAGGGCTTCATTGGTGCGGGGAGGAAGAGAGACGCAACGTACTTTGAAAGCGACTTCCGTGATATCCTGGAAGCCTTCGGAGAGCGCGGGGCGCTGGTATCGGGATGTGAAGCCGGTGAAGGCCACGCTTGGGAGGAGACTGCGTTTCTCGGGGTTCATCTGTGTGAGCAGTTCAGCTTCATCTGGCCTTACGTACTCCGTTTCCGTTGATAGAGATGACTAGGAGGCACATCATTGGGGATAGGGTTGGAGACATACAAGGTCGTTCAATGCTCGCACGGCGTCGTTGTGTTTGCAGATCTCGGGAGGAGCCGTGAAGAGAACACAACGGATCGGGATCGAGCGTTTCACGGCCAGTTCAACCCACTTACTTCGAACCTCGGTGTCAGCATTCGTGTTATCTGGGACTCGTCAGCATGTCGGGGAGGTGGCCTGCTAGATGCTGCCTCATACCGATTACCACGGATTTCCCCTCGTCCAAGTACTCCCCAGCAACCTTAATGCATTTATCTCTCTCCTCGAGTGTTAGCTGAAGCTCTCTTAGCCTCGAGATGCTATGGTACGTACAGTTTTCAAGGTGTCTTGGTTCACTCTTTCATATCCAAGAGGCTCCAGATACTTCCGGTAGAATGTTGACTTCCCTGCGCCTGGACTACCACAGAAGAGCACAATGTCTTGATCATTCCTCTTCTCGTATACCTGAGAACCTGTTGCGGTCAGTTTACACATCAGGGGTTGTGATCAAATGTATCGTGACAGACCTTCGGACGCAACGTCGGTGACGTACGCAGCGGGATCAAAGGAGCGCGTAAATGGTCTTGGTGCTTCCTGAAGGAAGAATTCTTCCGGTGTATGAAACTTGATGCCAATATTTTCTGCAAAGTCCCTGATACACGTGAGTAACTCGAAATATATGGAGTATGATAGGAATTAGATGCCTTACCTATCTGAGCAAGAGAAGTCCTTCGGCTTCCCTCCACCTGCTGAACGACCGCCAGCATCCCCGACGAAAATAGAATGTTCCAGGTCAAGATCGGCCGGATCAATGTCGTAGTCTTCAAGGAGTTCCTTCCACATCCCAGTCCTGGGCTTACGGAAGATATCCTTCTCAGTGGCTGCATAGATGCTCACCGGAAGGTCCAGCTGGTTGAACACCGCAGCGACCTTGGTCTTGAACGTTGAAAGCTTGTTCTGATGGGCCTTCGGCGCTTTGGGATCAGGTTTCAGAGAAATCCCTCCCTGGTTGCTGATCACCACGACCCTGTACCCATCCTCACGATAAAGCTTTCGGAGGGTACCAGGCACAGAGGGATGCCACCATTTCCAGTCCTGGGGATCAGACGAGAACTTCTTGCCCGAAGCCGTCAGGATAAGGGTAGAATCCTGTTCGAAAGCCAGTCAGAAGCTGTATACATAAGGTAGTGATTCAGACTCACGAAATCAAACGCAGCAACTTTTCTCCTCTTCTTCTCCTCTGCGTCATGCGTACTTGAACCATCCGAAGGCACGTATTTGCCAACGAGAAGGGTGCGTGGGGAATCATCATCCGCTCCGCGTTCTTGCCAAGTAATCTTCTCGGGAGCCTTCTGTGATGTGGGCGTAAAGAATGATGCTACGGCATTTTCTGTGAAATTGTGAGATTGGGTTCTTTATTGATTCAAGGCGAGGAGACTTTACGTGTTGTTGTGGACTGTACTTTACGGCGCAGAGGCGGTGGAGAGATAGGTCTATCTGTGCTGAATTTTCGTTTGCTGCTTGAAGGACTCGCCATAACTATCAGGCAACGTCTGCTCGGGCTTTTAATCAAAAAAGCCAGATTCGTTGGGCCTGGATAGCTGTATGGCTTTGATAAGGTGGATATTAAGCTTGCTGCTTGACGCGTGCGGTCGGCTTTGAGTTTCCACTCGATCAGAAATCGCGTAGTTGGACCTCACCACATGACAGAACCAACATCTAACAGTACCTTACTTCCAATAGGACATAAGGTCAGCGTACAATTATTTAGGCCTCTTTATCATATTAGATAGCCGATGGCGTAAGATAAATCTCACTATCGGTTTGTACAGTCTATGGCGAAATGGAAGGCAGGGGAACTTCGGTACAATATCTTGGGACAATTATATAATATACATTGATCCCCATCACTTCTATTCTACAATGACCCTAGTAGCCAGTCGTAACGTTTCTCTGCCATATCCTCACCGTCAAGTAATGGACGTAGAGTTTTCATGATAAAATCCATATCCGCTTCAGATGGCGTCCATCTCTGCCGCATCTCCTCCCACACATCAACTGTTCTCGATTTTCCCGAGCACTTCAAAAAGGCCCTGAGTGCCCACAAAGCAATCCATTTTGAGATATACAAATCTTCTTCCCCACCATCTATGGCTTGAATGAAAGCCTTCCATACGCTCTCCAGCCTATCCTCGGTCCAATGAGTGTAGCGAATCCCGCCATGAAGAGCAAATCCTTTCAGAAGGGACAAAAAGAGAGCTCCATGAAGAGGTATTTGAAACCACTTCATCTCATCAAGATATTTGGCCACTTTGTCCAGCTCGCCGGACCTGACCGCGAAATAATTAACTAATATTCGATACGTATGAAGATCCGGCGCGATGATTGATTTCTGCCGGAATTCCTGTAGCTTCGTTGGATTTTTCTTGGCGGTTTTGGCCAATTTTAATAGCGTAAGATTGATTTCCCTTCGAGATTTGTAGTCTCTCGGAGGGAGCCGAGAGTCTTTATTCGCCAGATGGGCTCTTTTCATGCGTTCGTAGACATTCTCCGCCGCATTTGCTTCATGGGACTGAATGAGAGCAGATATCATGGCGTTCAGTACGACTGTATCAACAATCTCACCAGCTTCGACAAGAGCCTTGTAGGCTGCTCGTGCGCCATCACCATTTCCTTTGAGACCATAGAAGTGTATTTGGCTCACGTGGTGAAATCGATTGTACTTGAAGCCACGAGCTTCCATCTCATTGTATATCATTTCGGCGAGTGTGAACTTTCCGGCCTTGCACGCCACGTCAAATAAAACATTGAATGTGGCATCGTTTCCCTTAACTCCAGCGACGTGCTCCATCTCTCTCCACATTTGCAGGGCCGCCTCAACCTCGACTTCAGTAGACCTGTTGACATATCGAGCGGCAAACGAAATGGCGCTGGTCCACTCAGACGTTGTCAAAGGAATAGCGGTACTTCTCATATCGTCGATTACCGAAAAATATCTCAGCATGGACTGTTCATCTTTACGTTCCACTACTGCTAGATGCCGGAGAAGTTTATGTCGGGCCTTGGACTCGAGATAGGGAGCTCGCGGCGCAGGTAACTCCCTATATAACTTGTATATGTCCTCTGGTTCTTTTGAAAAGTCTCGAAGTGCGTGATCTAGTAGTGCAAGCTTGGTCTTCGTTTCAGGGTCGGCAGGCCAAGCCTGATGTGGAGGGGGCCATTCGTCCTCTTCCTTATCGGAAACGGTGAGGTGCGGACCGTCTCCTGGTTGATGAAGGTTTGGAAGCTCAAGCAACGGAAGTTGATCCGTAAATGACGGTCCGTCGTACTGGTCCACCAGTGCCATAAGTTCTTCTCGTGTGGTATTGGGGTGAATGCGGGCCTCCTCAGCTACTTCCAAGGCCGTCTTTGTATGCTGATGCCGCTGAATATAGGCGCTGTACGCCAGCCGCCCGTCTGCAGAGACATTTCGTTTTTGTGGTGCAAAAAACTTGCGATGTTGAGGTATTCTTGTGCTATGCTTGCGACAATGGCTCGCATTTGCAAGGGAGCTGAAAAACCAAGCCTCCAGCCCCGTTGTGCTTGAGATCATTTGTAGAGGTATTCGACGGCAAGTGTCCCTCCGGGGGCCAGAATGTAGACCCCGAGTGAACTCGAATGGATATAGGAAAGAGAGTACCTGGCGGGAGGCTAGCTTCGAGACGAAGGTTCCGCTCGTCGAGGAACTGCTGCAAAAGGAGGACATGAGGCGTCTGACATGTTGGCCCTTTCGTCACCGTTCTAGAGTCATTGAAGTTCGAGGTGACGATAAAGGTACTTCGCCGTTATTTGGATATCGGATAATGATAAGTTGATGGACCGCCTTGCAGTGCTTGAAGATAGTCGTATACTAGAGAAATCTCCAAGATTCGGAGCCAATATAATTTCGGAGCTAGAGTGCGGCCGGAACTTGCCGAACAACGCGCTCTCACTCCGAAAAGTTGATGCGAATTCGACAGAGCAATATCTCGCTGTATCACTGCGAGGACTTGCAACCAGATCTGTGAGTCCCAGTCTATGAAGTATTCCAATTATAAAGACTGTGCCTATCTAACCATTCAATACCAGGTAATCGCCGCCGCAAAGATGAGGGGAGTAAACCTCAAGCCCTCGCGGGTATATCAAACGGCCTCTATGCTCCTGGAATCCCACAGCATAAGTCAACCTCCGCCCTGGTATTCAACAATAGGAGCAATCCCTCCCTCCGAGATCCTGACACGCACACTGCCTACCCAACACCAGGAGCGAAAGCCGAAGTCGCGTGTACGGAAACCAAGCAAAATGTTCAAACCTCAGCCTATCGAGTACGAAGAAGATCGATTAAGGAGGGAATTCTATGGTGATCACCCATGGGAGTTGGCCAGACCAAGAATTGTCTTAGAGAATGATGGGAGGGATGGGCAGAGGTGTGATTGGAGCAGGTTGCAGCAGACCGGGAGACCTTTGAACGGCGAGAGGTAGGACTTCTACTCCATAAGAGGGACCTAATACTGACACCATCTCAGTGTGGTTCAGAGGCAGCTGTGGCTCATGAATAACGCCGGATTGAGCAAAAACCAAGCCTATGATTTGGTACGAAAGGAGTTCTATGCTCTTCGTCACGAAGAGGAAGTGGAACGACGAGTTGCCAAGGAAGAAGCTCTGTGGGTTGGGGCACAGTTCGGAAAGAGCGCATTAGAAGTCGGGATGGAATTGGAAGACAAGACCTATGAACAATGGAAAGAGTGGGCTATAAAGGAGACTGAAGCCATTGAACGGCAAAGAGATTCCGCATACACCACCATTGGGACTCCGAATGAGGAGGAAGGCGGTCTGGAGTTGGCTACGGAAACCACCGAGCAGTCTACTTTGGTTTGAAGAAGTCTGGCTGTGGTATGAATGTATTGGTAGGCAAGGCGAAGGAAACTTGGGCGCGAATCATGTAGAAATTCTGTGTACTATGTAAATTAGTGTTCCCTTGGAAGAGTCCAAAATCTACCCCTGTCCTACTCTGTAGGGAGAAGCTTGGAGCATTTTAGAACATATTCTCAAACCAAATCACCTTGTTACGCAGACAGAATCCGTGGCTGCATAGCTCAAAGGGCCTTCTTCATCGGAAAATCAGATAGAATCAATCTCATATCTGAACCAGGAATCCTTGCCAGTCCACCTTCCTGACCCCATTCCTGTTTATCTCTTTTGCCAGCGTCTCCCACTGCACAAGAAACTTATCGCAAACCCCCATCCAGAGAAGTACTTTCCCACTCAAACTCAGAGTCTTGACTCTCGCCCAACTCTCTACATAAATGATCTTCATCTTCCATAGGGGAGCCAACCCAAAGAACTTCAAGATAACGCTTGCTAGAATCACCATTACGGCTGTAGCTGGTCCATTTGTGATGATGAGATCCGGATACTCGAAAGGAGTTATTGTTGATGTCCTGGCAGCCTCATACAAAGCTGTTAAGCATCCAATTAAGCAGCTTAAGGACGACAGAGGTGTGGTGTACAAAGGCTGATGGATTTTCCTTGCTCGTGGAACGGTCATCACTTGCCATATTCCAGTCACTGGATGAGTTACCCCTTCTGGAGCTGGATGGGCGTCGTCAACGTATTCCGTCTGCAGTGTTGCTTCGATGTCATAGGCTTTGCCGGCAGAGAAACTATCTCCAGTAGATACAATGTAGGTACGATGGGCCCATCTCGCGGGATTTATGTCTCGAAGAAGGGACATCATTTCCGCAGTGTGACCGCCAGAACCGAGAACTATCACCATATGTGAAGGACCTGTCTTGGGATATTTGATCCGGGGATCTAGACGAGGTCGCGATGTCGAGGGAAGAACATAAAGAACTCGAAGCTAACGATATTGTTAGGAATGACTTTAGTAAGGTTGTATTGTATGATCATCTTACAAATGATGCAGTGACCACCACAAGGACTGCAGCAACCAGAAGGCGTAAGGCTGAGATATCGGCCATTTTGAGGACACGAGGCTGACGGAGACTCCTTATGTCGTAAAGAGCCGAGAATGATCTTGATACATAAGTACTAGAACTCCAAAATACCTTGTATCATAATGGTGCGTTGCAGTAACGTGAGGTAGACTTGGAAGTGATATGTCTCATCTATTTTTGGTGCAAATGTTTGGTAGGACGAGGTTTGAAAGATGTTGTTCGAGAGGGAGGTTTTAGGTATCTCGCTACGAATATATTTTCGCTGAGCATACAGTACTTGCTAGACCTCTCTCGCCATAACCGCAGCGAAGGCTTCTACTTGAAGGTGAAGTCTGTACTCTCGTTTGTTTGCTTTTCCTTTGAGTGAAGTTTGATGATATGCTTGTTTTACTTCGGATCCTGGTAAATAAACAATACGATTATTTGGGGGGCCGGGGGAGGGGGGGTTGTTTACATCCTGCTCCTTTCAAGAACCGACTTCAAGGAGCAAAATAGCTGAAGTCTATTCACTACCTAACAAAAACATCAGTACTGAAGAATACGTGCTCCATTCCCACCTCTCACTTCCTCTTCAAAATTCTGCAGAACTTGTTTCCTCCGCACATGCTTGGTTGAACCCTTGGTCTCACTCAAAGATTCAAGAAGCCTCTAGCCTCTCACGGGACCTCACCGCCATCGACAGGGGTCAACATGGCGGTGCAGAAAACTAAAGCTCGAGGTGGCAGAATTGTCGCGACAGTCGTCCCGGTAGCAGCACCACCAACCCAGTTCCTCTTCAACAATACCCAAAATCATGGACACATGGCTCCTTCATTCGGCCAGAAGACGCTCAGATGCTTCTATTGCAATAAGAAGTCCGGCATCAAGTACGATGGCCTTATCAGACAATGGCAATGCGGACATTGCGAAGCGGACAATTTCCTGGACGAGGTACGTCCAACCTCAGCCCAATGTTTGCAAAGCTAATACTTGGATAGAACGGAGATATAACAGATCCACCAGTTGCTACCAATTATGCAGCTCCGCCAGACCTCAAATATGCAGCTCCTCAACCCGAACCCCCTTACTCCCCACAATCGCCACAATCCTCCGCTTCTACCGTCTTCTGTTCAACATGCATCAAAAACCAACATCTCTATACCGCATGCCTTGCTCAATACCATATTGAGTTAGATCCAACACATCCAGAATACAAACAACTCGAGAGAAAGTACTACAAGTACAAGAGAAATCTCGAGAAGCAATATCCCCAGGTCTGCGAAGATTGCGAACCAAAGGTGCTCGAACGTATGAGAGAAGCTGGCAAAACTGCAAAGACAGATTATCTCAGAAGGTTGCTGGAGAAATCTCGTGCAAGACGAGCTGCCAGTAGGACGCCTCAAATAACAATCTCTGGAGTATTCGAATTTACTGGAAAATACCTGTGGTATTTTGGGCTTGCTACACAATTGCTCTGGCATATCACTGCGCTGATTACCGCGGCACAATACAGCTATCCGGTCATAAACGACAAATATATTCCGTCTGCCATATTGGAGATACTCTCCTGGCTTTCAGAGCGTTCCTCCTCCTTGTCATCCTGGAGTCTGCGGTGCAGCCTAGCTTCAGCATGGTGGAATCCGAAGTTCAAATATTTGAATAATGGCTTCATCAATCATATCAACGGTTTTGGCGAATGGTACAAACATCAAATGATATTACTTGTGGTTCGATGCCTGATCTACTACATTATTGGAACGGGCGTTCTAGCAGACCCCTTCGCCCCGGCGACTATAGGAGCTCATGCATTCGGGTTCGTATTTATCACCTATGTAAGTAGATCGCGATATTTGATATGGGGATACTGACAATTTGAAGCTATCAATTGCAGCCAACTGTACTCTCAAGGTTGACATGACCCCTCTCTGGAACTCTACCCCCGTGAGGCTTCCGAACGTTGGGCCGAGCACAAGCCCAAGTCCGAAGGGAACTGGAAATAGTATGGCAGATGCTCTGGATCAGATACTTGCAACGCCATCCCAAGGAATACGACCAATGACACCGCCATCCTTTCCATCGTATGAACACCAGCAACAAGACGGCGCGAATAGTAGACACGGTGGACGGGCACCTTCTACTCGATCATCAGATATTAGAAACATGACACCTGTCCGGCAAAGAATATTTAACTCCTCGATGGGGGTCAACAATCTGTCATCAGAGAATAGTCCAACAAGATCAAATCAGAATCATGGCGATGAGGACCAAGATATGATGGACTGGTCTCCAGCTCAAAACCAATCCGGGTATCGTGCTTTCAACTCTACTCAATCCATTCAGCACGACGCAGAACTTTTCAACCAGTCTCCCATCGCATCCCAGCCGGCTCCTTTTTGGTACAAGGTTCCTCCTGCTCCCACAACCCCGGCTCAACGCCTTCGGAATCCTCCAAATCAACCAAGATTTCGTGTTTCATCTCAAGAAGTAAAGGAGAACTTTTTCAACAACGTCACCCGCCGGGCCCAGGCATCGGGGTCCCCGGTTGAGCCTCAACCCATCTTGGGAGGCGGAAGATCGACGCATGAGATTGAATTTGCGCAACAGAAGTTCTTCCCTCCGTCACCTCCAAGTGAAGCTGGCGAAAACTTGGCGGAGCTTTTGACTTCGTTTTCCTTGAGTTCAGAAACAGAGACCTCAAAGAATACAGCAAAAGGTCACAGAGTCCGGCATTCCTGTCAAGCTCTGATTCTTTTGCTTGGGCTTGTATTCTGGAATCAAGCCTTACATCATCCGACAGGGCAGACTAGAAATGTCACTTTGGCAGTCATGTGTGCATGCGCGTGTCTTGGTGTTCGGACAATATTGGATAACATGAAAGCAATTGCAGAAAAACAGCACAACTTGGTGCAAACTGTTGGTACAATCCTGGGCGGTATCGAGCTTGTTGCCGCTATTTATGGCATTCAGGAGATACTGGTAGGACATGGCGACTGTGCAAACTACGCTTCACTTGGTACGATTTTAATCGGTGGAATGATGGTTTATGAGATATGGCGTGCGTCATTCGGATGATGCTCGGTTCACGATGCGTGCATACTCCGTGTCGTACTCCCCATGTTGGATGGGATTTGTGATCATTGGATTTGGAGTACATGAGGGAGTTGGTATTACTTATTACTTATGAGCGCCTGGACAAAGGCGATGGTGGATTTGAATACTAGTACTAGGAGTATAATGGATGGCACCAATGGGATTAACCTATTGTTCTCGAACGGGCCTACGGACAATTTATACTGTATAGAGTACATATAGTACTTGTGGCCGGAATTGCCGTTTTGGCATTGGAATGCATGGGTTCATGCACGTAGGGTCTTTTCTTGATCCTACCTACCGTACTCACGACACACCTCCTGTACTGAGAGAGTATTCTTTGTTCATTATTAGACGAATAAACTCTAATTCTTCAAAACCACGCTCATTGTCTCGTGCGTTTTCCAGTATGCAAACATATAATTATCCTTCCTGATGATTTGAATACCTTACCTACCGTGCCATGATGACATAGGTAGAAATCACTAGGAGCTATGGCGAGGCTAAGGCTAAAAGGAGGCCTGAGACAGGGAACCGAGAGTCCGCTTCCACGACAGACCGAAATCAGATCCGTGGGACTGAACCTCTGCCTACCTTACCTTTATGTAAGATCAAGCTACTCGCACAAACTCCGATTCCCTCCCAGATTCCTTCCTCCAACATCCGCAGTGAACCCAACCCGCCTGCGAGGGCATCTCAACATCCCGTCGAGAAGAGAAGACATTCCACCATGCCTTCGAAACTCAATAACATGAATCAACGCTTTTGTCGCGGCCTCCATTGAGGTTCGACCGAGTATCCATCCTTGGTAAAGGATTTTACTAGTCGCAACAGAGGATGGCCTGCGTCGGATCAGTCACTACAATAGACTTTCTGTCCGGAGAGGGAACAGAGACGAATATGGCGGAGGCTACGCAGACGACTGTTTCTAGGAGATCGACAAGGCTTTTCGTGAAGGATCAGGACAGTGCTGAAGTTGGAACAGCTGGGATAGCGTACGAGTCGCGATATGGCTCGAGTAGTGATGAGAAGGAGAAGGAGAAGGAGAAGGAAAGGCCTGCCAGGGAGACAGGGCCTCCTTCAGGCAATGTTGATGCTCGACTGGTCCCAATAGTAGATCTCGGGATCGATCTATCCGGGATGTTTCCCACAACTGCGGAAGACATGGGCAAACAGGGTATGCTTTCCCCACACTTCTTGGGAACGCGCCCAAGTACTCTATTTAGATTTGAATTCAAGGACTAACGGATGCTACAGTCACGAAAAGCATCCAAGCAGCAAAGGCATCAAACAAGTCAAAGGTTGATGGCCGGCCCGTCAACTTTGGCATCGTTCTCCCTGATATGATTTATCGCAGCAGCTTCCCCATGACGGAAGACTTCCAGTACCTCGGGACTCTTGGCTTGAAGACCATAGTGTAAATTGCTCCTCCTCGGTATTTCCAAGTAGCATGCTGATCTTGCGCAGCTCCCTCGTTGATAAGGACTTCCCCGCCGACTTCAAAGCTTTCATGAAAGCCAATGGAATACGTCATTGTGTCATTGAAATGCAAGGAACAAAGAAAGTCCAGATCCCAGATGCAGTCATGAACTCTATCATGGATGTTGTCCTCAACAAGGAAAACCATCCATTACTTATTCATTGCAATCATGGCAAGGTACGAAGCACAGTAATAGTCTGCATGATCATCGCTGATTGTCTATAGCATCGCACTGGTTGTGCAGCAGCTGTCATACGCCATATTGCTGGCTGGAATGTTGATCAAATCGTGCAAGAGTACCAAGGCTTCGCAGAGCCCAAAATTCGTGAATGCGACATCAAGTATATCACCGAATATAAGGTTTCAAAGCTGGTAGATTTCTTCAGCAGGAAGATAAGAACAAGACGCAGCTCTGTCCTTACCAGTTCCAGGATGCAGAAGCTGCTCGTGGCTAGTGCTGCAGCTGTCGCAGTTTGGATTGCCACGGGATTACTTTGGGGAGAGAGGGTACTATAACAGGGTTTTTTAATAGGTCATCGGCATGAGCCAAAGCTCTGGTGTTTTGGAGTTGGGTAGAACGTGATCGGTAATGCAGAGCGCAAAGGCCAGACACGGATAGGGAGTTTACGGAACCTGCATGTTGCATTGGCAAGCAAATGCGTCTCTTAGAGACAGACAAGATAATCGTGTGGTTTATATTGTACAGGTAGTCTTTGTCCACATTACTCTCTGTGGACCTATATTTTTGCCTCTATATGTTGTACAACGATATTAAAGCCTCCCATTCCGCGTTAATCGTACATCCAGTTGACAAGTATTTTTTTTTCTTCAGAACGCCCCCCCAATTGATATCCGTGGCTGCTTTTTGACAAGTCTCCTCGCCCTCCACTTCTCGCACTCCAAATATTAACAAAGCCCCCATACTTTTACAAAGCTCTCTCCTCACCATTCAGCCTCCCAAGGGCATAAGTAGTGCCGCATCCAAGAACGTTCACCGCCGACAGTATCATTGCACTGCCCCTCGTCAAACCCCTCGCACCAAACTTCGAGCCTAACCTCGTCCCAAGCCTGCCACCGGCGGCTTTTCTCCTTCCTGCCAATAGCATATATAATCCAGACCAGGCCGCAGTCAAGCCTGCAGAATCGACCTCGTAAGAGGAGAGATTGAGGTAGGAGCTAAAGAGGAGGACCGGCGGGAAGAGCATTGGTAGTGTTCGCCAGGGTCGCGCGTGTAGAGCGGTTATAAGAGTTGCAAGGGCGGTCGGAGGCAAGGGCGATCCTACAGGATGGTTTCAGTTTTGAAGACAATAAGGAGAGATGGGAATGACTTACTGCCCCAGCCTTGGGCGTACGAGATAACAGTCTTTTTGGCATCTTGAACTGCCTCTTCTTCGTTTGATTTCTTCCCGTCCGGCATTGCTTGGTCTCTATCCGTTCTAAATTCCAATTTCCGATTATGTTTCGAGGATCTCGATAGTCCAAATCCTCTGGATTCGAGCTTCTCGGCTCAGATCGGATTTGTTCAAGCCTTAGGACTGTAAATGGTCGTCGATGATGCAGTTGACGGTTGCATCACGTGCTCACGTCAACCCGATGTGCCTATGTGGGTACCTACGGAGTAGGGAGTAGATAGCGATGCCAATTGTTTTAGCGACACGAGAAACCAAGTATGGAGGTACTTCCCGCGTCGTGGCCATAACAAAGCCAAAGCCATCTATCCCAACAGCCCCCATTGATCTTCTATCTGCGTCCCTCGTTCAAAACAACTGCATTCCTTCGCCAGCCTGCCACGCTATAATACACATCCAGCGGCGCAATGCCCGCAGCCACCACCTCCGGCGCCGATACGTCTGGCAACGGGGCCGCAAAATCGCGGGATCACAATCAAGGAAATCAGGAGCGCAAATACACTCTAGAACAGAAGGCCGCTGTCCTACGAGTGCGAAGATGTTCGCCGACGGCGTTCTACGATATTTTGGGGCTGGAGGAGGTGAAGGCTACGGTCACGGAGGCTGAGATCAAGAAGGCATATAGGAAGCTGAGTCTGTTAACGCATCCGGATAAGAACGGCCACGAACATGCAGATGAGGCCTTCAAGATGGTGAGCAGGGCGTTTGGTGTTCTGAGCGATAAGGACAAGAAGGCGAAGTATGATAAATTTGGTGGTGATCCGGATAGTAGGTTTGGAGGGGGAGCGCCGCAGCAGAATCCTTTCTCCGGGTTCGCGGGACGTCCGCAGAGTTCCAGGACTGCTAGCGGCGGGGGTGGACCCTCCTCGATGTGGGAGGAAGAGATTAGCCCAGAGGAAATGTTTAATAGATTCTTTGGTGGGGGAATGGGTGGTTTCGGGCCCTTTGGTGGTAAGTTCGAGCCACATCCATCCGACTGATGGAGGAATGCTGACACGCATCGCTGAAGGCGGAGTATTTGATACAGGACCTCAGTTTGTGTTCAATTTGGGCGGTGGACCTGGGATCAGAGTCCATCAATTTGGAGGAGCAAGACCCCGAAGAAGACCAAGGGATCCAAACGCAGCCGAAGAATCTCAGACTTCCCTACGGTCGACAATCATGGGGCTATTACCTCTTCTAATACTTTTTGTATTACCCCTTCTATCTTCCCTCTTCTCCGGCTCTGGATCAGCAGCAGCGGCCGGACCTTCAATGCGATTCGATGGCCCCGTACCACCGCACACGCTGCACCGCCTTACAAACCGATTAAAGGTTGATTACTACATTAATCCGGTTGATGTGGACCAGTACACCCCGCACAAGTTCTCCCAGCTTGACAAGAAAGCGGAAGTGACCTATGTACAGCAACTGAAGGCAGGATGCGAGCAAGAGCTTGATGCAAGGCAACGGTTGCTCAATGAAGCTCAAGGCTGGTTTATACAAGACACGTCAAAGATGGATCGGGCAAGGAATATGGAGATGCGTAATTGCAAGAAATTGGATGAAATGGGGATGGCGAGAACGTACTAACCTTTGTGATACTTTCAAGTTATTGAGAAGCATGGCGTTCGGGGCAGAAGCATTCTTGGGCGGATGGTTTGGGTTCATGCAGTAGTGTTACAACCGTATCACAGAAGACGTTTATCCCACGCTGGCTGTGTATTTCAGGCATATACGAAGACTCTATAGTGCAGTAGTGGGTGGTTAGTACAGCCAGCAGTAACAGAAAAGGCGTTTGTCCATGCTGTGGATTCTGAGCATATGTGAAGACTACAGTCTCTTTTGAAACCAAACAAGGCCTTCGTGTGGTCGGTCTATTCCCGGCCAGGTACAAGATCCCTCTTTTCTTTTCTTTTTCTAACCGCGAGCCTCTGTGAGAGTTGGGCCTTCTCTCTAAGCTCCCCTTTAAGCCTCGGTTATGTAAGCGACGCAAAGCCATCGCCCACTCTCTTTTGTGTCAATTCTAAATCATATCTATTCATCCGTCTTCTCTCTCAGAGAAGTTGCTGGCCTCTGATCTTGGTGTTCTCTACTCTCGTCGAAAAGAAGCTTCGAGATCTCGAGCCAGAGCTCTACCCCTGCTGCTTCGATTAGCAAGCTGCGGTTGTACAGGCCCAATCGCTAAAGCCGATAAAGAAGCAGTCGAACGTCACAGACTCTCGCGACCACAAGGCTACCATTTATACTCTTCGCAACGGGCTGTGTTCCCATAACCTCCTAGTATCTTACATCGCCATCATGGATAACGATCCCCAGCCTCCCTCGAATGCGCCCGAGGCTCCAGACAAGGAGAAGATGGATCAGGTTAGGTCGAGGTCCTATTGGCATGCACGGCGCAGTGGCTGATTCGAGAATTAGATTCGAAGACGACGCATGGAAAAGCTGGCGGGACCCGCGACTCCAAAGAGCGATCAGACTTCGGGAGGAGAGAACGGAACGCCCTCAGCATCCTCTGGCCTTTCGACACCTGCCGCCCCTCAGACCGTCGAGCCTACCTCGAAACCGAAGATTACCATCCATCAAGTCAACCAAACCCCTGCTACATCCGAGAATTCTTTGACCAAAGTGGGCTCTCAGCCATCGGACGTCACCAGCACTCCTCCCGTAAGATCTACATCTGAAGCAGGATCATTGAAACGACCACGAGCTGAACCAGATGTGCAGACTACTACAAGAGCACCCGCCCCGAAGGCGCCGAAACAATCCGTGGATGAGGATATTGACACATATGAGAATAGGATACTGGGTCAGATATTTCGGATTACGTTAGATCCAGACCAACGGGTGGATGCTTCCCATCATAAACTCATATATCTCCCAAATCTGAGGCAGGAGTTAGAGGACGAAAAAGCGCCGATTAGGCTTTCGAAGGACAGGCTAGACTCGGCGATTCTTGAGGCATGCTCTTCTATCCCACACAACAAATCAATATTAGACTATCTTCTACCTTGCTGGAAGAGGATAATGAAGGCCTTGAAGGGATTAAGAGGCCATGCAGATGGTAAAGATGCGGTTCTGAAAGAAGCAAAGCGACTTTGTATGAGCAACTGCATATTCGCAGTCGAAGTCCCGGAGTTATTTGGGTCAGTAGTTCGTTGGAGCTTGAGAGCTGATGGCTGACCTTTCTCAGCCGCGAACCAAACCCCGCAACGGATTCTCTGACCCCCTACTTACTTTTTGAGACTGGCGAGGACAAAGGCATCTGTCCCGACTTTTTACAAGAAGCAGTATCGCGGTTTGAAGATGACGATACTGTCAGGCACATGCTAACAAAAGCTGTTGCTGGCTTAAGTTTACAGCTGTCTAATATGACCATGAATGACAATTACAAGCCTTACGTTCATGTATGCCAAGCTTTTCCACTAGCTTTTTAAAGCAAAATTAACCATCTATAGGCATTAAAACTGCTGTCTCAATTTCCGCCAATTGTGACGGCCATTGCTGAGGACCCCTTATTCCAGATGGCAGTATCGGCTCCTGGGATCGAGAAACACACCCTTCTTGGGCCCTTTTTCAGAATCTCTCCACTGCAACCGGAAGTTACCAAAGAATATTTTGCGGCGCCGAAGACTATGGACAAGCGACATGTTGTAACATCACAAGAGGCACTGCGACTGACATTGCAGGCTCACCAACAAGACCTGCTCGATATTATTAATCACTTTGTCCGTGCCAGTCCTACGGCCAAGAATAAGACCCTGGACTGGTTTGCCTATATTGTGAATGCAAACCACAAGCGTCGAGCTTTACAAGTCGACCCATCGGCGGTATCATCCGATGGTTTCATGATGAATGTTACCGTGGTACTTGATGGGCTGTGCGAACCTTTCATGGACACAACATTCTCAAAGATATCGAGAATAGATATCGAGTATCTGAGACGCAATCCAAGAGTTGACATCAAGGATGAGACGAAGCTGAATGCTGACCAGAATTCTTCCGATGCCTTTTACGCAGTTAAGGCTGATGGAACATCGAATTTCATCTCAGAGGTCTTTTTCTTGACTCTGGCAGCTCATCACTATGGTAGCGAAGCAACGAATGCCACGCTGAAGAACCTCGAAAGAGACATCAAGCATCTAGCAAAATCTGTGGTCGAAATCGAAGCAGAACGTCCAAAATTCGTCAATGTAAGTGTCTTCTCTCTTTGAGTCGTATGTTCATTAACACGGCCCATCTAGAATCCTGCGCTCATGATGCGGTTTGAGCTCCAATTGAAGAAATACAACGACCTATTGGAAAAGTCAATGTCGCTCAAGTTTGCAATCGAAGGTGTTCTTCTCGACAAACAATTACAGACAAAGTCTCTATTGTTCATGAGATATGTTACTGTTTGGCTTTTGAGAATTGCCACAGGCTCAGATTATACCCCTGACAAGACTGTAAAGTAAGTAGATAATATCTTGAGATAGGTTAATACTAATCCTCCAAGGCTCCCACTACCTTCAGAGCAGCCAGAAGCCTTTAAGTGCCTTCCAGAATACGCTCTTGAAGATATTGTTAGCAACTTCAATTTCATCTTGAGGCAAGGCTCATCCATACCCAATATCATTGTGTGAGTTCTGACTCGGGAGTAGATTTGTACCAGAAGTTATGATCTCAGCAGTTGGCGACGAGATCATTGTGCTTTGCATTACGTTTCTTACAAATTCGGAATACATCAAGAACCCATACTTAAAGGCTAAGTTAGTATCGCTTCTATTCCATGGCACATGGCCCGTCTATCATCGCACAAAAGGGGTTCTTGGTGACTCCTTGATTGGGACGAAGTTTGCCAATGACTACCTCCTGCATGCTCTGTTGAAATTCTACATTGGTAGGTCTACTCACAAATGGGTGGTTTATGCTAACATTTCATCAGAGGTGGAATCAACTGGCGCGCACACACAGTTCTACGACAAGTTCAATATTCGATATGAAATCTTCCAAATCATCAAGTGCATCTGGACAAATGATGTCTACCAGCAACGTCTAACTCAGGAGAGCAAGTAAGGGACCTTACGGATGACCAATCATGATATCTGATTAACGTGAATTGCAGAACAAACATTGAGTTCTTCCTGAGATTTGTCAATCTCCTCCTCAACGATTCCACATATGTCCTGGACGAGGCACTTACGAAGTTTCCGAAGATTCATGATCTGCAAGCTGAGTTAGCACCGGGAGCGCCGCCGTTGACACCAGAGCAGCGAACATCAAAGGAAGAGGAACTGGCGACAGCCGAAGGTCAAGCACAATCATACATGCAATTGACCAATGAGACAGTTTCGATGATGAAGCTCTTTACCAAGACCTTGAGCACCGCGTTTACGATGCCGGAAATCGTTGATCGGGTAGCTGCCATGGTTGATTACACCCTCGACATCCTCGTCGGACCCAAAAGTATGAATTTGAAAGTTGCAGATCCTACAAAGTATCAATTCAACCCTAGAACTCTTCTATCGGGGTTTATTGATATCTACCTCAATCTTGGGGTCTCGCAAAGTTTCGTTGAAGCAGTGGCACGAGATGGGCGCTCCTACAAACCTGCCAATTTCGATGCTGCAAGCCGTATTATCACTCGGTACAACCTCAAATCGGCAGAAGAGATAGCAGCCTGGGAGAATTTGAAAGCTCGTTTCAAGACAGCGAAGGAAATGGATGACCAGGATGAAGAAGATATGGGTGAAATTCCAGACGAGTTCTTAGATCCTATTATGGCGACATTGATGAAAGACCCCGTTATCCTGCCTTTGAGCAGGCAGACTGTTGACCGAAGCACGATCCGCAGTCATTTGTTGAGTGATCCTCATGATCCCTTTAATCGATCGCCTTTGAAGATCGAGGATGTGGTGGAGGATACGGAGAGGAAAGCACAGATAGCGGCTTTCAGAGAGCAGAAGAGATTGGAAGCGAAAGCTGCCAAGAAAGATGAAATGGATACAACTGAAGGATAGATGATGCTTGTTCTTATGGAGGGGGTGAATGAGGATATGACGGGGACATGCCTGCTGCCTTTTGAATGCAGTCTATGAGCGGCAGCGGTTACTCTACACCAGAGCATGGCCCATCGACAGAAGAGACAACCTGGTGGTTGCTTTTCGCAGGATGAGGGCTCATCATACCTGGGTTCTGTTGTGGAATAATTAGAATTGTACAGGTTTGGTCAGGGAAGCAATCAGCATGCTCAATGTTGCTGCAGCTGTGTCATCTATAGTTATTCATACGAAGTAGAATGAATGACAATCAATACCCCGTAACTCAAGGACATCAACAATACTAGCTCGGAGATCATACTCTGTATTATTTCCCCTTTTGCACGTTCCACCTCATGTCACAGCCAGGGCCAATGCGGATGACGAGGAAAAAGGGGCTCGAAATGACCGGGGAAAGATACACCGAGGACCGAAGGTGGGATTAAGATAAGAGGGCACGTGATACCTCACCTCCACTTCTTGGAACTGGGTTAGATCACGTCCTGATACTCAATGATTCCTACACATTAATATAAATAGTCTTGTCGACTCGATTGACAAGAGAAGTCGCAATATTTCCGGTCGAGGAACTCTGGCCTGTAGGGTAGACAATCAGCCGGCATAGAGGAAGCCTTGCCTGAACCTGAACATCTATCTCTAATTCTGGCGCTTTGATATGGCGGGGTCAATTGAAGTTTCTCCTCTTCAAGCAAAGATGCCAGAAGATAGCAGTCCCCGTTATGATCCCTCCATCTACTCGACCCCCTTTTCTGCCCTCCCCAATCCCAAACGAGTGTGGCTCGGCTCTCCATCCTCAGAACTTGAGGGTATTGGTGTGTTCCCCCTTTTTCCCCCTTTTCCCCCCCTAGTCCTCACCCCCAAAATTTCAGCCCTTAAAAAAAGGCAATCACTAATTGCGATGTAGGAAGACTCTCGCTGCTGACCGAAGGAGTGGTGGCCAAGGCCGCAGCATCAGAGATCAGGAATGGCAGACGTGTTGGTCTAGGATGGAATATGAAGAAGCTGGAGCATTCGCAGTATGGGAGACAGAGCTGTAGACATAAGGTTATTGCGAACGAGGGCCCTGAGGGGACAGGGTTAGGGACGTGTTTCGATGATGTTTATGAGATGAATCCTCGTAAGTCTGTTGTGTCTTTTTGTTATGGCTTGTCTTGGATCATGTTTTATCAAGCGCCGAATATCATCCTTCTATGTCGATTTTGGGTCATATCTGGTATGGTATGATTTTCTCAGAGAAGTTTATATTGACTTTTGCTCTCTGCAGAACAGAGTAGTCAGTGGGATGGATTTCGACACTACTCCCAACCCCGGAATCCAGCAGATTCATCTTCATCTCCAGATAGAGTCTTCTACGGCGGCACGACCAAGGAAGAGATCCTGGATCCTTCTAATTACCGTATCGGACTGCAGCATTGGGCTCCCCAAGGGATAGCAGGTATGACGAGCCACCCCAGACCCCCTATACAACTCTCCCAGAAGTCACAGACAGACCTGATTCACCCCAGGGCCGAGGAATACTCCTAGATTACGCCCGCTGGGCTGCATCCCAAACACCACCCATCACCTACTCCACATTCTCCACGCACGGCATCACATTTTCTGCCATCCTAGCCATGTGCAAGCACTACAATGTGACGCCGCGAGAGGGCGATATCCTATTCATCCGCATCGGCGTGATGCCCGAATGGGAGGCCTTCTCGGAGCAGCAGAAGATCGAGTACGCAGCGCAGAAAGAGCCGTCGCATGCTGGCGTCGAGGCTTCTATCGAGCTGCTGCAGTGGCTCTGGGATAGCAAAATCGCGGCTGTAGCGGGGGATGCGATTTCGTGGGAGGTATGAATCCAATTGACCTCTGACTGACACCCTCCCTCCATTCATCGCAAGCAGTCTCAGGACCGACAAGGAGAGAAAGAAGGCTGACAGGAAACCTCTGCTTCTAGGTCTATCCCACCCCAGGCGAAATCTCAATGCATGAATACCTTCTCGCTGGATGGGGTATGCCAATCGGTTCGTCTCCTGTCCCTGTCCCCTTTATCCCAGACCCCTCAACCCCCCCGCGCAACCCGCACTTCAATGCAGCAGCACATAACAAACAATATACGTACATACGTACATACCTTACCTACCTTAGCTGACCAACCCCGCCTCTTCTCCACAGGTGAGCTCTTCGACCTCGAAGCTCTATCCAGAACATGCCACGAGCTAAACCGCTACACCTTCTTTGTCACTTCCATGCCCCTCAATATGCCCGGCGGCGTCAGCAGCCCGCCAAACGCCATGGCTATCTTCTAAGCTCGCTCGCGCTGACGAGATCCTATCAATACCTTAACTAATATAACTTTATCGGATTATTCTTGGATTATTCCGCTCTTCTCGGAGGACTTACTTCTTCTCGTAGCTCTGTAAGCAAAGTGAGCAAAAGCATGTCAAGTAAGGCCTTGTTTTGCGGCACACAACAGTAATCCTAATCACCTACCGCCGCGCGCCCCGTCCTCGATGATCCATCGTCATCTTCTTCCTAGCTCATTCATCCATACCTCGTGCTATCCTGCTCTTACCCCCCCTCCTCTTCATAATCGAATAATTCGCCTTTTCCCCCTAACCCCACTCCTCATCCCATCCCATCCCATCCCATCCCATCCCATACGACCCTTACCTCCCGTTCCATACATACCAGACATATTCCGCCCTCGCCGAAATTCATCAGGGATGGTCATCCTTCGAGGCACAGAAGACTGCGAGATTGGAAGGGGGGGGTTGCCTAGAGATCCCGTGTCTGAGTGAGGGGACGGCGTGGCCGAGGTTTGGAATTTGGAAGCGGCGGGGTTATGCGTGGATACGCCGCTTTTCGATGCGGCGCGGCGGGGTGCGAGGTTGGTGGTGGTGGTGGCTTTGTTGTGTTGGAATGAATGGATTGCTTCTTGTTTTTTTCTTTGGGGACGGCGGTGAGATGGATTGGGTAGATAGATAGATGGATATGTAAGGTACTTACAGTAATGGGGGTCTTTTTCTTCTCTTTTCTCCCCCCCACCCCCCCTGTGTTTTCTGTTTTATGAGTACAAGAGGAATAACTCAGAATTGAATTAGAAATGAGAAATAGTCGGACATCGGACTGTATGTAACGAAACTTGCACCTAGGTGCAAGATTATATCATATCTCATTATTCAGACCTTCTCGCCAAGCGCGCAAGGCACGGGCAGGGCGATAACGATCGATACTATAAAACATATATAATCACCCGTTGTGATCATCATGTCTTCTTGGGACCTCCTTCCGGCCAAGAAAACCCCCATTCCCAAAAACAAAACCAAACCCAGTTGCCTGTGCCCGCCTTATGATTGATAAGATCGCTCTCTCTCCCTCTCTCTCCCTTCTCTCTCAGGAAATAAATAAGAATGATGAGCTTGAATATAACGAACTAGAATAGATGTCCTGACGCCAATGCAGTGCTGTTGTTGTGTGTGCCACACCCGCCTTTCCTTTCACGGAATGGATATATATGAATGAGTTATAAAAAGGAAGAACAGAATTGCAGAACCGCCCGAGTGCGAGCGGCTCTGCAGGGCCGCCAATGCGATGCTGATGATAATGATAATGATGATGCGTAATATGATGCAAGCGATGCCTTAAAACAATGAACGAACCGGGTATCGTGAGTATGGCCGTTAAGATTATGTCCTCCCTTCTCTGCATGTCATGCATTGCCCTTTTCGGTTTCCAGATTCTCGGATCTCGAGCTTTCGAATAGTTTTCCCGAGGCCTTTTGAAGGTCCTCCATTCATGGTCGGAAGATCATCACGAAACTTCCTCTTCCTCATTGATCCTCGCAACCCGCGCACCCCCGGGTTTTACCCTCTCGTGGCCCCTTATCGGCTCTGGGAGCGGCTCATCCTTCATACACGCGTTCTCTAGCATATTTGTCCACTTGCCGCTGGTGCCTGCATGACTATGTTTCAGATGCTGCCTGAAGTGATCTGCCCTGAAAAACTTCTTCGCATGGTTGCACTCCCTGAACTTATGCATCTCCTGCAGATGCATTATCCGCACCTCCCAATCTTGCTCCGTTGCTACCGCGACTTTGGGTCCGTCAGGAGAAGGCGAAGAGATACCAGTTCGGGGGAAATCTTCACCGCAATACCCACAGGAATCCGCTTCGTTGGGCCGGTTTGGAGAGTTATGGAAAGCTGCTGCATAGCCCGATAGCGCGGCGCACGACCAAGAGTGGCGGCGGAGGTGAAGAGAGTTTTGATGGCGCTCAGCTTCGTTCTTGTTCTTGAATCGATTTCGACAATAAGCGCATTCGTATTGCTTCTCTTGCTCGTGGGCACTAGAATATCTGATTAGAAACCATGAATATATCTTGTTTGGAGAGCGAAATACTTTAGTTCTTCTTGGGTGTCGAATTTCTTAGGCTTTTTGGGACAGCATTCGCAGATGAATACACCTTGAATCTTAGGACCGGTGCTTTGCTTTGAATGGGCCATACTGTCTGATAACCTCCGTGAAGTCATGAGAGATCTGCTATCAGGTAATGTTTGGTTATGACTCGGTCTCGAGAGAGACCCTCGGGGGCTGGGGTTCATGGATAGAGACGTGGCATAGGGCGAGTCGCTACTGTCCGTACGAACAGGAGAGATACCTCCAGGAGATAGGCGACCGTAAGAGCTCATACTAGTCATACTACTCCCTCCAATTGATAGCGTAGAGGCATACGAGTTGCTTCTAGGACCCGATGTCGTAGAGGATATTGATCCGGAGAGAGAATGAAACCGAGGACTTGGTGAAGTCCGCGATACAGACTCTCGCCTTCGGTAAAGATCACTAGAGCTGCCCACAGTGTGCAACGAGGGACCACCATCCACTGGCGGTGATGAAGCTCGTCTCTTCTGGCCTGCTGTAGCACCTGGTGAGTATGGGTCATTTCGACCAGTATAGTCTTCAATATGAAGACGTCTAAGTCCCGCCTCCTCCATCTGAAAATCGACATCATTATCCGGGGAAACTCTCCGGTCATAACCGTCTCTAGACCGGCTTGTGATACTACATGAATCATCTCCCACACTCATTACTGAAATGCTACCGGATCGCCCGCCGTAGGATGACCTGTCAAGATCTGCTGCATCACTTGGCGACCTGAAATCATGCCCTGGAAATCTAGGATATGGATACCCAGGAGAAACAGCTGATGAGGTCTCTGTCCACCTTGCCAGTGGACTTTCTGCTACGCCTTGCCTCCCTGTGGTAATTGGCAGAGACAATGGCTTCAGTTGAACAGGAGGTCGTTGCTCCAAGGCTATCCGTGATGTTGGAGAAGTCTCATTTGCAGAAGAGCTGAAAGCCGAGGTCGAGAATTTTCGCGGCGGGGTGATATTGTCACTTCCCCTTCGAGCATCCAACTTCTGCAACAATGATTTGTCGTATGCCTGCGCATTACTTCGATACTGGTCGTGGACGGAGCTTTGGAAACCGGACCTCACTGGCGACGGGTCAGGATATTTCGACCTGTTGGAGAAGAGCATCGTTAGCTGTAATTTCAAGAAATTTTCTTTTTTCTGTAAAAGTATTTTGTCATTTTGGAGTCTAGAAGCCTCCACGAACACCTGAGATCACGGTCCGTGATAATTCTGCTCGCAAGCTTCCTAGGAGTCGCCAAGACAAAGAACGGTCTTGCCTTGAAATGTCCACCTGTAGCTAGAAAACGGGAGCAACTGACCTGTACGAGTCCATGCTGGTGCCCGAGAGACTTGCGTATCCTTCATCTATTCTGGGGAAGGGATTTTCCCGGTTCTCCACATGTGGAATTGGTTTGATTGTCGAGGTAGAACTGGCGCGACGCGCAGCTTCTGGTCGCTCGCACACCCCGCTCTTCCTCCTCGCGAAACTCCCATATAAACTCGAGCCGGGCGTCACAGAAGACGTCCCCCATTCGGCATCCATGCGGGAGTTGCCCCATTGCCACGCAATATCTGGGCCATTGTTTCCACCATCCGCAATGTCCGCCAGGTACTTTGGCGGTGGCAGTGGAGGAGGGACGGGGTCCCTGGCATTCGGTATTGACATTGGCCCGGAGGAGGTCGAAGGCGACGAGATTGAAGTGGTCCTGCTCGGACCTCGAAATCGATCCGACGGGTTCGAGTCATGGACGCAGATCTCGGGTAGGGCCAGCGGCCTTGCACCGCGGTGAGGAATGTCCATTGCGAACACTGAATCACTCGCCACTGGTCAGGGCCCCGAGAACACCGCGTATCTCCTGCCGCGACTTTTCTAGAAAGTCTAAAACCAGAGGGGGCGATTGAGCTCGGTGAGGCCGACGGGGAGAGAGGAGGGACGGAGGCGAAACATGAATATATCTAGCTGCGGAAAGAAATATACAATAAAGAAAGGGAGGCGGGGGGGTAGAGAAAGTAAAGATCCGCCAGTGGGAGAGAGTGTTATGTCATTGAAGCATGAAACGAGGGGATGTGGGAGGGGGGAGGGGAAAAAGAAGGGAGGATATGGGGGGGGGGGGAGGTTGGTAGAGCGGGAGGAGGGGAGGGAGGAGGAGAGGAGGAGAGGAGAGCGGCGGGTTGTTGGTGTCCAGGAGGAGGTGCGGAACAGAGGAATAAGGCAGAGGAGTGCTTGGTAGGGGACGGCGGGTGTGGGTAGGTCGAGCGGTCGCTGGAGCGGTACGGGGACGGTAGAGAAGCGTGGTAAGAAATGAATGGTAAGGCCCGCGCTGTCGGCGTTAAGTCGTCAATCGGCCAGGCTGGGACCTGGGTACTCCGTAATAGCGGGAGACTTCGAGCTGACCGGGCTGAGTTGGTCAGGAATTAGGTGAGCCGGTGAGCAGGTGGTGAGAAGGTGAGAAGGTAAGGTAAGGGGAGGATTCGAGGAGGTACGGCAGAGGATTCCTGTGCGGACAAGGTCAGCCGCGAGTCGTCTGTATGTCAAGAGAGAGAGAGACGTACAGTACATAGAGACACACAACTCGAAGAGGCCAGCCGCCCACTGTAGGGAGAGAGAAGTTGTACCGCGAGTCGCAGTTCTGCTGGGATTCCTGGGACCCCTGGGACCCCGGGAGCAGCAGGGAGACAGGGACTTGGTATTACTCCGTAGGGATGCGCATGGGCATGGGCATGGGCATGGCAGGACAGGGGCGGATGGCGGTTGATGGACCAGGAGGGTGTGAGTATCAGAATTGCAGCATCACAGGAAGTGCGCAGAGCTCAGTATAGATTGTTTGTCTTGACTCTTGAGACTTGTTGCAGCCAGGCGTGGAGGGAGTGGTTTGGGGAGGAAGACCCTATAGGAGGTCTGACCCCGCGAATAGCTACAACAATAAGAAGCTTGACGAACCCATCTCTTCTCCATCTGGACCTCCCGTTCTGCATATTCCTCCAAGTGACCTACCTGTCCAAGAGCTTGACAGAGGACGGAGTAGTCCTCCATATCACTTGCCCTATTCCCCTCCTCATAGAGCTGTTCTTCCAGAGCAGATGGCTGTTACTTCTGTTCTTCCCGCACAACTTCTTCACCAGTCATGCCCTCCCCACCAAACCTTGCCTCCTCCAGTTCTCCTCCAGCGCGCCGTCAAGCCATCTTGCTCTCTCTTTGCGGGCTGCGGCGGGTCAAGCCTTTTGTGCCTCCTTGCCATCCGTGCTTTACGTATACACCCCATACATCCCACACATCCCACACATCCCACACTTCGCATACATACCCGCCTCCTCTCTCAGACGACAGCTCTACCAGCCAGGCGGACAGGGATGGGCAAGGACAGGGAGTCCAACTCGCTACAGCAGGTTCCCTTCTTACTACTGCTACTCTGTTCTCCGTACTGACTACTACTACTGTGGCAGCCCTTCGCTCAGGCCCTCTCCGATACTGCGCGGGCCTTTCGGCCGTTCAATAATGGCAAATCCTTCAGCCCTACATCCCCTAGCTCAAGCCTTTCCCTTCCTTTTTATTCCTCGCAAGGTTGCACCCGGCCGAGACAACAGAGGAGCGGCCGTGGGTAAGGTAGTTCAACTCAACAGACGATCCTTCCGGAATACTTGCGGACTGTGTACTGTACCGCCTCAACACCCTCGGCCCGCTAAAAGCCACAACCAGTCCATTCCTGTGTGGCCCAGCCTATGGTCGATGGTCTATCGACCGAGGCTCAATAGTGGGAGGTACAAGTGCGGAGGTACGTATTCCGCCCATCGGTCAGTAGTTGATTTGCCATTCTGCCAGCGTCTTGCAGCATACTCTTCCTCTGAACCTGCCTGCTCCTGCGGTCCTGAGGTGCGCCCTGTACGGAGTAGGGATTATATCAAGTGAGCTGCCTCATTTGTACAGTAGTTGGCTCGCCCCGAGCGGCGGTACGTCCAGTACCACTGTCCCACGCTACAGCGCATGTTCAGGCCATAGGGCCAGGTCGGTCAGGGGGCGAGCCGGCGGCTGTGTGGAGCACTGGAGATTTGTTGCGTGCGTGGCCTCGGCCGCTCGGCGGGATGACATCTTATTACCGTACGGCCCCTGGGCCTTACTTAGTATACGGTTTGATCCTTCTTCGATATACAAGCGACGTACTATGGACTCGCTCACCGCAACGCCCCGTCCATCCCGGTCCACGCAGAGAAGCAATGGCAGGAGGAGAAAAGTCTAACTGATTCCTGCGCATCTTGAAGAAGAGAGGAGCCTATCGATCTGGACATACCCCTCATTTGCAGCATTTGCAGCCAGTGCTGCTGCCCGACTGGGTTACGAGAGCAACCCCCCACCATCCAATCAACCCACCAGGTTGTGCTGAGCGATATGCCGCGTGCACCTGCAGCCTTGGGGCTTGCAGGCTGCATTACCGCTGTACATGACTTACGGAGGTAATTATTGCCTACCTCATGTACCCTCCTGTCGCTGCGCCGCCACCCAGCGCGTGAACCAGGTAGTACTCTGGTACAGTAGATTGTGCATGAAAACCCAGTGCCACTTCCGCGCTGGAGTCAGAGGATTCTCTCATTGGGACCGGGCTACGAATCGGTGGCGAGCGCGCCTCATAACCTGTCACCTGGTCTTATACATTTCTCAAACATGCCTCGGTGGATAAAGATATGCTTTTCTTGCGTCTTTCGGGAACTTGGGTACAATTTCTACCCGACGGGTCTTCTGGACGGGACAGTGCATGGCGATACAGTAGAAGTCAAGCTACCGTTTTCAAAGTTCAACGCACCGGGCGACGTAAGGGCAACTTTCTTCTTATATTGTATTTCCCTCTTCGACTATCTCCAATTCATGGAAGGGCACACTCGGTGGCTTTCTTCTTGCATTGTATTTCCCTCTTCGACTATCTCCAATTCATGGAAGGGCACATTCGGTGGACAATATCAATACTCCGTAATCCTTCGAGTCTCACAATGCAACCTCATCTACGCCTCTTTCCAACACTGGTTAGGTAACAGCACGCCGCCGGGGTCGTCGGTATAAACAACTGACGATGCAGCCTTGACAGCCTTGCCAGCCTATCTTTGGGCAGCATCTTGTGTCCTGGAATCACCCCTGTCGCAGCGAGATCGACACAGATATCTCCAGTACTGAGCAGAGAGAGAGGGGGTAAGAATCGAGATCCTGTGATGCTCGATAATCGGAATGAGATGCGCTGCCCCGCCTCGTCAGAATGTCAAACCAGGATATCTAGGATATCTCTTGCCTCATAGGTCTGCGTATGCACGTCAAAACGGCCGTGGCTGAATCGCACATCATCCAGCCAGTACTTACGTAGTGAATAAATGCAAGAGCCTCGAGATACTTGCCGATCTACTCCGTCGGCAGCGAGAGGCTACGATGCCATAAAGCGCGATTCACGGAATCAGTACGGAATAGAGGGGAGGCAGGGTGCTTGATTACCGATGCCCGCAAGTTCGCGGCACAGCACCTTGAACTCTAATTTGACTTACAAGCTACTCCGTCCCCTCCCGCCGCCTTTCTGTGTCCCCGCGGCGTGAACATTCCTCGGGGGATCACGTACTACTCTCAGGGTCGTTGTTGAAGTGCCGTCACGGGGATAATCGACCGTTGAGAGAAGACGATGCTACTGTATGTAGGTAGGGTGCGACAGAAGCATCCTTCGTATTATCATGGTGCTGCGGACGAGCAAACATGCTGAGTTGCAACAGCACGGATAGCCGGGAGGGTTGTTTGCAGTAGCAGCCTGCATGAGACTGCGGATAGCAGCAACAATGACGGCACGGGAAGAGCACGACCCCTCAGCCCTGGAGCCCGGCCTCTTCCCAAGGCCGAGTCAGCCTTCTCACCGATTAGTGATGTGATGGCGAAGAGACCGAGCCTTTATGCTATTCTTTGCAGCGCCGCAGCATTTCATAATTGGGCCCAGTTCTATGGGGTAATCTTGAAGGGTGATTCCATTCTCACAATTACTTCAAAGTCATTGATTACTCGCCGGTATGATAGCTACCTACCCCGAACCAACGCAAGCGGAAGGCGACGCAAGGCAGAGAGAGTGCAGCAAGCCTCGAACCTGTCGATTCCTTTCCCCTCAACCCCGTGCAACACGGGAGGATACTTCCAAACCACTCCATCCAATCAAGGGCACTAGATGTGACGAGGCCCGAGCGGATATATATACAAGTGTCAAGGCTGAAATCCTGGCCCGCCTTGCATCCTGCATCTGCCGATTTTCATTGGAAGCAGACGGCCCTAGTTCGTGTATGGTTCCCCTCCTCAGCCAGCGAATGGATCGAGCTTCAGTACAGAGGTCCTGATCAAGTTGTTGCTATTTTCTCTGATCGATGTCAGCTTCCCATCTGTCTGGATCATCAGCTTCGACCATGTTGCGCCTAGTCATATACCAGACTATACCAGCCGGATCTTCAGCTACCCAGACGGGCAAAGAGGTGGCACATGGACCGTCAGGGCTGAAAGCTTTCCAAACCCCGAGGCAATTGAACCATCTCTCGATTCGATGCACAAGGCGCATTAGTTGCACGGTTACGGCGGGTATACTATTATACGGAGTACTCAAAATAGAGATCGCTCGCTGATTGACTGGATATCATGAACTCCTTCTTTGGCTTCAGCAATGTCTCGTCGGGCACTACTGTAGAATGATGTTCCCCCCGTAGGTAAGGTATAAAGCATGAAAGTCACCGACATGACGTGTATCACAACTGTCGGGGTTGCGGTGCTGTACACACACATTGTACCCTACTTCTATTTTCTTGCCGCGCGCAAACCCGTCGATATCGCCTTGAAGAAAGTGACAGATCCTGAGATCCTATCAGGACCCAAACATCTGGTATCTCCGCTAGCCTGCGAGACTCCCGCCTAGACTAGCTGGCTATCATTCCGGAGTACATCCGCAAAGCTAACGCAAAGCTCCCCTCCCAGATGGCTCGTGTACGGACGATAGGCTCTAGAATAGTATGGCGAGTACTACTATAGTAGCAGCATCGTGACTACCTTAAGACTCAAGTTCTGTACGCCGTTCTTCAACGGGAGAAAGGCCTGGAGGATCTGGAATCTCCGAATCTCCGCGGGCCGTCAAGGATCACCATAGCGAGGCGAGCCAAGTGCTTAGTCCTACGGAGTATTTCTCGTAAGGCTCTAGTGCCGCAGCACCCTCATATCGCGTATCGTCACGCCTCACATTTTCAAGGACGAGTCTACTCCGTACGAGTACTAATTCTCCAGCTAATTCTTCAGCTTAGTGGGCAAAGACGTAAGCAGCGCCGGGTAGTAGAAGCGGCAATGCGGCATTAGGAATTGCTCCAAGGCGACAGTCGAACCGTCGAACGTGACGACTCGTCCCCGTCTCAACAGCCCTTCACAATCACAGTGGCGTCGTTCACCGTTCCCAGATTATTACTTGCATAGCCCCAATCGATGACAGCTCAACTTTCTTCACAGGCAGGGAGGAGGGCAGGGGGTGGGCGAATGAAGTGCGCTTCCACGCGAGGAGGGGGAGAAACAACGTGTAATCACAACGAGGCTGCGACAGTGCGAGGAATGCGGAGGCCGATCCTAAGGCTATGTTTCAACTTTCACCTGGCCGTAGGGCCAGCAATCCATCAATCAAATGTTGGGTTACATAGCTTCCCCGAGCCGACGGTCTAGTGGCTCCAGATAAAATTGATAAAGAGGTGCCTTGCGGAGGCGGTTTTCCAAGGCAGGCTCCCTGGAACTTGAGAGCGAAAGCCTCGGCTTCAACGTGAGAGGATTGACATCCCGCGTTCCTAGAATAGGTAATAATCCGGGCGTTGCAGAAACCTGGTTGGTCTTTTGTTTCTGGTTCTGGTCTCTTGTCTCTTGCTTCTTGTTTGCCATCCAGGAAGTTGAGTCCAGCTCCCCCAACCTCTGGAGTATGAAGTGTGACAAGTTGTCAAAACAAGAGTGGCAATAACCAGGAAAATCCCACGTATCCAAGAGGTTTGAGCTGAATGCAAGAGCAGTGTGGCGCTCCAGCCAGGCGTCGCACAAGTTTCCCATCGCTGTGATTTGATGGCGGCCGCAAAGCCACAGAAGGCCCGTCAACACGAGGTGGCAATTCGTCATGTCAGAACTCCGAAGCTTAATGATCCTACCATATCATATGGTTCTGTAATTCCTCCCCTTTTATGGATCATCCTCGAGGCAAAGATTGCGCGTCGCTTAGCTCTCCGTCGGACATTACCTGTCTGCTCCTATATATGTCATAATTACCGGGATTGCATACAGCTCCTTGATTGATCCAGGGGATGCGAGAGAGGAACTTGCAACTCCGTGCTCTGAACCTCGAACGGAGGTAATTCGGCCTCGTAAGGTTTGTACTTACGGAGCAAGAAGTTGGTAACCTGGTAGCCGGTACCCGCAATAAGGACCCAGTGCGGATTCCAATGGTCCAGGCCTTCGGACTGGGGATTTTGAGGACCCCCGGATTGGGGCGGTTGGCCGTGGGTGGGGAGGGTTGGGTTTTGCAAGGCGTTGCCCTGCCCTGCTCTCTGCCTCTTGACTTGATTGACGACTTGAGCCTTGAGGAGAGTTTTCAGGGGAAGTTGGTGCCTTAGATCTCAGAAGCGACACATATAAGGTACCTATTTATTAATGCCTCAGGCACACACTTTTTCTGTCTATCAAGATTTCGCGATTTCCAGTGTGAATATGGAGACTCCATCAATAATAATAGGTACAGGACCCTTGCACTCCACCCACCAAGACATCTGATCACCTGACGTTCCCCCCCTATCCAGGCCGTTCATCGACTTCCAGAAAAGGCCCAAGAATTTGGCAGAGGATTTTCATCCTCCCGTACTGAGAAAGTGCACAGAAAGATCAAGACGTGGGGTAAATCGGTGGCGAGGGCTGGGAAGAATATCCTGGGGGGAGGCACTACAGAAAAGCGGCAAACTACAGAAAAGGTCGATTACAGACCTCCGCCTCTATACATGGCGCTCTCACGCGTGCCTGGAGACGACGAGCTATATGTTGGCGGGTGAGTTTCCTTCTTGTCTTCCCCCCGCCAAACCCCTCACGCACGTGATTCCCCCTTTCCCCTTCCTCTTCCTCTTCACTCCTCCCCCCCAACTCTCCTCTCCCCTCCTCACTTCCAAGAACCCGACACTAAACACACAGTTAGGATCTTCACCCTCCGGCGCAAAGACGCGCTGGCCAAGCACGGCATCACGCACGTGGTCTCGGTGCTGAAGTACGACTTCACAGAGTTCGAGGACTGGGAGAAGTACGAGCATCTCGGTATCGATGTCGATGATGTGGCGGACGAGGATCTGCTGGGGGAGTTTGAGAGGACGGGGAGCTGGATTGAGAGGGCGTTGAAGGAGGGGAAGGGTGGCAAGGAGGGGAGGGTTTTGGTTCATTGGTGAGTTCGCTATTCTTTTCTCCTTGTTTTGTTTGGTGGTGTTGTGCGATTGGATTTGTAGGTCTGGGGATTGCAATTGGATACGGATGCTGGGGGGGTTCTCGTTGCTGGTTTAGGTTTTGAGAATTGTGGTTGAGGTTGGGAAGTCTAGTGATGCTTCACTACTCTCTATCTTACAAATTTTTAGCTACCGGTTCCTTCGAACCATCCCTAAGATCTCATTTCTCTTCTGTCTTACTCACGCCAAATCGCTAACCGTATTTTCAGCGCCATGGGCAAGTCCCGCTCAGTAACGGTCGTAGTTGCCTACCTCCTCCGGCAATACCCTCACCACACAGTAGAGTCCGCTCTAGACCTCGTCCGACAAACTCGGCCCATAGCCGAGCCCAACGAGGGCTTCATGGAGCAGCTAGAACTCTATAAGAACATGGGCTGTCCACGAGATATCAAGAACCATCCGCAGTATCAGCGGTGGCTCTTCCAGCGCGAGGTGGACCTGGCGGTTGCGGCTGGGATGGCGCCGGATCGAGTTAGGTTTGAAGATGAGGAGGTGCAGCAGGAGGGAGAGGTTAGGGATAGGGAGGTGGAGTTGAGATGTAGGAAGTGTCGGTATGTTTACTCCTATTCTTACCCTCTTAACCACCTTTTCCTCTTTGAACTACTTATATCGAAAACGTTCTTTCTTTCCAAGTAGGAGGAATTTATTTCCCAAGAACCATTCATTCATTCATTTATCCCATTTATTCTATTCATGCATAGAACAAAAGATGAAGCTAACCCTCCCCTCCCCTCCCACAGTCGAACACTAGCCACAACTCCCTACCTCCTCCCCCACCTCCCCACCCCCCCAAAACACAGCCCTTCACTCCCCCCCTCCGCCCTCCACAGCATCTGCACCAACCACTTCCTGCACCCTCTCTCCTGGATGCGACCGGCCCTCGAGCAAGGCCTGCTGCAAGGCCGTCTCGAATGTCCGAATCCGAAATGCGGCGCTCAGCTCGGTCGCTACGCATGGCAGGGTCTCCGCTGCAGCTGCAATGTCTGGGTGTGCCCGGCCTTCAGTTTGCAGAAGGCGAGGGTGGATGAGGCGGTTAAGAAGAGGGAGGTTAAGGGGGTGGGAGCGGAAGGGGGAGGAGGTATTAGATTACCGCCTGGGATGAGGGAAAAGGAGAATTTGTGATGGGGTTTGAGATGAGTGGAATGGCAAGGGGTATAGTATATGCCGCTATCGGATTATGGAGATAGTCGAGCCCTCTAGAAGGGTATTGGGATCTCAATGAAATATGTTCATTTCTGCAGTAGCAAATTCTCTGTTTTGTCGTCTCAATCTTGTCATAGATCCCATCCTCTTACCCTCCCAAACCCCGCGCGCGGACACGTCAGGACGCAAGCCCTCCAAACATGCTAATCCCTCCCCTATACCTTTCTATCCACCAAATATTTTAAGCAAACCTCCTGCTAAAGAACCAAACGGCTCCAGACTTCCGATCACCCATTTCCAGTAATCCCGCTTCGACGCCGGGATGAACGTCCCAATCTTGAGAAATGAAACGATGGATTTTCTCCTCTCTTAATCATACACAATGACATGCATTACGAGGGACGGTGGATACCTGTGCGAGAAAGCAATAGCAAATCCAAGTCTCTCGGTAGCTTGGTGAGCATGTTTGTAGTTACACGGGTAAGGAGTACAAGTCGATTCCAATGTTACATCCATCCGTAACATATGAGAGGCATAGCGGAAGAAGATAGCACGTTTTACCTACTGTACGTGAAGACGGGGAGAACCTGCTACCTCGGGGAAGATACGGATGCTGCACGGTACCTCTGAGAGGTAACCCTACCACCAACACCACGCGAGAAGATATCTGCAGGCCACCGCTTCTGGAACGCCTATCACAAAGCTAGGATGCTTTTTCCTGCGCCTCCATAGACAGGATGAATGCAGTACTTGAAGGGGTTTTGACGGCATGAGAGATGGGGCATAAGCTGAGAAAGAACCACAGAGCGGTGTAGGGAATTTGACTAATTGCAAGCTGCGGACTTCCGATTTGGGATGGGGGTGTTGAGAGAGTGTGTTCCCATCTCTTGCGAATCAGTCCTAAGACACAGCCTGGTTGTGCGTGGAGAGAAGGGAACAAGCAGATCGTTCCGGTAGAAGGGTTCGAGAAGGGGATGGTGGTAGAAGAAGATACTCGCTAGCCTATGGTGGCTTTAGGGCTGAGAGGGCTTGTGGTGCGGGGTGAGATGAGAAGGTAGCTATATGATAAGTCGGCGTAACATATGATACATGAGATAAGAAAACTTGCAAACGTTGCATTGTGAGACGCTTGGCTGATGATGGAATCATGCATGACCGCATTCTCCTGCAGTGAGATATGCGGGGTAGAGAGAACTGTACAAATCTATGTGCAATCTCTGAGCCCATGCCTGCTCCAAGTTGTGACCATGTGCCGTGTTTAGCTAACTTGGCTGGGGTTTCGCAAACCTTGTCTAAATCCACGCGGATACGTTGCATGCAAGCAAGCCTCGCAGCCTAGAAGATCCATGATATTCCTACCATATCTGCTAATCGGTCTGTGTCCTCAATGGAGATGTCTGCAACCTATTGGTGAGGGGATGTATGATTCTCGTTCATGCGGAAGCATCACATCGATTGCTGACAGGCGGGGTTTTGTTGGTATTCAGATAGCCGTTGGAGGCACAGCGGAGCTTATCCAGTAGAATTCGAGTGGGTTAATATCGTAAAGGAGTAAGCACTAAAGGACCCGGACACAGCCTCGAAGCGAAACCTTAGCCTAGACGGAAGGCTGGATGAAACTGATCAACTGGTGAGAGCTGATACCTCATAAAATATTATGGGCTGTAGAATGATATGTGCATGTTGTAACATGCTCTCTAGGCCTGGCCGTTCAAATAGTGTCACGCCGTATTTCAGAAGCCGTAGGGCAGAGCGAAATGCGGGATACGAAGTACTCGATAAAGAGGCTCGAATCGCTCTCTGGAAAGGATTGTTCAGTCCAAGACTGGAAACTATCGCGAGGTCATCGATGAGCAATTTTCGATTGTCAGGATAAGATACAAGGAGACCGGTCAAATTCTGACCACAGCGACACATCCATACCCGGACTGAGATGCAGGACGGGCGCCAGCCTAGATAGACGTTATGCAGTAAGCACAACATACCCCAGTAAGAAGGAAGACTGTCCGATTTCTCCAGATGCAATAATATGTCACGTCGGCTGAATCTGATGGAGTTGAGCGTGCTTCTGCCTCATGACCATTCTCTTGAAAGGGAATTTTTTTGGCAAGAAAAGCGGACAGCCCCACAGGGTTCTCTTTAACAGTGAGCCCGGTATAGCCATAGGTTGTTGGGAAGAGATCTTCTTGGAGCGAAAGATTGCTCAATGCAAAGCCTGCCTGGTATAGGTAGGTACCTAAGGTAGGCAGCAAGGAATGACCAAGTGACGTGATCTGCTCCAAAAAAGAGACCGCTTTCACACAGAGATTAAGCCAGCGAGGTTTACTCAAGCCGGATCCAGAGAGTTTTAAGGTAGGTCTTTGGGAACTGAAGGGAAGAAATCTGGATTTTGGAGCCGTTCTCGATTTCGTTTTGCGATTTCTGCGTTTCTCTTCTTGTCCAATCGTTGTGAATAGAAGGCCTTTTTCAGAGAGAAAATCCGAGGCTCTTCTTCTGGTGCAACGGCTCCAGCCTCGTCAGTCTTCTTCTGCGTATATATGGTTAGTTCAAATATCCAGGATAAGCCGTAGGAAAGCTCCCAACCTTCTCCTCGGGATTCTTGTCCTTTTCGTCATCCTTCTTATTTTTGTCCTTTTCCTTCTCTTTTCCTTTTTCCTTCTCCTTCTCCTTCTCTTTTTCCTTCTTCTTTTTTTGCTTCTCTTCAAACTCTTTCTTGACTCGTTCTATCTCGGCTTCCATCTCCTTCTTTTTCTTGGCTGCCACCGCAGCCTCGTCTATTATGGGGCTGCAAAAACCTTTGTCTTTGAGATGACCGGGGCATACAAAGAAAAAGTCCTATAGTGGAATGAGCACAGTGGTAGACTAATATTGAAGGTTCACGCAGACTTTATTTTCCGGAGTCACCAGAACGCTTGTGCTTGGCTTGTAACAAAGTTCGCATGGCTTAGAGGCAGTATCGGCGACCTTGCGGTGGGTATAAACATTTGGAAAGGAAACAGACATAGCTGAGTAGGCAAGTATAGGTAATATTATCAGTTGACGGTATGTGAATGTACGCAGGATCTTTCTCGAAAATGATAGAGAAGAATCGTGATGTCTAGAGACAAGTGGTGAGGTGTCGTGCACCGCCGATGAAGTCATGTGCAAGCGAACAAGGCTGAAGCAGAACAAATCCCTGCCTCACCAATTCTTCAGGTGTAAATTTTCTTATCGTGTGATAAGTACCTAGTACCCTAAGGTACGTCCGGTTCGCAACGACAGGCCTCAATAACACAACTCTCCTCATTCTCTTGTGATTCCACATAAGTCCTTTTTCCCAACCCAAACCGCATACGACCAATTGACTTGTAACCATGGCCTCAAAAGAAGTTAGAGCCCCAGGCAGTAAGCCCGGAGAGAACATGTTGTGGGGAGGACGCTTTACGGGGTTGAGTCATTGTTGATCTGAGATATGACTTTATACTAACAGCTGGCGCAGGCGGTCTTGACCCTCTCATGGTCTCATATAACGAATCAATCTATTATGACCGGGCCTTACATACGCAAGATATCCTGGGTAGCATTCCATGAGCCCGCGCAAATCACAAGGGCGGAATTCTGAGCGCTGCCGAGTTCTCAGCAATTGAGTCAGGCCTCAAGAAGGTCGAGGAAGAATGGGCTGCCGGAACATTCAAGATCGTTCCCGGAGTCGATGAGGATATTCACACTGCGAATGAGCGCCGATTGGGTGAGATCATTGGCAAGGATATTGCTGGAAAGCTACACACTGGCCGCAGCAGAAACGAGCAAATTGCTACTGATATGCGATTATGGTTGAGGGACGAGCTAAGGAAAATCGAAGGTTTCTTGATTAACTTCTTAAAGGTCATTACTGCCAGAGCAGAACAGGAGATTGATTATATCATGCCTGGATACACCCATTTGCAACGCGCACAACCCATTAGGTGGAGCCATTGGTTGCTGTCAGATGGTATGGCATTTCAGTCTGATCTCGACAGACTGAGGGAAGTCATTGCTCGTGTAAATTTGAGCCCATTGGGCTGCGGCGCTCTTGTAAGCCTCTTCCATGATAATCGACTATCGACTATCGACTGGAGATGATGATACTGATCCTATTACAGGCCGGAAACCCTTTCAACATTGACAGGGAGCAGATGGCTAAGGAGCTTGGATTTGAGGGACTATTGATGAATTCCATGGCAGCGGTGAGCTCAAGAGACTTCGTCCTTGAGGCTATGCAATGGGGGTCGATGATGATGACACATATGTCGAGATGGGCGGAGGATCTTATTATCTACAGGTTTGCCGCACTCTCCCTCACACATCAAGCATATTCTAACAGAAGCTTAGTACCCAAGAGTTTTCATTTGTCAAACTAGCAGATGCCTAGTAAGTATCCATCTTCAGGCAAAAGGACTCTCCAGCTAACCCTATCGGTAGCTCAACTGGCAGCTCTCTTATGCCGCAAAAGAAGAACCCAGACTCTCTCGAGGAGTGGACGAGCCTTTGGACAGATGGCTGGCTTCATGATGACCCTAAAGGTAATATTTCTTCTCTCCCCTCAAAATCTCACTGTCCACCTGCTAACCTCAGTCTAACAGGGGCTGCCGTCGACATATAACAAAGATCTTCAAGAAAGCTTGGAGCCCATGCTTGACCACGTAAAAACTTGCTCTGACAGTATCCAAATTGCTACTGGTGTCTTCAGCACGCTTACAACGAACTCAGACAGGATGAAGGCTGCGCTTGATCCGTTTATGCTGGTACGTATATCGATCCAATTCATAAGTAACATAACTAACAAAGCACTAGGCTACCGACCTGGCTGATTACCTCGTCAGAAAAGGAGTTGACTTCCGATCCACTCATCATATCTCGGGACAATGCGTTGCCTACTCGGAAAGAACGGGAACGGCAATGAACAAGATGAGCGTCTCAGAATTCAAGAAGATCGACGCGCGCTTTGAGGAGGATATAGTTGAATGCTTTGACTACGAGAAGTCGGTGGAGATGAGATCAGCTCCAGGTGGTACAGCTAGGAAATGCATTCTCGAGCAGGTTGCGGTGTTGAAGAAGGCGTTAGCGTAATGATGAAATAGAAGCAGAAGTCTGGTAACGGGTAAACAAAAGTTCTTTCTTGGTGTACCTATCATAAATGTCGTGGAGTATAGTGCTCCCTCCCTATTGCTACTATTTGGTGCTGGAAGCTCCCTCTTAGGTATTGCATGAATGATTGGTATTGTTCTGGAATAGTAGCGATCAAACAGTTTCCGATTATCGGTTTGAGCTCGTTAACCCTTTTAGGTTATACCTTGAAAGTAGGTATTGCTTAGGTATGTTCCTTGGGAAATTGTCTTGGCAGAAATATCACTTTTCTCGAGAGTGCGTGTGGGTTGCCCAGTCACGTTTACCTCCATACGAAGGAGAGCCAGATCGAAGACAGCTTACCTGCACACTTGCTTCATCCCAGCTGTTTTGATTCAGATACAATCGGGTCACTTGCTCTTTGCGTCCTTCGCAATTCGATTGCTTTGGATCTTCAAGTCGAGAGCAGTCGACAAGGTACGCGCTCAATTCCCGCTGTTTTGAAGTTCAATGTAAAGTCAACACAATACTGATCCTCACAGTCTATTCACAACACTGCTCTTCACACGACAATATCAGTGAGACAGTACTACCTCCCTTCTGTCTCAACGCGGCCTTATCATCGACCTTTGCGAGAGAACGATATCCTGCCTCTAAGATCTAGATCTTCTCCCTCTCTGACGAATACTATTCTTGTCGGGGTCCGCGAGATATCTACTGGCAAAACCCCTTGGACCGCCTCTTCTCTATTATCTCAACCACTCAGACATAATGAGTGAACAAGGACATGAGGCAAACAGCCAAGAGAAGCCAGGGGGGGAGGGAGAGGGAAAGGCAAGGGAGAACAGAAACAAAAGCAAGAATGATGCCCTAACTATCACACTTGAGAACCCTGATACCCTTATTCGGGTGGAGGCAAGTACTCTCCAGCCAGCGCGTCAAGAGTGTAGCAACTAATGATCACATTCTTCTATAGGCCACTAGAAACACCCTTGCTCGGTTAGCTATCAAACACTTTTTGCTCAAGCTCATTGCAGCAAAGAACCGTGGAGAGGGAGACACTTTTGCGGAAATCGAGTTGATAGTTTTCAAAAAGTTTGCTGACAGCTCGGTTCAACACTTGCAGCTAGGAGGGCAGGAAGAGTTGGCTTATTCGTTGGTATTCCTGCGTCTTTCAAAGGCCAAGCTCGGCGGTGACAGAATGGCAAACGGACAGACGACAAAAGGAGATAGCATCACGTTGACCGCCGAAGAAATCCTGGTTGTGATAAAGGTCTTCGAGACTGCAAGATTCTTTCTGTTCCTCGGGCTGCCTAGAGCAGAAGGTCCGTGGATGAATATTGGACACCTCAGGTTCGACAACGGACAAGAATAGACGCAGCTAGTTGAAGATGTAGAGAGCTTGTATCGTCTGAACATTGCAGAACGTTGACTGAACATACCTGCTCTGCAACCGTACTAAGTGTTGCTGTACGTAGGCACTTCCAGGCTTTCTGACACTTGTCTACTGATTTTAGCTGAATGCAAGATGACAATCAATGGTCAATTCCAAATTAGTACTTCTGGAGAGTTCAAGGATATTATTGAGAATATCTATCTAGCTCACTTTGCCCATTCCACGTCGGTATTTGAGAGTTAAATGGCCCTCAATCGTTGTCATTCCACAAGATACATTTCGACCTAGCTCGAAGCTCTCGAACTTACGAAGGATTGTCCTACACGAGATCCCAATTTGTTGTCCCCATTATCCCCCAACTCCTGGTTTCCTTTCACCACTTCTCACATGTGATGTCGCCCTTTGTTGAGTCGGGCGGACACTTACTTGTTGGCTCACCTGAGTGAACACCAGGTTCGTGCTCTGGTCGCCCTTGAAACTTTGGGGAAACTTTGGATAAGATTGGCTAATTCTGAAACTAAGTAAATCACAGACTAAGGTAACCACCAACGGCAAAACAGCATTTTCATTGATGACAGAGAAGGCGAGCAATAATCCTAGCATTGCATTCTTGGCAGATGAGATACATCTGGTCTTAAGCCTTGCTTGCACCTTCAAAGAGGAGCTTGGTGGTGTTGTTATTGTGACAGTTTTGATTTCTGGTGGAGAGAGGGCTACTTTATTGAGGCGCTACCTACGCCGGTACATTGGTCTCTCTCCTGTGAATACTTTATACGAATCATACCGTCTACACAGGGGAATTATGCAACAGTTGGTTAATTAAGATACTTAGGTATGTTGCTGAAAGCAAGAAATTATGCATGTCCCTCGAACATGCCAAGTTTTAAGGTTTCAGGTACTGTGGATCTTGGGAAACCTCTCCTTTATAAAGGTCTGGTTTTGCTAAATACTATGCCGGCAGACATGCCTTGATTGTCTGCATTAACGCTATTTCTGGAGGTAAAATCCGCTCGATGGAATAACAGACAAACAAATTTAAGCAGTCGTTACAGGGATATCTTTTGTATGCATGAGAAAGCAACGCTTGAAATCCTCTCACTTCTTCAGAGGCTCACCAGTGGCTGTGATCAACGACTCTTCGGTTCTGATGGGACCCTCCCCAACTGAGGTCAAGATGACCCTTGACACACCATCTTTTAGCACCTGCACAGCTCTCGCATCTACGCCCTCCGTGCTCTGGGCCTTGATCTCTCTGCCTTGCCAACCATCAAGCTCTCCCAGAGCAGATTTCAACGTCCCAGCGACAGCGTCCGCATTCTCCTCCTCGTAATAAATAACGGCATTGGGGCCCGCATCAAAAGTGTACGCCGCGATGGTCTTCCCCGCCTTCTTGTTGATATCCTCCACCACTCTAATGGCCGCCCTCGACACATCATTCAGATAGAAGATGGGTGGGAACGTATCTAGGCACGTAGCATGGAAGCTATTACTCTCCATCATCGTGACTTTAGCAAAGGTCTCGAAGTCCTTCTCCAGGATTGCCTTCTCCATAGCCTTCATATGCGCCGGGACCACGACCTCCGCCCTCCGCTGGAACAACTCCGACGTAGCCACGGTGATCTGCATGCCAGAGGTACTGCTCACACCCTTCTTCTCCGCCGACACAACCAAAATCAGAGCCCGCATCGTCGGCCAGTGGCTGGCAGGCGCAACCTCCACAGCGACACTATCGGAGCCATCCTCCTTGCTGCCCATCTGCCACGCTACATAGCCTCCAAACAAGCTACGGCACGCACTTCCACTTCCCTGCCTCGCAATCCTTGACAGATCCGTCGGCGACGAGGGCAGTTCATATAAATTAGCAATGGCGCGGACCAGGGCCGCGAAACCAGCCGCGGAAGACGCGAGGCCCGCGGCGGTGGGAAAGTTGTTCTCCGATACGATGCGCAGGGGCAAGGAGGACAGTTTGGGAAGCGAAGGGTCGGCACTTTCGAGGGCGGAGCGGAGCGCGCGCAGTTCGCGGAAGCAGGCTTGGGTGCGTGCGCCAGAGACATCTTGAGGGGAGGAGTTGAGGAGGAGCGTGTCCTCGGGCCCGAAGGCCGCGGAGCATGCTGCTGTTGTATGGGTTCGGAGGTCGGATTGGGAGAGGGTTACAGAGACGGAGGAGTTGGTTGGGAGGTTCAGCTTTGCATCGCGTTTTCCCCAGTATCTAGAGCCGTTAGAGGGGAGGTAAAGGGGGAAGAGGGGTTGCTTACTTGACAACGGCGATGTTGACTGGGGCCGTCGTGCTGGCCTGGTAGATCTTATTGTCCGACATTTTAAAGACAATCCCACCTCTATGGGATGTGAGAAGGGCCTATGAAAGTAACTGAGCCCTTGAATGAGCCCTCAAGAGAATCAAATGAAGGTATTCATTCACAAGTCTTGCAGTTTCACCCCTCAAAATTGAAGCGGTCAAGGCCAGCCAATCGGCGATATTCCACCCAAAGCTAATAAGCATTGACATTCGGGGCCGGAAAAATGTATTTACGGGGTACGCAAGGGAGCAACCATCATCGAAATCTTATTAATCTTGTCTCAACGCCTTCACCTCACCCATCACAGAGGATGGCTAACGACTCAGAACCCCCAGCAGACGTCTGCCCTGTAGACCCAGCTACACGCGCAGCATGGCTCAAATCCAACTCCTCGCGCCCCGTTTTCCCCGGCGCAACCGTGCAAGCCAGTGAGGCCGGCAATAGCAGCAGCTGTGATTCCAAGAGCGTCGACCAGACGCCTCCTCCCGCTGCACGCCCAGGGTTCTTCTCGCGCTTTACATCTCCCGCGACGCCCTCTGAAACTCCCAACCTGGGTGTTGAAAGAGAAATATCAACGATTCCGAGAGCATCGCCTGTGAACAAGGAGGCGCGGCCTGCCAACAGCGAGGCGGAAGGCGGAGTCAGCGAGAGTGGCAATTGGATCTATCCTAGCGAGAAGATGTTCTTTGAGGCGATGAAGAGGAAGGGCCATGCGGGCGATGCGAAGGATATGAAAATGATTGTACCGATCCATAATGCGGTTAATGAGCGGGCGTGGAAGGAGATCAAGGAGTGGGAACGGCCTTGGGGCAGTGAGCAGAAGTATGTCTTCCAGGCTTGTTCATGAATAGGAAGCTTGTGCTAATAGGTGAATGCAGATGTGGCGGTCCGAAACTAGAATCTTTCCTCGGCTTGTCAACCACCATGAGCCCCAAGGCTAGGTTAAATACCCTCCTGGGATACACGGCACCGTTTGATAGACATGACTGGGTTGTTGATAGATGCGGGAAGAGGGTGGAATATGTGATTGACTTTTATGCGGGGAGGGACGATGGAAAGGGGAATGGGAAGCTGAATTTCTTCCTGGATGTGAGACCTAAACTGAACACTTGGGAGGGCTGGAAGATGAGAGCTTCCAAACTTCTTGGCTTGGTATGAGGTGTTCTTCGGATAGATCATTCGAAGCCGGTGGATCTGGACATATATGGAAAATCCCCGCTTCTACAAGATCTGTATTAACAGCAGCGTTGGCACCTGGTTCGGCCACCTATATGTAGTATATGTAAAACACCTATCTCATTTCAATTGGTATATTGGAACATTATCAGAACTTCCAGGGAACCTCAAGATCTTCCCCGTGTCCAGGAGAGCCATCCTTGGTGCGTATTCTTGTGCCCGACCGTGTCTCCAACGCAGCTGTATCAAGATCCCAACCAACTCTCCGCAAGTTGTCAAATATCTCGTACTCTTTTGCCCAAGATCTGAAATCTCGCCTGGTGCGAGCAAGAGCTTCTATTACGGATTCATCCTTCAGACCCCTCTGTACTTGTATTGCCATGAAAAGGGCATGCATCCAAGCATGGAGCTGCGTCTCGGTATTCGATGGAAACTTCAGGCATATTAGGAATACCTTGCGAGGTTCATCATACCACATTATATACCCTTCTTCTTGAAAGATATCTAGGAGTACTACGAAATCCTGAGATTTGGCTCCTGTGTAACTGCCTGTTGTCTCATCGGATTGACCGAAGAGATCTAGAATCTTTCGAAGCGGGACACCAATCTGGCAATAACCAAGTATCTTGTCTCCTTGCCAGCGTAAAACACCATCTTTTTCAAAGACTCGCTCTTGGAGGGATACTTCGTCAGGCGTGGGAAACTCCGTCCGACTATCCGACGTCTTACTGCCTTCGAGCCGAGAGAGTCTCTGAAATAAGGTAGAGAACACAAGATTCGCGCGCTGTCTGTTCAGTGTGCGCATGCTGACGGCTCTGACTGCGAGGTAGTTTGTCCCGAGATGGATAGCCAGGAGAGCGATCATTACGATCCATGTAGCCCCTTGGGAGGAGATATGTGATACGACTAGGCTGCCGACAAGCATTCCCATGAGAGATATGATCGTTTCCTGACTTGAATCCTTCTACAGAACTATTAGCTGAATCTCAATCCAGAAGGGGTTTCGCCAACAGCATTCAGTTCCCCTAGGTTTCCTTGCGTGGCAAAATGAGCACTCAAAGATGCCTTCGAACTACCAGCCGCAACCCCGCATAGAGAACGGAGAACACTAGAGAGACTTAGTAGGGCTACTCTCGAAGCTTTGGGTAGCGCTGGTGATAGGCAATCAAATATCATAGCAGCATCGTTGAATATATCCGCTGCTAGGCGATACATCTTGCATTCAGGTTCAAGCGATGTTCCGAGACGGTGTGCAAAAAGGATTGTGGCTATCCTCCCCATACTATCTTGAAGCACGGAGAGAAGAAGAGCAGCTGTGGGTGAGGCATGAGAGTCCCCAACACCAATTCCTAAGACCTATTAGCCTCCGCACCATCAAGGCAAATATATATCTATTGATGAATCAAAGCGTCTCCTAGAACGCACTCACCTTCAAGCACAGCCCGTGAAGAAAGCAGACCCGCAATAGAACTCGAAAACGCCTGCAACGAATCCTGCACGTAAATCAGCGACCGCAGCTCTCCCTCCCTTCTCTACCATTGCATCTCACATAAATCTGATACCTAACCCCCTCACCACTCATCAGCAATCTTCCCACCCACCTTTCAATCAACCAATATACAAAACACTCACTGAAGATAATCCTTCGTGACACTATGCGGGTACCCCGCCGGTAGGAACGCATTCAGCACACTCTTCACATACGTCCTGGTATTTCTCGGCACCTTGCTCTATCTCAGTTTCTTATCTCTCTCAAGAGGACCCCCGGGATTTCAATTAGGGGCATACATACAACAACATCTACTCGACCCCGCTCCTGGGGCCCAGAATCAGGACTACAGACATAAGTTGCAACGACGTTATTGGCTTGATCGCGCTCCTCGATTTCGGTGTGCGTCGAGTATGAGCCTATGATAGGCTTTTGAGGCACGCTTTCACCTCGCGACATGATTCCCAGCTTTGTGCATATGTTCACAACTTTTGTCGCATATGAGTCTAACTATCTGTTGTATAGACGCTAGGGAGAAAAGGTAGATAGGTAAGGTAGGTAGGTAAGTTAGGTAGGTAAACACGTACCTTAATGTAGGTACGTTTCGCTCCCATATGTAAGGCAGTGAAGCGACCGAGTAGCTCGTGATGACACAATCTCGCGCTTTAAGGTAAACATATTGCTCAGTAAAGGGTATACGGAATAGCCATCATTGATAGTTACTCAGACGGTATCAGTTTTCAAGAGACTGGGGTTTTAAAGCTTGGATCACGTGACCTGGCATCAAAATCCCTCTAGGTACCTTAGGTGCCCAGGTACCTAGTAGGTAGGTAATTCCATTGATTGGGGTATTAAATTTACTGAATCCATAGTCAAAGGGGGAATAAAACCTGATCTTATAGAAATACATACCAGTTCAGATTAGCTATATCCAGCTAAGTCTTGAGCAGAAAGGGAATAAGAGGGCTAATTTACCAAGCAGCAAACCGCCAAAGCCAATTAGTAGACCATGGACCTGTTGTGTTTCTTCGTACAGAGTGGTACCAACGCAATTATCTCTCTTCATACTTTTCTGAGATCTCCCTAATCCCTTCCCCTGTATGGATCTTAATGATTACATCCCAGTCATTCCACTCATGCGGGGCGAGGGAGTCAGGGTTATTGGCCAAGTGTTTACAAAGGGTCACCAAGCCTGGAACATTCGAAACAGCAGCCACCAGGTTGGTCCTTGCAAAAAGCACTTGTAGGTAGCACTTCAACACCCCCTGGCCAGCGTGGATTGACTTTCTGTCATGGCTGACAGTTGGGCAGACAAATTTCTTCCTAAGATTTCCAATTTTGTACTGGTCTATACCCATCAGTCGGATGGTATCGTGAACAGAAGGAACCGGTGTCGAATCAGCTATCCTCGACAGATGCAAACACCAATCGTGGACGCTATGAGCATATGTTTCCGCATACGTTGATGCAAGCATCTTGTTAACCTCAAGTTGGTCAACTCCGTGCTGACTATTTACGAGGTCAAATGGTGTGGGCGTAGAAGAATTGGACGTCGTAGTCAGGGTTCGATTTTCGGACGAGGGCTGGGACGTTGGGGTACTGTTCGGTACGTTGTCAAGAGGATTGCTGGCGTTCGAGGAATGCGAGGCTGTTGATGGCTGAAGGGATTGAAAGGGGGTTGATCTTGTGGCAGCGCTGTCTAATGCAGAACTGGATTCTGATTGACGTGAAAGTCGCCACGTAGGCAGATCTCTTGGGTTGGTTGACCGGGTCGCTGGGCGCGTACCATAGTTTCCAAAGCCAGAAGTACTAGAGGATGCCGCTCGTGGGTATCCTCCCCCGTGGCCAAAGCCTGGTGGAGCTTGCATCTGAGTATGGCTTCTTTGGCTGGCAAGGCCCGGTGCTAGTGAGAGTGCAGGCGTTGTAAGAGATTCGTCGTAAGAAATTGTCATCTGCCCAAAGGCAGAGTGGGGGGTTATATGCTGTTGCATTGTAAGCCTGGCTGTGCTGGCAGGTGGTAATGAGGAGGGATAGACAGGGTTGGTGATAATTTCATCGTAATCAAGTACTGATGACTGTCCACCTGGAGCGTGGGAGCTCATGTAGTGTACAAAGGGAGGCATGGTTACTGAGTCATCAGGGGTTTGTGACGATGGTTGAGGTGGAGGAGAAGAGAAGTCCTCCATTGTGAAGGCTGCTGACGGCTGTTCGGTTTGGGCATTGGAGCTCGGGGAGTGTGGCATATCAGACAATGCAGGCCGATCAACCGGGAGTGGCAGCTGTGCAACTAGTCCTGCGAAAGCTTGCGGTATCTGAACAGATCTGGCAGTGTCCCGTGTGGCAGAAGTAGCAGAAGCAGCTGCTGTTGCTTCTGCCTGATCGTTTTGAGCCATGAAGTATGGATTGTGCGCCGATCGAGGTAATGGACAAAGGATAGGTTGACTGTCAGGTGGGCAGACAAATGATTGTGAGGGCAGCAAATCAGGAATTGCAATTTCTCGTGATGGAGAAGAGGTAGCCACGGCAAGATGTGCAGCGTGAGCTATAGGGCTTGCGAAATTTGTGTCTCTTGACGGGTCAGAGCAACTTGTTCCCTCAGAGGGTGATGAGGCCTCTTCAAATTCTGAAGCGAATGAGACATGTCTGTGGGACGCCATTTGTATAAGTAATATCAAACTGTAAGGGACTTCGAGAACCAAAAAGACCGCTAGAACTTGAGAGCCGTCTGGTATTGCTAGGTTCGTAGATGATCAAAGCAACCAAAACCCACAAAGGTCTGGTATTTACCAACCGAACAGGTTAGAAGGCAACTGCAAGCCACTATCAATTGAATCAGGAAAGCGTGCCCGGAAATAATGTGTGATAAAGTCAAACGGAAACCGCTATCAAGAAACTTTGATGTAGTTACGGTAGATTCTCTAGCACTAAAGAGAAGCATTGAATCCCGCTGGTACCTAAGGTGAGTAGATTCGGCATGAATTAACTCTGGGGTAGATTCTCTGAATCTGTTTCCATAAAATAAATAGAGATATATCACAGCGGATACTGTGAGAACACCTTGACACCTTGTGAATCACTAAGCGTAATTCTCACCAAATCTCTCAGAACCTTTTGGCTTGCTTTACAAAGTGGAAATCTTTCTAGAATAAGGTTACCTATCCTGAAAGGACACCACCCCAATGACAAACTACCTTAGTGAACCAAGAGCTAAAAAGGAACGTCATTTAAGTACCCAGCCAATGTAGAGAGAACTTGAGGAGCCAAACTACCAACATAAGGGATCCAGTTTAACCCAGAAGGGGGAAAACGGATCCCCAAAACATCAATGCAAACAGTAGAGGGCGTCACTCGACCCTAAGATAACCGTATTTGAAGCCGCAGTAGCAGTAGTAGTAGCCTATCAACTTTACTCCATTGTTGTGCTCATTTGTTTTATGAGCAAGAGGCTAAGCCTTGTTTGCAGTCATGGCATGTCTCGTTTTTAAGGTCTGGTCTTGTTGTGTCAGGATACTTCTTTAAACATAGGTACAACCTGGCTTAAATGTCACGTGGAATAGCATTCAATGTTCCTTTTCAATGAAAAGAGTAGATAGCCGTTATGTAAAGGTCTAGCTAGAAATCATCAGCTGTTTACTGGAGGGAGAGGGTCTTATCATCCAAAAAAAGAAAAAAAAAAAGGAACATGAAGGGTTAAAGGTACTCCCCCAAACCGATTTCCTGTCCTGCAGCACTCTGATGCCCCCGTATACTATCCACCGTCCCTTTACACATCCGAGACTATCCCCCATCCCCTGCCCTCCATTTCCCCATTCTATGATCTATGTAGTCTAGGCGTTTCATGACAACATAAAAGCAAATTTCGGCGATTCATGGGGTATCTCTGCTTTTTACTGCATATTCGTACAACTGCCTCCTCAAGCAGCTCAGCAGACCAACGTGGCCCCACCGGTCTCAATGGCATCGATCTCCGCAATATCAAGTGGTCTTCGGCGGAAGCGTGCAGGAAGCTCATTACGATCGAAGTATTCGCCCTTGGCCGGAGTAACGGGCCCAAGAGAGTGTCCAGAGCGATCACCAATGCCGCCAGACTTGCCAGCCTTACCGAGAGGACCGTGCTGCTGTGCCTGTTGTCGGTAGGAGGAGAAGGATGGTGAGGAACCGAAGCCTGCTGGGAGCTCGTGGGTTGGGGAGGCGGGATGAGCGTGAGGCGTGTGATCGATCGAAGCTGCGTCCTTGTTAGAAATCAAGTCACGATAGGATAGACAGGCGATAGAGGCATACATGGGATGGTACGCTTTCCCAAGAACTTGATCATGGGGGTACGCTCAGCATGTGCTGCTGCGGAGGCCCGGAGAACCTTGGTCGCAAACATCTTGAAGGGTTGAGGATTAGAAGTAGACAGATGAAGCTGGAGGGCCTTCCAAGGTCGTCCGAGGCGTTGCCTGCTTGGAGTGAGGAGACTCGGGAGAGTTTTGTAGTTGTTGGAAGAAGCTTGTGCTTGGTCAAAGAAGTGGAGGTGAAGTGGTGAGCCAGTGCCAAGTCGCGAACAGATGGGGGTGATCCGGTGGCGGGGTGGCCGGTTTAAGCAACAAGAGCAGAACCGGATAAAACACGGGAAAAGAGGATGTGATTCCCAGCACCTCTGCCTTCACGACTATTCACTGATTTCACGTGTTACGACTTAATGTTCGCATGGAGGGGATCAGGAGTGTGGGAGCTCTGAGGGCGACAGAGATTTTTGGATGCTACGGTCTACATTACACATGCAAAAAGGGCCTTCGCCGCGGACCTTTGTCTAGAATCACTAGGTCGAGGCGGACAATTGTTACGTCGAGGCCCGTCTGCATGGGCCACCGTACATATTGATAACCGCACCCCGAAGTGGCTTTTAGCAGGGACCTCACCGGGATTCTGCGATAAGCTATTCTCGCTTGGGAGCTCTTCTGTATACGGTGGTCGATTCATACAGCCACTGCTGGCCGGACCGAGGCACAAGGGGGGGCTAGGTATCGCGTCGTCACACGGAAATATACGGATCAGAGCGCAAAAATGGCGTGAAAATATGTTGCAGTAGACAAGCTGTATCTGCCTCATTTACATTCAAGGTGTTTTGAGTCTGCGATATCCTGTACAAAGATATATCAGAAATGTCTTCTGGATGCACATGATCAGTTCTGCTGTGAGATACTTCCCTTTTTAATTTAGCTTTCTACAGTTTTCCTAACGTGGGGAAACGACATATCATTGGCTGGTCCATCTCACAGTAGCGGGCACAATGAACAGAGCCGCAGCCTTGCATTGCTCACAGTATGCGAGCTTCATATTTCATATGGTAGAGTGAATACAATAGTCTCTGCTGCATCAGCTTTCTTAAAGCACTTTACTTCAATGTAAGCTCTGAAATACTAAACGAGATCCTTCACCGAACTCCCCTTTGAAGAGTTCCTTCCCCACATCCCTGGCCATCTCCCTATCACAATCACTGGCCAGTCCTGGCCCTCTATATTTCCGTATGTTTGGACTCCAGTCCTGCTATTCCTTCTTGTTTACTGGCGATCCCAGTGGGATACTTCGCGAAGTAGCCCATGGTGTGGGCCAATCTATTAGAAACTTACGGACTTTGTCAAGGCTTCCAGGCCCCCCCAATTGCAGGTCTTACTTCCTTGAGATAGATTCCGAGTATCCTACAACTCGGGCCATCGTGCCGTCCAAATCGGTTCAATTATAACTTTCAGGAACGTTTGCTAACATGTCCATAGATCCCGACCGCCAACTGGCCCACAGCCCTCAATGCATGAACTATTTCTCACGGCTCATATCAGCGATGATGATCGGCCTGGAGCTCTCCGGATTCTACAAGGCTACTGTGCCATGAGCCCTGTCCCGATCCTTCGACGGCGGTTGTACTGGAAAGGCCCACTCACTCGAAATAGAGGAATCGACTCTGCTTTTATAATGGCCCAAGGACAAAAGGTCCCGCTCTGGCGTACTCTCAATGAGCAATTGACTCGGCAGGCTTATATAGTTACCTTGCTATATGATATCACACGGGACCAATTCCCCAAGCCTGATGCGCCTGATGAGGAGAAGCCGTAAGTTTATTTCCCGTTGATAACATCTGACTCAATTATGCATGTTCCAAGGCTTCAAGGCCCCAGACTGCTAATTGTAGAATCTATCTCGTATTGACAATATGCCCCCGGTCTACTTCACGCAGCCAAATACTAACACGCTCCAGAATCATGGACTGTGACGCGATTCACGGAACACTTCAGTGGACCGACCTCCCTGATCCAGCTGGAGCGAGACCGGTCAATAGTCGACTATCAGTAACGATTGAGGGCGAGAAGGGCCTATGTAATTTGCTCGAGTCCAGCTCGTACAGGTACGTAGTTTTGTGTGCATATCCCATTTGGAGCCAATGATTGACTATTACAGATTCCACGGGGAAATCGTGGAGGAGGGCTACAGATTCGTTCATGGTAATGTAGTGATCTATCTCACTCGCTACCTGGATATACCTGCCAAATTCCAAGAGATGGAGTACGAGGGGAAGCCGAAAGTTAATCGGAGCATGCCGCCATACGAAAGCCTGCAGCCATTTGACTCGGAGAATAAGTGGATTATAACAGCTAGCTCACAGGTATTAAGTGCAAACGATCTGGAGTATATGAAGAAGGGCACGGATGAGTTGATGGAGGTGAAGACGGATTTTGAGGGTTTCTTTGACTTTCAGAGTAGGGATAGGCATATCTTTGATACGAGGGTAAAGACTTAAAAGGCTCGAGGGACTGGGGTATCGGATTGCATGGCGTTGACAAGTACCATCTGTTAGTAGCAAATGGAAGGTTCATCATCCAAATCCATGGTGGCCGGGGTTCGATTATGAATCACATAGGCAATGGAGCTTCCGCCATTGAACTCGGGAGTGTTGATTGCATGAATCCATTCAAAACCAGTTCTACCCATCTAACTTTACAAGCAGGATTCAATTCCTAGCTTTGCTATATGCTCCTCTATTTCTCCTTGACTGTCTGCCAGACCGCGATGCCGAATGGGGCTCCTGCATGAGTGTCAGTACAAACCCAAAGCAATGTTCACAGTCGAGGGAAGCGCACCAAATCCGACAGCCATGAATCCCCAGTATCTGATGGCAAACCACTTCGTGAGAGGGTTGAAAGGGATGTTGCTTCGGGGTCCCTCGGGGTAATGGTATGGTGATGACATCTGGGCACGGGTAGAATGGAAGCCACGGCGGGCGACCATGGAGGTCGTGGAGGAAGCGCGGACTGCTGCTCGGGAGAACATCTGTATCGTAATTGTCAGCTTCCAATTGAGCCGATTGGGGGACCTCTGGTGGCGTACCTTTGGAATTGGTTGCAGAATGTTTGTAGAGAGGTAAACTGATGTCGTTCGATTTTGAGAGATGGAAGCTCTCGGTTCGCGTAGACGCTAGAACTTGCAGGGATTGCGCCAAAATCCTCTATCGCTTACCGTAGATTTTTTTCTTTGGCACCTGCATATTGATTGAGAGTGCGATCTTATCGTGAAAAGTCAGAGGATTCCAACCACCTCTGATGCACGCACAATAACCAACTGTCGGTCCCCAAACCCTAGCCAATATGGATGACGACCTGTTTGGCGTCTTTGACGAACAGCCGCAGGCTGTTGCGCCTACCGCGAATAGGCCCAAGAAAGCTAAGCATGAGAAGAAAGACAGGAGCAAGAAGAGGACCGCAAATGGCGACGTTAAGGATCTCGCAGATGGGAAAGATCAAGATGCTGAACAGGCGGATGCCTCACCTGCAGTGGAAGCTGAGGATGAGGACACGGATGCCCTGATTGAGAAGAAGGATACTAAGAGACGTCGCAAGGAAGACGAAGCAGCGCCAGTTGTTACAGATACGTTCGAAACAGAACAATCAAGACAAGTTGTCGCGTCAGCAGGTTTACAAGGCAAAGATGACGGAGCTTTGGTACTTCAGCATAACATCCAACATCAAGTCTCCCTTCCACCAGATTACCCCTACGTTCCAATTTCGCAACACAAGTCACCTGAACACCCCGCTCGAACCTGGCCTTTCGAATTAGATCCTTTCCAGAAAGTTGCTATTGCTTCAATTGAACGAGGTGAAAGTGTACTTGTCTCGGCGCATACTAGTGCAGGGAAGACAGTGGTTGCAGAGTACGCCATTGCGCAAAGTTTGAAGAATAACCAGAGGGTCATCTACACAAGTCCGATCAAAGCACTGAGCAATCAAAAATACCGAGAGTTTATGGCAGAGTTTGGAGATGTTGGTCTCATGACTGGAGATGTTACTATCAACCCTACAGCGACGTGCCTGGTCATGACAACAGAAATTCTTCGATCTATGCTATATCGAGGTTCTGAGATTATGCGTGAAGTTCAATGGGTAGTGTTTGATGAGATTCACTACATGAGAGACAAGACTAGAGGTGTAGTCTGGGAAGAGACGATTATCCTATTGCCAGACAAAGTCCGATATGTCTTCCTCTCTGCCACTATTCCCAATGCAATGCAATTTGCAGAGTGGATTACGAAAACTCACCAACAGCCTTGTCATATCGTTTACACGGATTTCCGACCTACTCCTTTACAGCACTACTTTTTCCCTGCAGGCTCAGATGGAATCCATTTGGTAGTCGATGAGAAGGGGAACTTCAAAGAAGACAATTTCCAAAAGGCCATGGCCACCATTGAAGAAAAGAAAGGAGCCGACCCAGCAGACATCAATGCCAAGCAGAAAGGTCGCGGCAAGGATAAGAAGACGAATAAGGGCGGGAATAAGGAAGGATCTGATATCTACAAAATCGTACGAATGATCATGGTGAAGCACTATAACCCGGTTATTGTCTTTAGCTTCAGCAAACGAGAATGCGAGGCATACGCTTTGCAAATGAGCTCCATGGCATTCAATGATGAATCAGAGAAGGCGATGGTGTCTAAAGTCTTTGAGAGCGCCATCGAGTCTTTGTCGGACGAAGACAAGCAACTCCCTCAAATCGCAAACATCCTACCTCTGCTTCGTCGCGGTATCGGAGTCCATCATTCTGGTTTGCTGCCAATTCTGAAAGAGACGATTGAAATTCTGTTCCAAGAAAACTTGATCAAAGTGCTTTTTGCTACAGAAACTTTCTCTATTGGTTTGAACATGCCTGCCAGGACTGTTGTTTTTACCGCTGTCGAGAAATTTGATGGCGAAAAAATGCGGTACCTAACCCCATCCGAATTCATACAAATGTCCGGCCGAGCAGGAAGAAGAGGTCTTGATGATAGAGGTATCGTCATTATGATGGTCAATGGCAAGATGGAACCGACCACTGCAAAGGAGATTGTGCGTGGTCAACAAGACAAGCTGAACTCGGCCTTCTATCTTGGCTACAACATGATCCTCAACTTGATGCGAGTCGAGGGCATTTCACCAGAGTTTATGCTGGAGCACTGTTTCTACCAATTCCAACATACTTCAAGTGTCTCTGGACTGGAGGAGGAACTTCGGAATTTACAGATTCAAAGAAATGAATTTGAAATTCCTGATGAAGCTACAATAAAGGAGTACTATGAGCTCCGACAGCAAATCACTACCTACACTAATGACATGCGCGATGTCATCAACCATCCCAATTATTGCTTGCAATACATGCAACCCGGCCGACTCGTTCATATCAAGTATCTGGATCAAGACTTTGGATGGGGTGCGGTTGTGAAGTTCACACCTCGCAAGCCGGCTCAGAACCAGGACGAAGATTTCACTCCACAACAGTCATATATTCTGGATGTCTTATTAAACGTCTCTGAAAACACTTCTGTCGGGACCAAGACATCTACTGACTTGCCCATCGGCATCCGACCTCCTAGCGCAGGCGAGAAGGGCAAGATGGAAGTTGTTCCAGTATTGCTCTCCTGCATTGAAGCCATTGCCCATGTGCGCATATTCCTTCCGAAAGACCTCAACCCCGCTGAACAACGCAACACGGTCCGCAAGTCGATTGAAGAAGTTAAGCGTCGATTTCCAGATGGGATTGCAGTTCTTGATCCTATAGAAAATATGGGTATCACCGATGATTCTTTCAAGAAACTTCTCCGCAAAATTGAAGTCCTCGAATCCCGCCTTCTTTCCAACCCCCTACACAACTCACCCCGCCTACCACAACTCTACGAACAGTATGCCGAAAAGATGGAGATTGGACGAAAGATCAAGGAAAAGAAGAAAGAGATCACTTCGGCTTTAGTTGTAGAGCAACTTGATGAGCTCAAGTCTCGTAAGCGAGTGTTACGTCGCCTGGGCTTCACTGATGACCAGGAAATTGTGCAACTGAAAGCTCGTGTTGCTTGCGAGATTTCCTCCACTGGCGATGGGCATGAACTGCTCCTCTCGGAACTTATGTTCAACCGCTTCTTCAACGAGCTTAGTCCGGAAATGTGCGCCGCAGTACTCACTTGTTTTATCTTTGAAGAGAAGTGCAAGGCTCCGCCGCTCAAGGAGGAGCTGGACAAACCGTTTAGAGAAATCCAGGCTCAGGCGCGGATCATTGCCAAGGTCAGCCAGGAAAGCAAGTTGAAGATAAATGAAGAGGAATATGTGAAGAGCTTCAAATGCGAGCTGATGGAGGTTGTCCTGGCTTGGGCTCAAGGAAAGAGTTTTGCTGACATCTGGTATGTTTCCTTCGCCACGCATAAATGATTTTTATACTGACCTTTGGACCAGTAAAATGACAGAGATCTACGAAGGGTCCCTGATTCGCCTCTTCCGTAGACTCGAAGAGTTGCTGCGGCAAATGGCACAAGCCGGTAAAGTTATGGGTTCTGATGAACTAGCAGCCAAGTTTGAGGAATCTCTCGTGAAGATTCGGAGAGACATTGTTGCTGCTCAGAGTTTGTACCTGTAAGTCGATGGTTTTGATCTGGATTTCTGGATTAGAATCGTTGGTGTAGTGAACTTGGTCAAATGGGAAAAGCATGGTTGGGCGGAGCATGGAGTTATTTGTGTATGAGCTAGGCGGTTGCATTGAAGATTTCGACATCATCCTTTGTTGGCGTGTGGATATATTCATCCATACCTGATATTGCGGAGGTCCATATCCTTGAGGGTATGGCGGACCGTATTCAGATAGAGCACTAGATATTCTAATGAAGCTGCTTCCCGCTGGGGTCGTCGGCTCTGTACGACCACCCTCCGCCATCCACGAGGGTCCCATATGGGAACAAGGGTCACATCACAGCCCTTGCGGATGAGAAAGCACGCAGATACGTTACCAAAGTCCTGTACCCTCTTCACCAGTAAATGAAGCCGAAGTGACAGCCAAGTTAGATTGCTCATCGCACAAATCTCGTCGGGTATCGTAAGGTAGATCTGGTGGACAGCAGGACAATGTTCCTAGCCTTGGTGCACGTGGCCCGGTGTGTTACCTACATCTGATTATGTGTTTATAGAGCTTTCTCATAAGAAGCATAAAAGGGGGCAGACCGATTGGCGACTGTCTAAGACAGAATTATGTATCTCGTCAGGGGGAGAAAACAACAACTCTGTCTTTGGCACGTGCGGCCTGTAGTACCACATCTACCTTACGATCATTACGATGTGTATCTAGAGAACGGCAACAAGTCGTGGTGTGGTGGCTCTGCATTCGGACACGCCGAGGGATTGCTATGCTGGATCTCGATTCCTCGATATGATCGGACAGAGGCACACTGAAGACTGGCCATGGATCGATCCACGCCGGAACGAGCCAAAGCGCCCGATATATTCCTGTGTATGTACCCTCCTGGATGCACGGCCAAGTGCACCCCTGAAGCTGTCACGGAGGAAACGGCCCACCTTGCCATACGGATATTTCTTTCTTTAGCTCCAGCAAGGTACCTGAGACGCGGGTGGCCGCTCACGCCTCAAGCCTCAGGGCAGATAAAGTGCCTGTGTTCTGCACAGGGTGCAGGCTGTACGCGGTACTGTACACGCTCCACCGTCCACCGTTGCTCCTACAGTCCCTGACCTGGCCTTACCTAGCAGCAGATCCTACGGTGCTCCCATTCTGCTTCTGCCCAGCGTCGACGAGGCATTGGCATTGGCGGTTCTAGGCCGGGGCGACTCGGGTTGGCTATCCTGTTGGCTCTGCGGGACGTCAGGCAAGAGACATCAAACCCGGCCTGTGCAACAACCCACGAAGATATTTCCCGCCATTCTTATTGTTCGAGAATCGAGCAGCCCTGTCGTAGGGAATTGTGGGAATAATAAGTCGACCGCATGCGAAGGTCTCGACCTACTGCTGTTGCTGCTGTGCCGTATGCATCTCTTCCAAGTTCCTGCAGCCCAAACCTCCATACATACCATACCTTACATATACACGTACACGTACAGGACTGTATGTCCATGTTACTTCGACTATCAACCGTCTCGGCAATACGAAGAATACCCGCTCTGTGTGGGAAGAGAGCCCAGATCCGAAACTCACCCCCTCACAAACCGCTCCTCATCTTGGTGAAGATCATCGGCTGATCCCTCCGAGAAAACCACTCCACGCGGCGAGGGCCAGGCGATAAGAACTTGACCAGCGACAAACTCCCAGAGTCCACCAAGTCTCCAAGGCTCAATCCGCAACACCGACACTGGTTGCGTTACGAAGTAGTGCCCGACTGGCGATTCGCAACCAAGGTACTAAAATCTCGATTCGAGACGAACACTACGGTCCGGCTGCTACTAGCTGCGACTTTGCCGTTTACGTTGGTGGTTCCGTTCCCATCAGACCCTCTAAGGACCGTTCCATTTTACGGGACCAACCCCCACATTTCACCTTTCTACTGTGCTTGCGGAGGCTCTTGAGTTGGAGCTGAAGTATCCTACATCTCTCTCTCTCTCTTTTCGATCTTTACGAACTTTCAACTAATTCACACACTCTCTTGCCCGCTGCAGAAAAAAACCCGCCCAAAAAACGCGGTAAAATCGTCTAGGCTTTCGATGTTAAGATAAAGAAGACCTCACTCTCACGCCCGGCGAGCCTGCCATTCTCCAAGCAGGAACGAAGAGGCATTTACAATGGACATCACGTCGGCTCCATTAGCCGACTACTTCTGGATTGCGGGAATTGATTCCCTCTCATACAGCGATCCAGTCTTCGGCCCACCGAGCACCAATGGAGGAGGACCTCCCTCGCCCGCGGTCGACGCGACCATAGAGGAGGGCAGCGAAGGAGAAGCGTCGCCCACGCAGCAATCTAGCACCGGCATACGAAACACCGCCCGACACTCACGAAATAATTCCGCAAACAAACAAAGTAAGGTGCCGAACGATGCGCGGAACTCGATCCACACGCTTGACGAGCTCGACGCGACGGGCAGCAATCGCAGCAGCATGACCATCAAAGGTCCTACTAATGATAATAATGGAGGGGGAGGCCGTCTCGGTGACTTCGATTTTGATACCGCGTTGTTGAAGTTTGCGAATGAGAGGGAGAACTTCCTAGATGATCTGAGTTTCAGGGCTGGGGCTCCGACACAGAGCAGGCCGCCAATGACGCTGAATCCGAAGGCTGATAGGATCAGGATTGAAGATGGGGATGTATTGGGGTCGACAGCGAGGAGAAGCCCGCTGAGGAGTGTCGGGGGTAGTGTTCGCCGGAAGATAAGCTTCAGGGATATGAATAGTATGAAGAGGCAGCCTTCTGTGATACAGAGAACAGGTAAGCAAGAAGATCTGGATATGTCATGGTTTAGAGAGCTAGCTGCGAAAGAAGCCTCGTCAGGTCTTTGCTTGGGGCAACATGCTGACGGTCTCTAAACAGCCTCCACACGAACCTCAAGACGGCTGAGCAACTACAACTCTGTCATTCCTCCCCCCGAACCCTTAAACGCAGATCCTGATATGCACCCTTTGAAACGCCGTTTTGAGCCTGTTTTGCTCGATAGATATCCGCCGAAGAGCGCCACAGACGAGACTGCGAGAAGAGGCAGATTTCCTGACTATGTGCCAATGTTTGCATTCCCCAACGATATTAACATAGTCTCTGCGGACGAACGACCTCGATCGACATGGCATGGATTCGCTATGACCTCGGATGACAACTCGAAGATCTACGGTATCACTGTTATAGTTTGGTTGCCACTGAATCCGGACGCCGCGGCCAATGTGGAAAGACGGTGTGAGGAATGGAGACAGAGCCATATGACGAATGAAGAGAGAGAACTTGCTGCGAGTTTGGGAGAACGGTTGGCATCGGAGCGAGCAAATCTGTCACAGTTACTAGCAAAATTACCGACTGCTGTATCCGGCTCAGCTGCCAGAGAAGCTTTGGAAGAGCAGATTAGTGCGGTGGAGGAGAAAATTACTCTCATGACTGATATGTTGAGACCCGTGCGACATGGTGCGGCTGCCAAGATCGATGGTTTGACTGACAGCGAAACTGGACTCTGGACACCGAGAGCATATGGAGTCCTTGGCCGAGATGGTAGTCTGACGAGCTTCTGGAAGGAATGGCTAAGGGCTGTCGTTGTCCCCATGACTGATGGTGGCATACTGAGAGTTCCCCCAAGCTCTCCGAAGGTGGGCCGATGGCAACCCTTGGAACGATATGTGGTCAACCTCTGCACCGAGGCTCTGAGCCCAATATCCTCTAAGACTCAAGTCGAGATCGCAGTCAGGGAATTACGGCTATTTGCGAGGAAAGAAGCTGCTAATGAGCTTCCCGAATCTCGCAACACCGATCTTTACGCCTTGTTTAGATCTCTCACCATTCCAAATATCGTGGCGTTGATAGAATTTGCTCTTTCGGAATCGAGGATCATATTATTGTCTTCGCATACAGCGATGTTACACCTGGCAAGCAAAGCTATTGCAAATCTGCTATACCCGCTGAAATGGGCAAGCATTTTTATCCCTGTCCTACCTGCAAGGTTGCTCTCGGCGCTCGAGGCACCTTGCCCATATATTGTTGGCATCGAAAGAAGATACGACCGGATAGAACTGCCAGATGATGATTATGTTTTAGTGGATCTGGATCAGGACATCATCGAGGCGACATCACCTCCCACGATGCTGCCCCGACATCAACGGAGGAAGCTAGTCTCACTTCTTCAACTTGCAGCTCCACATCATAACAGGTGCGGCGTACCTGTTGGACCGCCTCCGTACGCGATCGAGACCTTCCCATATGATTCTTTCTCGTCCGAGAATAACTCAATCTTCACTCAGCACCCTCCACCGAGTTCACTCGCCAAGTATGTGAGCCAAAACTCGTCGACTTTTGGTGAACCTGATACGAATGCTGCCAAGAGAGCCTCGGTCTTCAATGCATTCTTGCAATCAAAGAATGATCATACTCGAGTCGAGCGACCCTCGACGTCCAAATCAACAAACAGAGGGTCAACAAACAGAGGGTCAACAAGCAGAGGATCAACAAGCCAAGGAAGCCCTCCCTCGTCCCTCTCACCGGTGTCAGGCCATTTCCCCCCTCTCCCCACCACTATGCCTCGAAACGACTCGGGATATGCTCTTGCTGCTACACTAAGAGAGAAGAGATCGGGCCACTTCGACTCGAATTCAAGACGAAGTTCGTCTTTTGGTGTTGACCGCAACTCGACTCTTCGAAGACCTAGCGTTCCGTTCGTCAACGGTCACTCCTCGAGCTTGTCTACCTCTGCTCTCTCAGTGGACTCCAAATCTACTAATGGCTATGCACCCTCTACTTATGCGGCATCAACACTTGCTGCATCAACAATAATGCCCAATATGCTAATGCAGCCTGTCCGAAATACAGACACCACGACATGGGTAGAAGGTCATTGCTTCGTCTGGCAAGCGAATGAAAATTCAATGGTCTGTTCCATCTGTGATGAGAAATCTGATGGTGACGGGATGTACAAATGTGCGAGCTGCAGCACCGTCTCCCACGCACGCTGCCTGGGCCATGTATCCCTAGTCTGTCCCGCAGCTTTCCACCCAGACCGTGTACGAGCCGCATTCGTCCGCTGTTTTGCTAGTCTCTTCTACACCTACAGAAAGTATCTCGGTCGACCAACGAAAGAGCAGAAAAATAGTGGACAATTATACGGATTCGACATGGACGGATTCCTGAAGAGTTTGCCTCACGAACAGCATGAATATATTGCTATGCTGAAGCAGACACAAGGTCAGACCTTCCCCCCTCTTCGTTACCGTTAATTATACTAATATTAGAAACTGCAGCATTCAACGTATTCATTCACGAACGTGAAACCCTCCCTTCAAACTCTCCACAAATTCAACTCTTCGACTCCATAATCCTCGCGAAGAAATCGCGCGGCCGCACCTCTTTCTTCTCGTCCAAGTCGTCACGAACCACGAGCTTCTTAGAAGACAGGTCCGACCACCTTTGGAGGAGTGCTGCGGTGCCAATGCCGAGTGCGAAGTTCCCGGGAGATTATAGATCGGTGGTATCTCGGATCCCAGCACGACTAGATACCAGTTTCATGAAGGAGCCGCGAACCATCCAGGGCGTTCCGAGGATCGATATGCCAGGGAAGCGGGTGGGCAGGAAGGCAGTCCCGAGTATGCTTGGTAATAGCGGCCAACGAAGCGTATCCTAAATAAAACAACTCAGCGGTGATTGCTCAGCGAAGCAAATAACGCAGATAAATAATGTGTAAGATATAATAGGATGGAGTCTGGGAAAAAGCATAAGTGGTTGGGAGCGAGCATGGTGTACATAGGCGCGATGTGGTGTATCTGGTTGCATAGGTAGAATCGCGGTCGAATTTCCGGAGCGGTTCATCCGTGTTTAATGTTTGGATTATGCCTTCACCTATTACAGGAGAGGGGGAATAATAATTGGTAACTTTTGATTGATCATTAAGATATATATATACTATGAAGGTGTCTCCTTACTTTTATAGTAAGAAAAATCATGTGTCTCGTCTTCCTAACTGCCAATCTTTCGAACTCATCTCCCCCTATCCAGTACTTCCTCAACCCTAAAATCTCCTATCTGACACTTACTTACTCACCAACCCACCATCCCAAACCCAAGAACCAAGAACCAACTCTCCCGCAATTTCCCATCACCAAACGCCCATCCATCACGGCCAGACAACCCTCCCCCCCCCTCCCTCCCTCCTTCTTTCTTT